TCTTGTGTAATATTTCGGAGAAAAAAGTTTGAAAGGAAAGTAGGTCAACCTATCTCCTAAAACAGGGGAGTATCCTGCGTAATATTTCGGAGGGAACATAGGTTAACCTATCTTTTAAAACAGCGGGTGGCGACTTTCAAAGTGGTTCAAAATCACAAATTAATAATTATCAGATTAGGTTTAGGGATAAATCGAAAAGTTGAATTTCCAGCGCACCTAACCCTAATTAGGCTATTTATATTTGGGGGATTATTTTGCAGGGATTTGTACAAACGATCCACCCTGTAACTAATATGGTTTCCAGCCTGCCTCGTGTCTGTTAGATGGAAGGAGTAACAAATGTGAAAGTCTTTGCTGTTTAGGCTAGTAAGCAACTGACACCGTGACACATTGCATGAAAGTTTTGTCTGCGGCAGGTGTTAGCAGATGTTATTTCGTTGCCGATGAATTCCCTTGTTTTAATTAAACATGAATTCGCTTAAAGGGAACTCGTTAACGAAAAGGCTTCTCTTTAATTCATAATATTAACCGGAGGAGCGCTTTTTCGAGTATCTATGCCGTTTTAAATGGGTTATATGAAAGGTTAGGGCACATAACTTGTGAAAATCGGCAAAAGCACTTTCGCACTTTTTTTTTCGACTGCGAAGCACTTTCGCACTCATAATTTGCTTAGAGTTAACACTGGTCATGTGACTATCAATGATATCGATGAATTCAAAATGACTATAAAAGTGTTAGTAACGTGTTATAGTCACTTTGGATGAATTGTGACCAAACTGCACGATTTTCAAATCAGACGAAACTTTTAGCAGCATGTCACAGATTTGCAAAATCACCAAATTCACAAAATACCATTAAGTGCCATTTTATTGTAATCACAATGTTGAAAGGACGTGGCAATGGTGGCATTTTCCGGAATTTTTCGATATTTACACAACTATTTCTCATTGATATGCGAGGACAGGTGGGCAAAATTCAATATTTTTTTTAATCGAATATTTTTAAGGAGTACCGAATAAACGTGGTGGAAACATTAAAAAATCGGCAATAAAGCCTTTTTACTGGTTAATTCCTTTGTAATGGCTAATTGTTCTTGTCACCGATCGTTTTGGCGGCGATATCCAGGTTTTGGGTAATCTATATTCCCGCCCCCTCTTTTTTACAAATATGAATTCTTGTGGGTCGGCGGTCATCAAAGTTTTATATTTCGGGTTTACCCGTTCGTTCACATCGGCAACAGCTGTTGAAGACATTGAGGACTCAAATTAACATTTGCGTTGGCTTTAATATTACCTATCAAGATTTGTAAATTTACCGTCCCAATTTTATGGGAATGGTAATATTATTGTCCATACCGTGATGCAGATATTTATTAAGACGATAATTAACTTTGTCATGTATTTCTATGGTGATAAACTTCGCAAACCTGAAATTGTGCCAATCCTGAATGTTGATTTAAAATAGTGATTGAATAATTCGGCAATAAAGGCATTTCTGCGTGGTCATAAGACGAGATGGCGTTAATGAACAGCACTTCTTTTACAGGATATTTTACGTATGCGACTTGATGCTAAAAAGATTGGGCTCGAGTGCCTAATAGAGGTCAGGCGCTAATTGTAACTAATTCCCTCAAGTTTCAACGTGTTTTCAACAAAACAATACCCAGGCGATAATTATAGCTGAAAAGTTACCGAGCAATTCACAATTTTATTTATGGAATTTGCAAATTCACCAGTTTCTTGACGATTTTGATATTGTCACGCCCTAATTATTAGTGCAAAAAATACTCCCATTCTTCCGCGGCGGTTTGACGGGTTCTTTGTTCTATTCTTCAGAAAGTTCTGATACGGGGATACAGAATACTGAATCCGGAGGGTTGAATCCCTGTCCGCTTACTGGTGATTTTCCGTTTTGAAATGCGTGAAACATTCTTTATTTTAAATTAAATGGCGTTTCGCGGGCTAGAGTTCTCCCCGAAAATAATGTGTTCCAGACGTTAGTTAGACGATAGATAAAACATTAGATTATTAATTTTCGTGACGCCCCGTTTTCGAAAATACAAAGTTATATCGCAAAAAAGCGTTATGATACATTTGGAATGAAACATTATTTACCGTTAATTCAGATCATATTTTACTCTTCATGACACCCGGTATCCGAAAATACAGTTGTATCTCGAAAAATGTGTTTTGTTACATTTAAAATAAAACATTTTTGCGATTAATTTAGATCATATTTTACTTTTCAGGACACCCGTTTTCGAAAATACAAGGTTATATCGCAAAATGTGTTTTGTTATAATTGATTGGTTATAATTGATATTCGTTAAATTTTTTTTTACACTATTAATAAACGCACCACACCAATTGCGACCATATAAATTGCAGTCGCATCGGTATGGACTGTATGTTTTTGGCACTCTCACATTAATAATAATTTTCAACAAAACAATACCCCGACGGTCATTAAAGCTGAATTCGTTACCGAATAATTCACAATTTTATTTACGGAATTTGCAATTTCAAGATCTCACTTGACGATTTTGATGATGTCATGCCCTAATTATTTCTGCTTAAATGCCTCAAAATACAACAAATGTAATCATTTTCGACGATAACAGGCGCAACAATTCGTAAACGAGCCGTTATAACGAAATTCGCGATTGATTTTACCTCTCTCTTGTTTACAATTTTAACATCCCGCCGGCCATGTATGGTCGAATAAAATGTTCACATATTCGAAACATGACTTGGCCAAGGATGGAAGGGATCACTAAAGAGCTAATAGAAAGTACATACGCGAGGGTATGATATTAATATCGAGAACATTTGTGAGCATATCACAGGACTGAAATATTTTGCACCCGGCTGTTTGTTGGCAGAACAACGATACGCTAAAGTTAATTGATCGAATACAGGGAAGTATTTATTTATCATCTCACTTGCGAACATCGAGGTGTTGGCGGAATTGTACGATCATGTTGTCTTTCTTAAATAATAACTTTTTCAATGAATGTTCATTTTACTTTTGCGTCTTTATTATATGTCGGGTTTTCATTTATTTTAAATTCGAAATTGTCCGAAATACTCCCAACAGGTGTATAAGTACAATAATATTAGTACTTACCAAAGTACTTACCAGGGAAGTTTATTACACACGATGTGTAAAGGGCGTCGTAACTCCCGTTTATTAATTATAAATTATTTTTCATTCTGCTTAAAAAACAACGGCAGCATCTCACTTAACTCTCGCGACCAAATCTCTTTTGTTTTGTATGGCATCGTCTTGGCGATGATTTTATTGCCGACTGAATTTTAATTGTGTTTTAGGATAAGTTATTTTCTGTTTGTTGGTTTCTAAATTTTACAAACTTGGGTAGCAATTACTATTAATGTGAGATTTGTGCATATGAACGATTGAATATCGCGACTGGATGTCCGATATCTGAGAATGCGTAATTCTCTTTCAACATTAATTTTCAGAATATCAGCGTTCATGTGGTCGAATAAAAATTATTTATCAAATGGATTGGTGTTTCGAGACACTGTCAAAATTATTTGGGATCCACTATCATATCATTCGTTTATTTTTTTTATTCATGTTTTTCTCAAGAATCACCGTCCTTATATTTAGTGTACCTTCGCAAAAGAAAACTCTTTGGTGTCATCGTTCCTATTAGTGTAATTGAAATATATGGAAACCTCGCAAGTGGCGTTGTGATGCGAATATTTGATACTAGGTCAGCAGAATTACAAAGAGTGCTATTTATGAATGCTGAAAGTACATGACATTACTGAACATTTTGTCAATATATGATGTTTTCTGCCCGATTTAAACTAACTCGCACGCAAACCAAGGCATGTCGACATTTAAAAATTACTTGTCTTTGGGTAAGCTCTGAAATAGTATAATATAAATGTAAATGAGGAATTAGGTCACGCTAGCTCACGAAAGGGAGGATTTTCAAAGTGATCTTGTGTAATATTTCGGAGAAAAAAGTTTGAAAGGAAAGTAGGTCAACCTATCTCCTAAAACAGGGGAGTATCCTGCGTAATATTTCGGAGGGAACATAGGTTAACCTATCTTTTAAAACAGCGGGTGGCGACTTTCAAAGTGGTTCAAAATCACAAATTAATAATTATCAGATTAGGTTTAGGGATAAATCGAAAAGTTGAATTTCCAGCGCACCTAACCCTAATTAGGCTATTTATATTTGGGGGATTATTTTGCAGGGATTTGTACAAACGATCCACCCTGTAACTAATATGGTTTCCAGCCTGCCTCGTGTCTGTTAGATGGAAGGAGTAACAAATGTGAAAGTCTTTGCTGTTTAGGCTAGTAAGCAACTGACACCGTGACACATTGCATGAAAGTTTTGTCCGCGGCAGGTGTTAGCAGATGTTATTTCGTTGCCGATGAATTCCCTTGTTTTAATTAAACATGAATTCGCTTAAAGGGAACTCGTTAACGAAAAGGCTTCTCTTTAATTCATAATATTAACCGGAGGAGCGCTTTTTCGAGTATCTATGCCGTTTTAAATGGGTTATATGAAAGGTTAGGGCACATAACTTGTGAAAATCGGCAAAAGCACTTTCGCACTTTTTTTTTCGACTGCGAAGCACTTTCGCACTCATAATTTGCTTAGAGTTAACACTGCTGGTAACGGGTCTAGAGACCGTTGTTCACCATATGACCAAGTCGTCTTATCAGCTTTCCTCCTCCTAGAATAAAAATGTAAATTCTATCCTAAATCCTAGCTGTCTTAGGTTTCAAATTATGATTTTTTTAATTTGAGTGAGGTAGCTTGATTGCTTTGCACAAATGATTGACTTTGCTTAACCCTTGGAAAAATACAATTTTGTGTACTGTGTCTAACTTGAAAGTTTGCCTATTTCCAGTACAGTCTTGCAAGCAATGCCCAATTAAAAAGTTTTCGTCATAAAATTCCCAAACTAACAAAGATGACATTATTTATATTTGTTTATTGTTATCATTGTCAGGTGGTACCGGTGTTGGTAAATCTGTTGTTGCAAGAGGACTTCTTGATTCTATTGCTGATGACCAAGGATATGTTGCTGTTTACATGAACTTTTCTGCACAAACTTCTTCTGCTCGTACTCAAGAAATTATTGAGGGGAAATTGGAGAAGAAAAGAAAGAATATTATTGGTAATTCTTAAATTATATTCACCGTTTAATTTAACTGTAAGATGTATGTAACTCTTATTTTTACACAACACTTTTACAGGGTTGTTTGAGTCATATCATAGTTCATGATATATTGTAGAAGTTGTATTGTAAAATCATTTTTCATTCAAATTATCATTATTTCATGCTGTTTTCATTCATTTCATGTTTGTAGGTGCTCCACCAAACAAGCGTGTTGTTATATTCGTTGATGATTTGAACATGCCAAAACTGGACAGATATGGAAGTCAACCTCCTATTGAATTACTCAGGCAATATCAAGATTTTAGAGGATTATACGACAGAGAAAAAATGTTCTGGAAGGTTTGTGAACATGTTGTTTTCATACTAGAAAATGCACCTAATTTTTTGTAAATACTAGTAAAATTCGTTATTTTAAAATATATTTTCGAGTGTGAGAATGTTAACATAATCAAAACTAAGAAAATGTAATATTTTGCATTCAACATATTCATGTAATGGAATGAATAATAGTCACTGATTGAATGCCTAATTTACCATCTATTTATTCTTCTATCATTTTTAGATCATAAAAGATGTCACCATTGCTGCAGCTTGTGCTCCACCTGGTGGCGGTAGAAATCCAGTAACTCCGAGATTTATTCGACATTTTTCAATGCTCTGTCTTCCATCTCCATCAGAATTCAACTTGAAAATGATATTTTCTGTAAGTTTTGAAGGTCACTTGTTTATGTCTAGTTTAGTTTCAGTAAATCATTTCAACATCACAATTTGAATTTTCAAACTTCAATGCCCTTTGATTTTTCACACAGAAAACAAACAAAAAATTGCACTTTTTTACCGACAATTCATTTTCCCGTGTACATTACCTTTCAGGCAGTTCTTCATGGATTCTTGCATGACTTTCCTCAACCTGTAAAACAAAGTGCTACAAACATTGTTGATGCAGCTATTGAGATCTACGGAAGAATGTCAACTGATCTACTTCCAACTCCTGCTAAATCTCACTATGTTTTCAATCTCAGAGATCTTTCCAAATGTATTCAGGGTATCATGAGAGCTGATTCTGGTGTCATCAGAGAGCAGGTATATTGGAAATCATATTGAGATGTGTTGTAAAGCAAAAAAAAACAAGAAATTAGTTTTACCAAATGTTCATAGGCATGATGGCCCTGTGATGTTAGCATTGGATTTAGCTGGGTTAGCTTTACAAGTGAAGTAATTCGCAGTTTAAATTTCATGAGCCCCACCTCACCCAGGGTGTAATAAAATGGGTAGGCTATGCCCAGCAAGACAGATTCTGGCTCTTCCAATATAAAATCAGCTTCATGCATAGCAGTGGAAACTTGTACAGAGACTTCCTCAGAGTGAAAGGTGTATACAAAGCATCGCATAAAAAATTTAACACAATTTGTGAGTACATGTAAACAATTTGATATATGCCTACCTACTATCGCTGTGAACTTGAGTGTTATGGGCTAAAACAGTTTTCCTAAACTGTGAGTCTTCAGATAATTGACAAGACAGATAATTGACAGACAAGTGCGATGTGAAATATCGACCTTTATTCTTAAAATGAGAAAAAGAGAGAGAATTTTTATTTCGTCAACCAAAAAACACATAATCTAAAAATAATATTAACAAAATAAGTGAATCAAAAGTTTTCGGTATGACTGGGTGGTAACGATACGACAATTTACGGTCATCAGAGTCAGTTACCATCAAATGACTTCTTGTCTGCCTGAGTTTGAGACTTGACATAAACTGAACAAATAGTTAAAATTATTGTTTGAGAGAGTAGAATGCCTGGATATATCAGATTTTAAGCTGTGTTATGATTGTTTATGTTCATAAAAACAAGCTCATATATTGCAATATTTTAAAACTTTGTCGTAATCTAATTCTAATCAAGTGAAAGTTTCTCTACAATGCTATCAATACTTCAAAAAGATGAAATTTGGTTTCATTAAAACATATCACTTTTTCAGGCTCACATATTTCATTTGTTCTGTCATGAGTCACAAAGAGTGTTCCATGATCGTCTAATTAATTTTGATGATAAAACATATTTCAACAACATTCTATCTGAAATGGCAAGCAAACATTTTGGACAAACTGTAAGTATTTATAACAATGCAATACAACAAATACATTGTCCACTGACGGTAAGTCAAAATGTTGACAGAATTCCAAAGAAGTATTCAAAATTTCAACCAGTACTTTGAAAAACTCAATATTACTATTTTGAACAAGAGCATATAGTACTATATGCTTCATACATTATTTAATGAACTCAGCTAAAATTAAGGATGTAATTTCATATTTAAGCTCAGGAGAGAAATGTTTATAAGACATGTAAGAATCTTACTAATGATAATCTTCCATACTGGGTTGGATATGGTGATAACAATATTTTTTTCCGTCTCTATAATTAGCATAAAAGACATGAAACACGGTAATTGATATAAAGAAATAAGTAAGGCTCAAAGGGTATAGGAGCGTGATAACTAACAAGTTTAAAGTGCTCCAGATATATGGACATGTTCATATAACATTTACCTGTATTTGTTTATCCCATTATTGACCATTTATTAGTGAATATAATGCATTTTTTCTCAACTATTCTCTTTGTAGGTTGAGCCTGACAGTTTCGTGACAAAACCAATTATTTTTGGTGATTTCATGAAAGTTGGAGCTGAAAAATCTGACAGAATTTATGAGGATCTTACTGACAGGTAAGAAAATTTAAAATCATCTGCAGTTTTGTATTATCGTATATTATTTTGTACTGTTATATTCTTAGCGTAATTTTATTCATACTTTGTTCCCAATTACATATCAAAAATGAATATTAACTTACATTGTTCCGAAACAATGAATTATACTATAAGCCGCTGGGCGGTTAAGGCTTCTTCCACCATCGAGTTCATGCATCTGAAACAAATTACTGTCTAACTAATTGCATACACGGCAGTGGACTGGAAACCGGACGAGCGGCTGTGCTTTGCCATATGAATTAGCCGCGTTATCGGCTTTTCCCCACTTGATAAATATGTACCATAAATCTTATCCTTTAAATATCTGCTAGAAATTTTTTAGTTGTAATAAAAAAAATTATGTTTAAATGATGTCTAAAGTGAGAATAAATTTCATATTTTCCAATTTTCTTTTTCTGATCCTAATTAACAAATAAACATAAAATAAATATATAAATATATATATTTTTTTCTAAGGATGGAAAAAGTAAAAACAGTACTTGAAGATTATCTTGATGATTACAATCTTGCTTCATCCAAAGAAATGAAACTTGTTTTCTTTCAAGATGCAATTGATCATGTATCTAGGTAATTACATGCATTATTTGTGTATAGTAAAACTATCGGCATAGGTTCCCAGTCACCAACTCAAACAGAAACACAAGTGAGGTAACTCAATAAGGTGTTCTACTGATTAGGATTCATCCTTACAGTGTGCTTGCTATTCATGATTTCGAACCTGCCTATGAAGTTTTCAAAATCATGTAAATAAGTGTTTAATGTGAGCTTGGTGTATTCTTGAGGTTATACATACAAATTTGCTAGCACAAAACAGAAGAGCAATGAGTATATTTCTGTTACGCAATGGACATATTAGGCTATGCATTATGAACACACTCACCATCGCACCTTTCATTCCCTTACACTTGTTGACAGGTTTCAGTAGGTATAATTATGCGTGAGAAGATTGCTGTCTCCTCGCTTCCTTAAAGCGTTTCACATAACCACTGGTTGGTTACGGATTGCCCCACCATCAAAACCATGCATCCTGATAACTAGCTAAATATTCTCATAACCTACATGGATTGGTAACCAGATGCTCACGAACCAGAGACCAAAATTCATCACATGATTGAGCCGTCTTTGTTCCCTTCAATATAAATACAAAAGTCCTCCGTATACAATATATAATAATATTCTACTATTTAGAATTGTGCGTATGATCGTGACTGAACGGGGAAATGCTTTACTCGTTGGTGTTGGTGGTTGCGGTAAACAATCTCTCACCAGACTTGCATGTCATGTTTGTGGATACCGATGCATTCAAATTGAACTTACTCGAGGATACAATTATGATTCCTTTCATGAAGATTTGAGAAAAATCTATGTTACTGCTGGAGTGGAGGGAAAAGATACTGTGTTCTTGTTCACTGATACTCAGGTTAGTTGACTTGTGAATAACGTTGGAATTGTTTTGATATCACATGTGAGCTCAGTTTGGAATGACAATATACTATACACAGTTCAAAAGCATAGAAAACCGATAGTTGTGTTATGAATATCATAAAAAATATCGTCGTCTTATTCTATAGATCAGGGGTCACCAAACTACGGCCCGCGGGCCGGATCCGGCCCGCGACGTCATTTTATCCGGCCCGCGGCGTCATTTTATCCGGTCCGCAATAACACACAAAAATGGCTAAATTTTTTTCCAAGGGAGATTTTAACGAGCATCATCGTCTTTGTTTATTTCGTAACATCGGCCAATCGGCAAGATGCAAAAAAGTGACGTAATAATTGGCCTTTCCGCGTCCGCTCAGACACTTTTGTCACCCCGACAGATTTTCAGTTGTGGTTGTAAACAAAACTTCGTTTTTGCGACTTTGAATGCTACCATAACGTAACGTTTTCTGCGATACACTTGTACACTCGTGGCGCGTGCTTTCGACGAAACTAAACTGCTCCAGTGGAAAGATCTGAGTAAAAATAGAAAACAATACCAAGTTTACAATAAACGGTCAAGAAATAACGGAGATATCGGAATTTTAGACTCGCCCGACTGGCCAATTTTTTCCATAATGATTGTATTACTTTTTTGATAAGAACTGAACTAAATATGGAAAAATAACACATATCAAAATCACTAATCTTTCGTTGTGCGTCACATCTATGGTATATTGAGACTATTTCAGATTTTTATTCTGGCAACGGTCATTGACACCGCCGAAAGATCGTCGCAAATAAACGCTGGAGTTGTGCATGATAGTTTGACAGTGGTTCATTGTGGGTAATAATTAACGATGTTCTGATTGTACGAACTTCATAAAAATTGTATCAAGTTAAGAAAGAAATACACACGTCCACATACATTTTATTGGTGTCCATAGACAATATCATTATTTTGCACTACGTATAACTGGAGCGTAATTTTTAAAAGCGTCGAATGTTGGGAAATTTATGCGCAAATGAATAAAAATAAAAATACCAGATAATAGTTGTTCGTTTTATCTAAATTATGTCAAAATTTCATAGAATTCCAAGCTACAGCAGGTAGTCGTTTTTATGAGAGGTATTTCAACAAGGCGTAATGGTACTTAGCAGACCGTAGTAGTATATATTTACGAGCAGACGTGATGCGTACATTTTTTGCCGCGGATTTTGTAACATTTCTAATTCATGACAGCAACGTTTTGATAACAGCTAAACTCAGGATAGTTGTCTAGATATAGAAATCTTGTTAATTTTTTTCCTAGGATGTTCTCGATCGATATTCTGCGATATTCCCAACATTTGTGAATTTATTGTCTTGCATTGACAAAAATATTCATCCGGCCCGTTTCAACACAATTTGAGTCATACCCGGCCCGCGGTCAAAAAAGTTTGGTGACCCCTGCTATAGATCAGGGAGAATCACTCATAGTAGTACTGTAATATATTTTTGTAAATATCAAGTCTCATATTGTATTTGAAAATTCTTTCTTACCAAGACCCTGAACAGCCCCCCCAATAAATGGGGCTGGCTACTGAATACTGTTTTATTAAGTTGTTATCAGTATTTTTCTCCAAATGTTTTTTTGAATATATTTTTTGGTAATATATTTGGTTTTGTATAACTTTTAAAAAATGCTTTTTTTGATAAACAAAAAGATATAATTCAACACAGTTTGTTTATATACGAATACCGGTAAGTAAAAGTTATTTGTGTTTTCAGAAAAAAAATGTTTAATTTTTCTTAGATTGTTCAAGAGGAATTTCTTGAAGATATCAACAACATTCTCAACTCAGGAGAAGTTCCTAATTTATTTGAGAAAGATGATCTGGAACAAGTGCTTGGTGCTGTTCGACCATTTGCCAAAGCTGCTGGAATTGCAGAAGGAGATAGAGATGGTGTCTTCCAACATTTCATCGCTAGGTAAGTACAATTCAAAACTCTCTCTTAAGAGTTCTTTTATTAGGCAATAACAGAAATCAAAATTTGTAAATCTAAACAGAATGCCTTTTTTACTATTTATAATATTTCTATTTATATTACTTAGTGATTTGAAAGAAAGAATTTTTACATGCTGTGTAATTTTTTGATGATTTGTTGTTTTGTTTGGCCTCGCGGTTAAAGCGTTATACTTAACTAAGTTAACAGGTCACTCATCACAGGTTTTAATCCCATGTTACCACCTACATCACTCAGGGTATAATGATTTGGGTAGGCAATGTTGGAGAGTAGCTTCTTACAGAACGTTATATATCAGTATCATCACTTACATAGGGCCTTGTTTAGAAAGTGTCGTGTAAGAAATGGGCCAATTTTTTCTATATATATTTTTTCGTACAGAGTTCGTCAAAATCTACATATTGTATTATGTATGTCTCCTGTTGGTGATTCTTTCCGTGCAAGATGTCGTATGTTCCCGTCTCTTGTCAACTGCTGTACTATTGATTGGTAAATATGACTCTTGTGATTTGAATTAATTTGTTAATTGAATTAAGTTGTTTGTTAAATCAAGGTCGCCTTCATCTTCTTCCAAAATGAAATATGAAAAACTTTGTTCATATTATGTATGTGTATAATGTTAGCATAATAGGTCATTATAGATAAATTCATATTATATCTTAGTTGATGCTTTGGTCAAATTCCAGAACAACAGACAAAAAATTTTCTTACCCATCAGTTGAAGTAGTTTATTTTTTATGTTATCTTAGAATGGGCAAAAAAAAAATGGCGCAATAATTATATTAGTAAGTCAGTAAGAATTGAATAGGTCTCATCATTGAATTTCTGACTCATATTTTTACTTATTTCAAAATTATTTTTTATATTGGATTTATATTCTCTTTATACACATAAGGTTTGTCCAATGGCCAGAAGAAGCTTTACTCAGTGTATCAGAATCTTTCCTTGCTCCTGTAGAAGGATTAGATGATGCTATCAAACCTAAATTGTCCACGATGTGTGTGGAGATCCATACAAGCGTCAATAAAATGGCTGAAAGGTAAGATATTTTTAATTTTGTTATTACTTGCAGCATATATTTATTATCTTCCAAATAAGTATCTTAAACTTATCTTAATGGAGGAAAATTGGGTAGTCATGTAGTATGTGAACCAAGATGGTGGATAGGGTTAGGCCATAATTTCAGGTACAAATACTACGGGAGTCACTTGGCTAGTCCATGAACTTGTAATAGATCTAAAATAAGTAAAATTATGTCCTAACCCTAACCTGATACACATACTACGTTTCGATGTCCGCCATCTTGGTGCACATACTACAGGAGCGCCGAAAATTGATTCATTAGGTATCATATTTTTCACTTAATCCGATATGCCAAAAACATGTATTAGTGACTGCCTTACCTTTGTTATGAAGATAACGTGCTACAAATATATTTTCAACATTTCAGATTTTATTCTGAACTACGTCGTCATTATTACACTACACCAACATCTTATCTGGAATTGATTAATTTGTATCTCAGCATGTTGGACGAGAAAAAGAAATCACTTGTCGTTGCAAGAGATAGATTTAAGGTGAAATAAAATTTTATATCATTTCATAAATGAAGTCAAACTTAATTGCAAAACTGTATTCAAGATATAGATCCCAATCAATTTAGGTATGTATTGACATATTCCTATATTACTGTATACTAACCGAGTAAATTCATTTAACGGTACATTAGAGCAGCAGTTCTCAAGATTTTTAAGCAAAGCCCCCTTTTTAGAATTTGTCAAGTCTCGTGCCCCACCTCAAAAATAACTAGCTAATAATAAGCTACAAATAACAGAGAGTAAGGCGAAAGTATATTTTATACAAAAAACATGGTGAAAATACGTGGATAAGAATCGCAATCTACAAATAATAAAGAAATGTAAATATCCAAAAAAAGGCACCAATATCAAATCTAACAAATATTTTTATTTTTATCAGCTCCACGCTCCTCATAAAATCGCCTAGGCCCCCCTTGTAGGGCACGTCCCGCCGTTTGAGAACCACTGTATCAGAATGTTATACATTTTGTGTTGTCTTTTTCAGACTGGTCTAAGTAAACTTCTTGAAACCAACGAGCTTGTAGACAGCATGCAAGAAGAACTAACTGCTCTCGAACCTGAACTGAAAAAGAAAAGCAAAGAAACAGAAGAATTGATGGAAAGGTTAACTGTTGATCAAGAAAAAGCTGATCAGGTTAAACGAAAATAAAGAATTTATTTATGACATAACAATTTGTCGATTATTTGTCAACTTCACATTTGCAGAAATTGTTTTCCATCTATTGTTATGGTTTATATAACAATATAATATTTTCTTATTTTATTTTGAGTAAAATGTAACTCAATAACACTAAATATGTCAAGCTACAGCTTCTTATCAAGTTCCCAATGCTTGTTATCTAGTTATGGCCATAGTTAATCGGATGAAACTTCTATAAATATGAACATGAACTCATTCAAAAAAGTTTAGAAGAACTGGATAAGTGAGCACCGAATAGAATCGAAAACACTAGTAATAATACACAGTGCGGATCTCAATCGCTTTTCATTTTTAAAGAAAATTCCCTGTTGTTCCTAGTTTCATTGCTTGATAAGGTTATTTCACAAGGTATTTTCACTTTGTTGAGCGTGAATTGTTTGAAAATAATAAAATTTGGAATCTGCTAATCAAAGTAACAATATAAACACTGGAATGATAAACAGGGAGCAACGAGCCATAAAGCCATAAAAGGTTGGGCACCACTCGTCTATGGTCTTCAGTCAAACATGCTTAGTTTTAATGCGACCATAATATACACTTTTTTATTTCAGGTCAGAAAAGTAGTTTTGGAAGATGAAGCCGTTGCCAAAGTAAAGGCTGAGGAAACACAAGCTATTGCGGCCGATGCACAACGTGACTTGGATGAGGCATTACCTGTTTTATCTGCTGCAAACAAAGCTTTGGATGCATTGGATAAAAGTGACATCGCTGAAATCAAAGTATTTGCCAAACCACCTGATCTTGTCCAAGTTGTCTTGGAAACGGTAAATATGAAAATCCAATTCTACTAACCATAAGCCTGGGTCATATCTGTATTCCAGTTGCTGTTTTTACTAGTTGGCTAATCAAAAAATCTTATCTCTTTATAGGTTGCAATTCTTCTCAATGCAAAACCAGACTGGGCAACAGCAAAAGGATTGTTGGGGGATCCAAACTTTTTGAAACGATTACTTGAATATGACAAAGACAATATTCCAAACAAGATTTTGTCAAAACTAACAAAATATATCAACAATGCCGATTTTGTACCAGAAAAAGTGGAAAAAGTGAGTTTTTTCGTAAATTTTATAAAAATTTGTTGGCATATAAGAACATTTATTCGAGAAAGATGCTGAGTCCAAGAATTTCATGTGCTACCACTTTACTTAGGATGACATGAATAGTATAGTATGGACATAAATAATTTGCAAAATCAATTACTTACTTACTCGAAAGGATGTGCTTGTCTGGAGTCTTATTCAGAGTGTTACTCATCTTCTTTCTACTCTCCTTTACAATTCAGGTCTCGAAAGCTTGCAGATCGATGTGCATGTGGGTGAGAGCAATGTACACATACTCTCATGTTGTGAGAGAAGTTGAACCCAAGCGAGAAAGACTTCGTGCTGCACAAGCTGAACTTGACGTGACTATGGCATCCCTCAAAGAAAAGCAGGATAAATTGGCTGCAGTAGAGGCTCAAATCGCTGATTTACAGGTATGTATAAGACATTGATGTTGGCAGGTGTAGGTAAATCCCTGATTTATGATTTTCAACACATATTTTCACTATAAATACTTCACCGATATATGGTAAGCACTATTTTCTTTATAGATTTGCCAAATTCAAGCTTCTTTTTTTACATTGAACAATTTCAAAAACACATAAATAATTTTGAAATTTTTCACTTATGGACAAAGCTCTTCATACTAAGTAGCGTTCAACATACGACTGATTGTGACAAGATTTTTTGAATTCCCAATTTCTTGATTAGCTCAATTGGTTCGTCAGTTGTTTTTTGCTTCCATCGTTACGATGAATATACATCTATTAAAATAAATTTTCTCGCTTTATAATGACATGTTTACTGTTTTTTATTCAGGCATCATTTGAACACAGTGTACAAGAGAAAGATCATCTTATGAAAACAATGGCATTAACAGCTGCCAGACTGAAGCGAGCAGGAAAACTAACTGCTGCATTGGGAGATGAACAAGTAAGTATGAATTTTCAATTCGCTCCAGGTTTTACTCTAATACAGACAGTGTTCATACTTCCTACTATATAAAATATAAAGAAAACTTCAAAATTGTAACCAGGGGGATAAAAATGCAGAAGATAACCTAATGACATGGTGTTTCATCAAACTACCAGGTCATCTTCATTGCTGATAGATATGTAAATGAACAATTTAAGTGAAATCAGTTGAAATTGATGAATTAGTAGAGCACTATACCAGGGCAAGACATCAAGCAACCTTCTCACACATAATCTATTCTCACAGGATAAAAACTGACAACTTTTTGCAAATAATCAGCTGCGCAATAGCGAGCATGGTCCGAGTATGTGAGGCTTGCAACTGTATTTGCTACTATATTACCCTTCAATTTCCGTCCATGTCATTGTCATTAACAAGTCAATAAAATTATATTTCAACTCTTTGTTTTTGTACTAGGTACGTTGGGGTGAGAAAGTAGAGGAATTTGAAATTCAGATTGGAAACGTTGTTGGTGATGTGTTTATTGCAGCAGCATGTATTGCTTATTATGGTGCTTTCACATCGACATACAGAGATTTACTTGTTATTGGATGGACTGAAAAATGTAAAGAACTGGTATGTGATTTCTTTTAGTAAATGTAAGACTTATTAGGAGTTCAATCCTTGCTATTTCAAGCATTCGTGCAACATCGTAAAAGCTAAGCTGGCTGAACCATCAATAATATTGGGTGACTAAATATTGCATTACTGGTATTATGAAATTACTTCACAACACTTACTTTCATTTCACTACCAAACATATTAATACAATTCACAACTAGAAACACTATGTCTTGAATTTGTATTACAGGCTGTAAGTTAGGTCAGTTTAATATTTGAAAATTTGGTCAGATGTGACAAAAGTGACGAGGAATTGTCTAAAGCATTTGCATCTATGAAAAATTGCATGAATGATACAGAAAAATGCCTTTTTTGCATTTCAAAAGGGGGAGGGGTATGCCCCTGATAGAGACCTTGTGTGTAGAGTCAATTCAAGCCTAAGATTTTCATATACAGGAAATTCCTACATCTGATGATTTGAGTCTGGTTAAAATCTTGGGAGATGCTTATGAAATACGACAGTGGAATACAGAGGGTTTACCTCGTGATGCAGTGTCAACTGAAAATGCTATTCTGGTAACTAGAGCTCGTCGTTGGCCTCTTATGATTGACCCACAAGATCAGGCAAACAGGTGAGATCTTTTTGTTCATCACAACAAATGTTATAAAATTTTGACATGCATTCACAAATTTGAATAGTATAAATACACCATCGTAAATATATATAGTTTTAAGTAGTATTTGGCCTTTCAGTTGTCATTGTAACTTTTGTAACTTTTCTCAGATGAGTCTCATGTACTGGAATGGGTGGACATGACCTTGCTCTAAGCAATTTTCCTCCTAAAAAAACATGGAGGTGTATTCACGCTGTACATAGTATAATATATTAGAATATTATGTATGAGAGAGATAATAAATTGTTACTGAATATCATTAAAGTACACATTTATCCACACCAGTGATAAAAAACAATGGTCATATTATATAATAGGTAAAGTTAACCGACCCCTATGGATATGAGAAAAACTTGAAGGGCCTAGTTATAATATATTTCTTGTTGCATTGAAATATAACAAGCAGTGTCCGTTTGAAACTTGAGTTGTATTTCTTCTATTATACTGGTATCTGCTTCTTGGTATTTAGATGGATCCGTAACAAAGAAACAAAGAATGGATTGAAAGTTATCAAACTGAGTGATCCAAATTTCTTGAGAACATTAGAAAATTCAATCAGGATTGGAATGCCTGTGTTGTGTGAAGAAATCGAAGAAACATTGGATCCAGCACTTGAACCTGTACTTCTCAAACAGGTCAGTTATAGGTTATCTTCAACCAATGCCATTTCTGTGCATCTTTTTTGCACTTTGCAGTTTTAGAAATTTTCAAGATAATAATGTTAGAACATGGAAACTTACATGGACATGAGTACCTGAAAAGTGAAAATGGTGTTTCCAACTTCTATTAGGATAGATAGTCTATCAAATTAAATCAAATTATAGAAAGTCCAACAAAACTGCATTCATGTTTACGTTTAGTAAAGTTTTTGACACTTTTCAAAGTGTTCTAATTAGGGCTGGGAATGGTTAACCGATTTTAGATGGTTAACGGTTATGATTTATTTTAACCGTTAACTGACATCTCAGGTACAAATCATCTTTATAATCTACAATTCTTTCAAAATTATCTCCTGTGGCGTTTAATACAAAAGAATATCGCTAACTGTATTGGTGATAACCTAGATTGCTGATTATGAAAATTTGACGATAATCAATTTTGAATCAGTTTTCGGTCGAAATATATTGTTCACGATTATATTTCCAAATCGTATATTCAATGTCAATCAACAGATGCGTAGTTGATGCTGTTTTTCTTTATATATCTCAAAGTAGAATTTGCACATCAAACACTAAAATGTCCTAATCATGCTCTATATCTCATGAAGCAGAGCGATCACGAAACTATCTCGATTCGTGAATAATTTTGAGCGATACCGGGATAAGGTCACGCGAAATTGCCTTGTAATCATTGTGACGCAAAAAGCGAAAATTATAAATTTAACAGGTTAATTTTACCCGCGCCAAAAATCATTACATAAAAAAGCAGCATTGAGACTACCTAGTAAGAGTAAGATTATTCCAACCATCTTTAGTTGACTTGCTCAAGGTAATATTTGTACTGATTCTGCTTAAGGTGTCTGATATTCATAATCATGATATTTTCTTACAGACCTTCATGTCCGGTGGTCGGATGTTGATTCGTCTCGGAGATTCAGATATTGATTATGATAAAAACTTCCGATTCTACATGACAACAAAGATGTCTAATCCTCATTATTTACCTGAAGTCTGTATCAAGGTATGTAACCATTGGTATTTTTATAGGTAAAGTATTTACCAATGTCATTTGATAGTTATAATTAGAGCAATAAAACATGTCAGTTATGAATATTCACTTTTTTAATATCTATACTTGATCTGTATCCTACACCTTTTAAAAAAATGGTTTGTGATTTACATTGCCAACATGATTAAGATAAGATGGGAAAGGATTTATATATTTATCCCGGGGAATAACGTCTGGTTACAAGTCCATGTTGGGTATGGGATTAGTTAGCCAGTTATTTGTTATCGGAAGCATGGACTTGATGGTGAAGGAAGCCGTAACCGACCAGCGGTAACGCGAACCACCCTACGGTGGCGAAAGGGTCCAGCAAACGTCTCGCACATCGTATGGCATTCGAACCTGCAACTTCACGCAGGGTGGCTAACGTATTACTCATGCTTGGCACGATTCGCCACACCGCTGAGCCCATTCCACAACTAGTTCTGATAACCAATCAACATCGTTATTTCTATCTTTCATTCGAGGTTGTTAAAACATGTAAATTTAATATTTGGCATAAGCAATTATTCTAAAAACAAATGCCTCATGGCTAACAATTTTTATAGGTCACCATCATTAATTTCACTGTCACAAAACTTGGACTTGAAGATCAGATTTTGAGTGATGTTGTCAGACTGGAAAGACCAGATCTCGAGGAACAGAGAAATCAGCTTATTTTGAGGTGAGAACATACTTAAACCTGCAATAATAAATGGAATTTATAATTGTTGCCATTTGACGAAATGCTGCGATAATGTCCCAGTTACTCAGTACTAACTATTGCAATAAAAACGTTGTTTATTGATTGGACAAAGATTTGTACAAATGCTGATCAGAACCCAATGAAACCTTTTAACACCTTTCATTTGTCAACACTGTTAGTTTAATTTGGCATACCATATGTCTCCCAAATTTGTGGGAAAATTTCATCATTTGAATGACGCGCAACCTCTATTTTAGAATCAATGCTGATAAAGCACAACTGAAATCAATTGAAGATCAAATTTTGAAATTACTTTTCCAATCTGAGGGAAATATTCTTGACAATGAAGCTCTCATCAACACTCTTAATGACTCAAAAGTAACCTCAGGAGTGATTTCTAAACGACTCGAAGAAGCTGAAGCGACAGAACTCAACATTTCGGAAGCTCGAGAGAAGTCAGTTGAGAAATTTTTTTGTTTTAGAGCAGTAATGCCAGCTTGTGCTCCTACAAGACTCCCTGTAAATTTGTATGCACAGAGTCTGGTTTTGAGTAAAAGAGTAGAAAATATCTTGATCACATATGAAATTTATGTTTCAAGAATGATTCAAGAGCCGTTTGTATAGCGTAGTGCATATGTTCTCAAAGTGCTTCATACACAGCCCCAGGGCTTCATGAGAGGACCCCAGCTTTGCGATCTATTTGTTCACTTATTAAAATACTGAACTGTCCGAAGAAACAATAACGGCATTGATAAAATTTAACAACTGTAGCCTCGAAATGTGGCAACAAGGCGGTAATACAAATAAGTTCTGATAGAATATGCCATATTTAAATTACTGCCTTGTTGCCATATTTTGACATCCGAGTCATTATATAAGATAAATTGATTGTGGGGCTCCATAAATATTAGTCAACTTCTTCACTACCCTTGGTGTAGTGCATACAGCACATTTTCTATATTTTATTTTGTATTCAACCAGATATCGTCCTGTTGCTACCAGAGGATCTGTTCTGTTCTTTGTTGTTGCATCGCTATGTGAGATTGATCCCATGTATCAGTTTTCACTTCAATATTTTAATGATATATTCAACATGACCATCAACAATGCTGAAAAATCAAAAGATTTGAACAAGAGACTGAATATATTGCTGGTATGGTTTTATTTTTGACTCATATCAAATTAAACCTCACAGCTACAAATTTACTAATACTAATATTGACGGATTCATCAGTATTATAATGCATTTATGCTCACGTTACCAACTGTTCAACAACCCCAGTGCAAGGTGCACATATCACCAGTTAATGACCCGCTGATAAGTGGGCACTCCAGAAGTGTGTGTACTAATATGGAGGTAACTAATTTTGTTCGCCTATTTTACATCAAGTTGTGTAAAGGGACTGAAATCTATGGGCAGGGGATATATTCACTTGGCTAACACAGACAGTCCCCGAACTCGTAATAGAACTAAAATAAGGAAAATTGGAATAAAATTATGACCTAACCCTAACCTAGTACACACACTACAGGAGCCCCGATAAATGTGCGTAGTGAGAGGGGAAGAAGGGTTGGTTTCTAAATAGGCAAATGGAGAATGTATCCAAAAATGTTGTAACCTAACTGACCCATTCACGTAACCAATAATCAACGGTAATCATTTACCAAATTTACAAAATATTTTACAGAATGAAACGACTTTTGCGATCTATCGTAATGTTGCACGAGGTCTATTTGAGCGTCATAAGCTCATCTTCAGCTTCATGGTTTGTGTTGACATTCTCAAACAACGAGGAACTATACCTGAAAATGAATGGAATTTTTTCTTACGTGGACCATCAGGAATGGATCGTAAACATCCTCCTAAACCTGAAGTTGACTGGCTTTCAGAAGAGGTTTGTTCTATTCAGATCAACATAATACAACTGAAATAAAATAAAAAATTAAACTAAACCACATTGCTGCCCAAACAATCTTTCTATTGATAACTTTTTTATTTCTTTATTCATTTTTAATTCAATTTCTCAGCATTGGCTCTAAACAAAGTGTCCAATACCATATGCCAATTTCTTATGCAGGAATCATACAATACTCAGTTTATAATGTATAGAATTGCGAAAGGATAGAAAAAAGCTGTTTAATGTCAGAATCGATGTCAATTTTTTCGATTCATGCATTGTGCGTTCTGTATTTAGGTTTGGGACAAATGCAATGATTTGGAAGACAGTTTACCAGGCTTCAAAGGACTTACAGAAGACCTCTTACGAACACCGATATATTGTGCTATGGGTGAAATAGAGATCCGCCTCAATCCCGCAGAATGGAGTGAATATACTGTAAGTTATATTTCAGAATACATTCCTTATCAAGTATGCACCATAAATAAATTTTGACCTGATTTACCCACTGTTCAGGCTTGAATGTATGTATCTCTAGTGATAAATGAGCGTTTTATCAAAATTTGTATAGGTTCCAGAGCCACCACCATATGTAAGGCCAGCCACACCCAAAGATGATGAAGAACCACCAGATACAAGTGATCTCGTCGGACATTGGGAAGAAAGACTCACAACCTTCCAGAAACTGATACTTATCAAGAACTTTATAGAAGAAAAGGTATGATAGTGTATTTTCACATCCTTTCTGGTATTCTATTTTCAATGCTTGATGAATGTGGTGTTGAAGCAATCTTTGACTGTTTCACAAGTACAAGCTAATAATTCGTTTTGTACTAAAAGTCAGAATTTTTTGTTCGTCTTGGTATAGTTGTATAGTATACTGGCGAATTGTAAAATATTTTATTTTTTGAATCCTTATAATAATATCATTCAAAGTCTCTACTGTTGTATAAATAATACAAATAACTTGTGACAGAATGTATCTCTTGATTAGCATAGAAAAACAAATGTCAGCCTTATTAGTATAATGTGTTTCTCATGTTTAATTTTTGTTATATTACCGTACTTATTTTTCCTTTATCCCATACATAGCAAGGTGCTTAGTTTTCCAAATTAAAGTTTTATTGGACATACATTATATTGATATTTTGCAGCTTGTCAACTCTATCACTGACTTTGTTATGATGAAGCTTGGAAAACCATTTGTTGAAAATCCACCTGTTTCTCTCGCATCTCTCTATGCTGATCTTACTAATATGATTCCACTTGTGTTTGTACTAAGCACTGGATCTGATCCTATGGGTGCTTTCTTGAGATTTGCTAAAGAACGTGATTATGAAAGCAACATTCAGGCTATTTCTCTTGGTCAAGGTGAGATATGATTTTGATTGCTTGAATAACCTTAACATTGTTTAGATAAAATGGATCACATATAAAATGTGCTGTATAGCCTTACTATTCAAATATGTGTTATCGATTTGGTTTCTGCGAGACTAGCTACTTATCCTTCGTCAATGCTTTTGTGCCTGTGGATTCGTATGCATATAATGCAAGGATGCTGTAGCAAGAGTGGAGATAGCTATACTAATGTTTGTCTGAGGAAGTCTGACTTTAGTCGTACGAAACATTATAGAAATATATTTATGTTTGTGTGCAGCAAGACTCTTGAGTCACTTGGGATTATTCGAACATCTCTTGTCAACACTTTTGGCCTGCTGCTTTTTTATAACAATACTCAGTTTTGCTTTTAACATGTTCCATCAGTTATTTTATGCATCGCGTTCAATATAAAAAAGCCAACAGATGTAAGCAAAAGACTAAATGCATTACAGTCAAAGCATCAAATAAGCATATTATTATTAGTCATTGTGAATGGTGCCCAACAAACGTCTTTGCTTGTGGCCCCCTGAGGGCCCATTTTGAAAAACTCAGGTATATAGGTTTCCAATCGTTCTGAACTCATGACATGTTATTTTCTATCATACAAATTAAAAAGCTTCATAAATAAAGTTCGACTTTATTAACATTAAATCATGACAAGAATGGTTTTATAATGTATTCACATTTATCCAATGCAATTTATGAGCTTGTTTCTCTGCATTTGAACAATCACAACTCTTAATTTCCAATATGACGAGTTGTACTTTTCCCCCAAGGCTTAATTTTAGCATTTTATGTCAAGTTCTGCTGGCAGATAAATAATTTAGGATTGATGCTTCGCGATACAATTGAAATAATAATTTATTATATCACCATGATGTGCAGTTTAAAAACCACTGGTCTGGTACAATATTAAAGCTGGACAATTTTTTCATGTCCCTTTATGATAGAAAAAAAGCCAATATTAGCTTATAAAATCATTTCAAAAATAAAAATGACAGATCTTGGATGCTTTTTGAGAGGAGAGTTAGAATGGTGTTTTTCAACAACTTTTGTGCGATATTTCTATTTTTGTTTTATTGAATTTCAGGTCAAGGACCAGTTGCTGAAAAACTCCTCAACAAAGCACGAGAACATGGTGGATGGGTCTTCTTACAGAATTGTCACTTGGCAAAATCTTTCATGCCAAGATTAGAAGAAGTCATCAAAGAGTAAGTTTTCTTTACCTATCATTTACCTATAACAATAACAAATTTTCCATTAACAACTGGAACACATATGTATGACACCAAGTTGGACTGACCCCTCACCCTGAAATGCCTTTTTATTTATTTATTGCAATTTGTATATCAAGTGTGCATTTAGTATGGTGAGAAAATAAACTACTGATTACTGATTACTGATCAAATTCCCAGACTGCATTATTTGGTCTTACCACTCCAGATAGAATATAAAGATGGTTAGACTTTCGAATGTTTCAGATTCATATTGGTAAAAAGTGAAATAATTGGTAAATCACCTAATGACAGAAATAAGCTTTGCTAAGGTATCATTCCACGAAGTATTGTAAAATCTCTTCTATCACATATACTAGACAAGTACAACAAATTATTGCAAACTAGTCTGTCCAATGGTAATGTTAGCTGCTTTTTTAAACATTAAACTATCTTTATCAAGTTTCCCAGCAAGAGTTTACTCTAAGATTATTCTGAAATATATGAGAAGCATAAATAAACACAATTCTGATTGCATTACATCAGGGTGGGCCAAATAGTATGATTGCAGTTACCGGTATATTAATATTTGCCTGTGTTAACTGTAACCTAACTTTTGGTCCAATCTGTATATATAAATCGAAAATGAGCCTCAAATGGACAACACTACAGAGATGCAGTACATCTATGGTTATTCTTGACATTGATTAATTTTCAAATTTTACTTTTAAATATATACCTAACTCTAGTCTAAGATAAGGTTGAATGATCAATGTAATAATAAAAGAGTCTTTTTAACAGGTTCAAAGAAAAAGGAGTTGAATATATTCACGATGATTTCAGACTCTTTCTCAGTTCAATGCCGACAAATTTCTTCCCTGTTACTATTCTACAGGGATCTGTCAAGGTTAGTTAGAATATTTTCTTCATAGGTTTACTAGAAGCTGTAATTTTGCAATAACCACCTTTTATATTAATACGAAACACTTATCTTTGAGTTTGTACTGATTGAATATTGCCAACATTAGTAATATCCATTAGATTGATAGATCGCTGACAAAATTACAAAAATATTTCAAGCCTTCTGCTCTTCAGGATGTTATTATTCACAATTTTCTTCTCTCTCCGTGGTATGCTGAAATATTATTTCATATTTGCTGCTTCAATAGCATTATCTTCAAAATGACTGACATCCTATTTTATTATTATTAAAATTAACAATTTTCACTATATAATATGCTCTTCGCTCCCTGTTTTATCAAAACAGTAACATCACTAAATCATAAGTACTCTCTCATGACCTATTTTATTAGGTATGTATTATGTGAGAATGTATCGAAAACTTTGACATGTTGCGATTATAATTTTGTCAGGTAACAAATGAACCTCCAAAAGGTCTTCGATCAAATGTACGTGGAGCATTCTCTGCAATTTCTAAAACATTTTTCGAAGATAATCTTCTGGACATGAATTGGCGAAGAGTGATTTTTGGAATCTGCTTTTTCCATGCAATTATTCAAGTACACTTTTTATTTTATTTTTTCCTAATAAAGCATCAAGAAGATTTTCCTAGTTTAGGATGGAAATATTAAAAAGTTATTTGGTATTTTATATAAATGATTGGAAATCAACTAGTTCTAAAGCGAAGTCCGTGTCAGAGTTCGTGAATTCTTTTTTATACATGACACAAGACCTTAACATGTGAACAAGATAAATTTTGTTGCCTCCTTATAGTTCACAGGCACACCTTAAAATTTGATACCATATTTTCAAATTCAAATGCCATTTGGTGCAATCCTTTTCATCATTTGGCTCCAATTGTGATGACAATATCAGTCCTACTCTCTCCATACCCCATATATTTGAGCAAAGCTTTCTTGATTTTCAAATTTATATATTATAATGTTTTAACAGGAGAGAAAGAAGTTTGGACCTCTAGGTTGGAACATTCGTTATGAATTCACTGATTCTGACAGAGAATGTGCTTTACTGAATCTTCAACTTTTCTGCTCTGAGACAAGAATTCCTTGGGATGCTCTTATTTACATTACTGGTGAAATCACTTATGGTGGTAGAGTCACAGATGCCTGGGATCAACGTTGTTTGAGAACAGTGCTAAGCAGGTGGGGGATAGAATTGATCTTGATAATTTTTTCTGGTTATAATGCAAATTTAATACACCAACAGAGCAATGCTCAACTATTTCGACACTAAGGTTAAAAGACTAATCTACACTTGAATCACTTATTTAATTATCATATTTCTCCGCGCATAATACAATGTCTGTGTATGATACGTACTGTCGATTTTCGTCCCTCACTTGCGTCGACCGCATTTTGTATTTTCGAGATCAAGCAAGTTTCATTGTGATTTAATGGTATGTGTGTATGACGTCGACCGGCCTGTCGTCTGTCAATCTTGACGCGTTGTTATCATAATTTGAACTGTCGTGCTGTCACTTGTCTTCGAGCATTTTGAAAACTGAGTGGCGTTTAGTTCCAATTGTGAACAGTGCAGTAATACCGATAAGATGGAGAAACTGGCAGACGAAGCTACACAGCACAATTCAAGTTGAAAGCATGCTGTTATGCTACTGAATGCGGTAACCAGTATGGTATTCAAATGCTTCAAATCAGAATTACAAATCAGGTTCGTCACTGTGACAATTCATCTCGATACCAGTAAAGCCTTCCACAGCAACAACAGCAACCTAAACTTCATGCCCAATGAACAAAATTACTCACACAGTTTTTATATGACCATATTAATTAATAAACTTCACCTGTAAATCTAACTGTCAGGGTGATGAGGGTGATACCCCATTGAAGAAAATATCACCATGAAGCAATACTTTTAATTTAAACAATGCTTTTACAAGGCTTGTAACTGCACTATTTGTGTCCATTATTTCCAAGTTATATAATTTTTTACAGATTCTTCCGTGAAGATACATTGTCTCCTGACTACAAATATTCAGATTCTGGAGTTTATTTTGCTCCTCAATATAAAACAATTGAAGAATACAGAGACTACATTGATAAAATGCCAGTTTCTGATGATCCAGAGATATTCGGAATGCACATGAATGCTAACTTGTCTTTCCAGGTAAATTTTACTTAAGTTGCAGATTACATACTTCAATAAACATTAGCATATGGGCTGAGTGGCACGATAGAAGCGTGCATGATTGGTGATAAACATTCTTGAAACAAAGTGAGTTCAGGTACAATTAAAGATAATGTGAAATATGATGAAAATTTAAATAAAAGCACAGACTATTGATAAATTGAGAAAAAAACCATCAACCCATATAACCAGGGTGCTGGTGGCTTGGCACCGGTATCCGCTGCCCTGGGACGATGTTCGATAACCTTCTCGGTTTCAAACTTGTATAGGTTCATTTCCATTCCATAATCAGCAAAACAGACGATAAAATAATTGATAAAAACAAATAAATAAAAACTGATTATAGAATCAGGAGGGCAACCAAAAACCTAAGATTTATGACATAATTTAAGTTGGAAGGCTTTGCCAAAAGAAGTGGTACGTGTTCACTCACCTAGAAGTATTAAATTAATTCACACGCACACACACATGATCATGAACTACAGTTCAATACATATTTATATAAAACAGTATTTTGTCGAATGACTATATTGATTTATCCAAATTTTACATTTTTTATCACAGAAACAAGAGACAAACATCATGGTGACAACAATTCTTGATGTTCAACCAAGAATGTCTGGAGGAGGAAGTGGAAAATCTAGTGATGATATTGTGAAAGAACTTGCTGAAAGCATCATGGAAAAACTCAATTTCGTACTTGATATGGATAAGGCTGAAGCATCAATGTTTAAACTTGACTCTAAAGGAAGGTGTGTATATTTTATCATCATTTGTAATCCTATCATAACATTGATTATGAAATTTTTTATTTATTCATATTTCTATAAATATTTATGATTTTTTGCCTATCTAGAGTGAACTCTCTGACAACCGTGCTTCAACAAGAAGTAGAAAGATTTAAAAAATTAATTAACGTCATTCAATCGTCTCTTGGAACACTCAAGAAAGCTATTGCTGGTATCGTTGTCATGAGTGAACAAATGGAAATGATCTACTCGAGCTTCTTAAACAACCAGGTTGGTATATATTTTATGGAACGTTTTCAACTCTCTTAACGAGTCTCTGGACAAGCTACTACTGTTATGTAAATAGCAACCATTGTTGGAACGATCGAAATCTTCCCAGTTCGGCACAACTTATCCCATGGGTCGGCAACCTTAAGCATTGAAAGAGTTATTTGGCATCCTTTCTGTCAAACTCAAACCTACTCGGAGCCGGAACATCTACTCTAGTGTCAGTGGCTATTAAACTCTCGGAAAACCACTTATGATGCATAATTCTAGTTCTTACTATAGAATGAAGCCGAATAAATTACGTATGATGCAATATTTCAGTTTACGATGAAATGAAAAAAAAAAGGTTGTTTTGACAGATTTGAATCACCTTAAGGTGATCGATTTTGACCAGTCTTGACTTATATCTGTTGTGATGTGTAATTAGTGAGCAGTGATCGACTTTATGCCCCCGACTTTCATTGAATTCCCACTGCTTCTAACAAAAAATTGCTTTAGCTACTCTGATTCATGGGAGCCAGAGCTCCAAGAACAAAGGGCCAATCACTGCCCTATCTAATATATCACATTTTTGGTGATGGAAATGGATTTGAAAACGAAATCACCCATATAGTTGGGTTCATCACTTTAATTACTAATATACAGTTAAATATACAGTACAACAGTAAAGAAACAAGCATTATTTGTGATAAAACTAACAAAATCTGAATAATTTTCATTTCAAGGTTCCTGGATTATGGGCTGCAGCAGCTTATCCATCTCTCATGCCCCTTGCATCATGGGTAAGAGATGTTCAACTACGTTGCTTTTTTATTGAACGATGGATTTATACTGGACCACCAAAATCATTCTGGATATCAGGATTCTTCTTCCCACAAGGTATAATTATGATGAGTAGCAACGGACTGGTTGCAAACCATTAAACCAGTTGTCAAACTTATCAAAATGTATCCTCACATTTGCATCTTTGCAAATTTCAAAAGTAAAAAATACTCCCTCTACTTTGTATATTTCATGTGTGCTGTTAGTTAAATACAAAAATGTGGCACTAGACTGAACAGTTTGCAGTGAAAATATAGTAACATCTATTAGACGGCAGAGAAATCTCAACAAGATTACAATCAGCTATGCTGTCAATGACCACTTTTGGCTTGCACAATTTGCCCCCAAGTCAGATCATCTTCCCTCCTGTTCATACCACTTATGTTGAGCTATTTCGTGATTCTTGTCAATTACAGACCTGCTTAAATGTGGAATATTGGTAAATTTTGATTGATTTATCTCAAATAGAAAGATTATGATTAAAAGTTTCTGAAAAAAAAATTTCCCAGGATTTTTGACGGGATCTCTGCAAAACCACTCAAGAAAATATGATTATCCAATTGATCGACTCAACTTCCATTTCCATCCCAAACCATTATATCGGGATCAGGGTGAATATCATGAGAAAATATCAAATCTTGGATTTGGTGAAGAAATTGAAGCTGACAATGAAGTATGAATATTTTCTTCTTTCATCCATATTATATGTATGATCTTAATACATAAAAAACAAATTAAGCAGTCTTTTGAGGACCAAAATGAATGAATTTTCAAAATGCATTTGAACAAATGTACTCAGTCATGTTTTTTATACCTCAACCTTCAGTCTGATTGAAGCTTTTTACAAACATCCACTAATACATAAACTGCTCTTTTCGAAAGAACCGTATGCTCCCCAGCTGTACATTTTAGGGGGGTGTTCCCAAATTTAGGGTTGGTAGATATTTTGCTGTTAGCGATAAAACTATTTGTAAAAAAACTGACTATCTACGCTGGTATGACTTATTACACTATATTTTATTGTATTTAAATCATTTTTGGATATAAACGTATTCAAGTTAGGAACTAAAGTGTGGTGTCACACATCAAATATATATTTTTTTCAATTTTAGTGAGGTGTAGGAAAATCCACTAGACTGGCTGCATGTTTAATGTGTTATTTGTCGACCAGAATTTCACAAGTTAACATAAAATCTTTTTCTCAGCTTCCAGAGATAACCGATGGTGTTCTGGTACATGGTCTGTACACTGATGCATTCAGATGGGATGATGATACAATGCTGATGGCAAACGAAACTGAAAGAGTAATGAATGAACGAATGCCCATTCTACACATGGAACCTAAAATGGATTTCACTCCACCTGAAGAAGACTACAATTGTCCATTGTACAAAACTGGTGCCAGGGCAGGAGTGTTGTCCACTACTGGTAAATTATCTGTTTTTAAAACGCGTATTTTGTTATTGATAAACTTTAGATGCTTATACAATGGGTTTTGAACAATACTGTATATTTGACTTTACCTAGTATGTCATAAAGGGCGCTCCAGAAGTAAGTGTACCAATATGGAGGTAACTAATTTTTTTCGCCTACTTTACATGAAGTTGTGTGAAGAGACTGAAACCTATGGGCAGGGAGTATATTCACTTGGCTCAGCAGTCTCCGAACTCACAATAAGGAAAATCAAAATAAAATGATGGCCTAACCTGGCTCATATAGACTTAAACACAGCTTCAGTGCTCAGCAGTGAACCTATTCTCCTGTGTAAAAATTTGCCACTAGATTCTTGTTGTGCATGATAACAGCAGTGCGATGCTACAGTTCAAGCCGATTAATGAGTTATTAGCATTCTAATAACATTTTGTTTTTTAGGACATTCAACAAACTTCGTTGTATCAGTGCATCTACCGACTGACAGAAGCCCAGACTACTGGATTTCAAAAGGTTCAGCTTTGCTGTGTGGCTTAGCTGAATAGTAGTTTTTTTCAGATTTTTTTGTAAAATAAAATAGAGTTGTCTTTATAGATTTGAAAAATAATATTTTTTTAAATTTCAACTTCATTTCGCACATTTGAAATATTCCAATTTTTGCACCTAATGGTAGCTCCTAATGTTTTGTACAATCTTAATTCACTGTGAGGTAATTTTTTAAAGTCTTATTCAACCATTTGATTAAAGTTTATGATAAATGTAACTTCAAATAATTCTTACAAGCATAATTTCGTTCATCAAGAATGTTTCATTGTGATTTTTATAAGCCAATATAGTTCACTGTTGCCTTACTAGGCCTAGTAAATATTATTTTTGTAATATATTCTGTAGCTTCAAGATGTTTTGTTTTCTTAACATAATATATGTGATGGTAATAAAACTTGTTATTATAAATCGCTTATTAATATTGGTTATGGTTTATGGCTGAGAAACTCTTTAGATGAGGGTATATACCAAAGTTTATGGCTGAGAAACAAACTCTTTAGATGAGGGTATATACCAAAATTCGCAGCCTTTTCATTGGATGTTAAGGGCCTCTTTAGATTGTTATTTCTAGGTATTGATTGCCATTTTCTATCCACATTTTAGAAACTATTCAAATTCCATAAGCAATAATGAATCAACAATTAATTGTTTCCTGTGCTTAAACAGAGTGAAAATCACCACTGTTCAATCCTTTCCAAGTGGCCTTCACCATACCGTAAATCCTCGCCGTGTATGTCAAGGGTTAACATCTTGCGCAAACAAATATTAAGGATTTTTTGAATAAGCTGTTAGGAGGTATAGAAAACAACATTCACTTGAAGATCCTGTCTGTTCATTCATGAATTGTATCCTCTGTCTCATGAAAAACACTTACACAACTTCCAAATGTTAGCAATTGTTTTCCATGGTTATCTTTTAACTAATCTAAATATTTTAACTACGAAATTACAAACTAATTTCATCAATATTTTTATTGCATAAATACAAACTTTGTACTCTCTGAATGCTTCTAATCAATTTATAAGGATATAATTATCACAGTGTTCATTCAATTAATGGTCCTAGTGAATACTGCTATAAGAGATTTACCGATGTAAATAGCAAATCCAAAAAAGTTTCTACTCAAAATTATCATTGGGAACTGTTCTATGATTCTGTTTCATGAAAAGAACTACCATATTTCAAATTAATTTCAAAAATTAAATAAATGTAACAAATACAGTTTAAAATTCATGGCATGGACTGGAATTAATTATAATTAAAGATTCAAACTAATCAAATTTATTGAACTTCCTCAAACACAGCAGGTATAAATTGCTCCATAACTTCTTCAAAATAGGTTTTTGAAAACGGATTAAATCCATCCATATGACTTACATGACCTCCGCCATATGTAACAGCAAGAGCAACATTATCAGTCTCCATCACTTCGGTTCTAGGTAGTGCTGCAAAAAATAGTCAAATCTATATGGGATTCTAATCATTTTGAACAACATAAGATTTTTGACAATATTGATCTGTACGTACAGAGCCTTGTTCAGAGTGAAAATGTCAATGGGCATAACAGGTACAATGCAGAGAGCGCTATAAATAAGCCTATTTTCTCACCATCATAAGGAAGAAAAGGATCATCGTCCGATGCAACACATAATGTAGGTACTGAGAACGAACTCAACTTCTCTGCAGTCAACACTGCATCTTTATAATATTCCTCTACTGAATCATAACCAAACACTCTGAAAAAATCAAAATTGTTGCAAAATGTTTATCCATATTTAATAATAGAATTGAGCGCAATTGGTGCAAACAGTTGAAATAAAATCTGAATAAACATTGTTTGTTTCTACTTGTACTTTGAGTTTAACATTAAAAAATACACGTAGCGCAGTTCTCATACTGTATATAGCCATTACAACAATACATGTCTTAACCCAAAATGTATTACTAATAAATGGAAATAGGAAAATGTTTAATAGCAATCATGTGGGAAAAGGGGTAAAGTTGAAATTTTATTTACTAAATCAATGCAAAATCGAGAGATGATTAGGCAAAAATGAAAAATAAGTCAAAGCTAACATCATGGATATGATGGTACTCACTTTGATGTGAAGGAGCTATCATATTCTCTAATCGTTTTTGATTGCAAAACTTCCTCATGATCAACCAAATCATGAAACATATGGCTTACTCTGAAAAATAAAAAGTATAGAAGAATCATCGCACCAATCAAGAATGCCTATAGTTTTGTAATGGAAAAACATCAAATTACCATATGTATATCATGAACAATAAGGATCCTTAACATAATGATCCGCATTCTGTTGCACATCCATACCAGTAATATAAGCTGGTAAGCTTGGCATGTTCTTATTCAACCAGTCAAAATTTTAAATTCGCCCGGATTCTGAACTTCAAATTTTTCATGATGATAATCAACGATTTAAAATTTTCCACAGACACTCATATAATGTCGATTGATCCAGCGTTTCTAACAGTCACTCAAAGTAAGTTCGCATATGCCAAAGTTCTTGTTACCAAAGTTTCTTTCGAGTATTTTTTCAATTGGGAATTATTTGTAAATTTTCCCTGAATGCATAACCCTGGTTGATTCAGTAAATCGGTATATAAATGCTATGGATCCAACAATACAATAGATGCTAAATTGCGTGTATAACTAAATTGGATTACTATGAAATCAAACTACCGGTAGTTAGATTTTAAGCACATAGTAGTGTGTGAACTACAAAAAGACTCACTTGCCATATAATTCTTTCAATCCTTTTGTAAGGAAACTGTTGAATAATATTCTGTTTTCCCATCTTTCCAAACTTGTCGTACCATGAGGTGGCGAAAATGGACATGAATGCAAAATCGCACCAACAAGTTTACAATCAGATTTTGTCTGTGCCATATATCTTCCAAGCATAAGGCTAAAGTAGAAAAAACAAGATTTCTTGAATGTTGATTGTAAATCAACAACAGACTCTGTATGCAACAATACTGTGATTACGCAAGCTGTAAAAGTACAGCATAAATAGGTACACCATCAGCATATGATTTCGAATTTTTGTAGGTGGGAAAGCTAACGTAAATAGACCAGGGCTACTCAACTGGCGGACCGCGGTCCGAATCCGGACCTCTCGGGTATTCGATTCGGACCGCGCCTATTTCTTTATTTTGGATCATTATCCCCATTTTTGAAGTTTCCTTTAATAAAATCACTTTTAATAGTTTTAAATATATATGAAAAGAACTATAACGCTATAATAAACAATCTTGATTAGCTAATAATCATCAGTCGGCCGAGGAAGTGCGCGTTTACGCATGTCGATATACAATATCTGGAAAGCCCGGACCCAAATATTTTCGAAGTTTTGTATTTGGATCCTCTGTAAAAATAGTTGAGTAGCCCTGCAATAGGCAATTCAATTCGCATACCAGAGTCTTGTAAATACCAGTGTTGGATAGGATTCCCCAAACCTAGACCAAATCATGAAACATATGGCTTACTCTGAAAAATAAAAAGTATAGAAGAATCATCGCACCAATCAAGAATGCCTATAGTTTTGTAATGGAAAAACATCAAATTACCATATGTATATCATGAACAATAATGATCCTTAACATAATGATCCGCATTCTGTTGCACATCCATACCAGTAATATAAGCTGGTAAGCTTGGCATGTTCTTATTCAACCAGTCAAAATTTTAAATTCGCCCGGATTCTGAACTTCAAATTAATTGACAGATAATACAAGTCACAAAGTCTAGTCAATCAATGGGTAAGTAAGGTCTCATTGGCTGATAGAAATGACAAGTCCAGGTCATTCTATTAAAATGAGTCAATTTGAGTCTTTGATAAATGGTGACTAGAGACCAACTCGAGTCAAGTAAATGGCCGGAGCCTCCCAAAACAGATAAATAACCATCATTTTCAAAATTCCATTTACTACCTCCATAAATACTGATACTTAGCAAACTACAATATGAACCGATACATTATCGTTTCTTTATTACCATAAAACGAATATAATGACAAAAAATAGCTGAGCAATGGTAAATAGCACTCACGATCCCATAGAAATCCCAATACAAAATAATGGTGCTTCCGGGTAACGTTCTTTGAATATCTTTATTACAACTTCCATATCCATTGTATGTGTTGCACAATATGCTTTTGGAGTCTGAAAATAATAATATAATGCAACAATTTTAACTCACTATGATGCAGATATTATATTTCACAGAAATTCCAAAATGGAAATGTATTGTAGGAAATGGAGTAATTACCGTACCTCTATGTAATGTTAATATGATACAATAATTTAACGATAATCATTATTCATTTCAAATTGTATGTGTTATTAAGTGAAGATTTTATAAACTCAAATTACTCTACAAAAATAGAGAGAATATTTTTGAAAGAACTGGGCAAGTAGTATGGCTAGATGCTTTGCCAATCATTTACTTAGTACAATAGCTAGATATAGAATTCCTAAAAATCACATTAAAATGAAATTGGATGCTGAAATTGTCGATTTTTGAAATTATGTCAAATATTTGGGCCATTACCGTAAAACTATTTCTACATTATAATACACCCAATTATAAACCTTTTCATTTCTATATAGCTAACTTACGATAAAACCCATTGAATAAAAGAATTATTTTCATGAAACAAACATGTCATTGGAATATCATATTGATAAAATTATTCTACAAATATTACACCATGTTCAATAAAAAGCTCACAATTTAGAATACCAGAAAATATATTACCAGAACTTCCATTCCATCCAAACCACGATTAATTATAATCATAACTCTGAAACCACGATTCCCTAAAATATCCACCATAGATTGCACATAGTTTGATTTAGATGTAGATGTTAGGCCTGGAACAATGAATATCGTTGGTCTTTTTGTTTTGTCTGGATATTTCTTGTTATCGTCATTGTCGAACCAGTCAACGTAAAATTGCCCCCCATCAGGAGCTGGTACGATTTCCCTAAGATAAGAAAAAAACAATGAATAATGTATAGAAAGCAGAAAGTTCACAAGTTACAGAAAGTGAAATATGACAATAATTACGGTTTCAAATTCCACCTGAATCCCGATATATAGACCAAGCTTTGGAAAATTTGGAAAAATACAGATTATGATTACAATTTGAAAACTCCCAAACAAGCAACAATATTTGCATTATTAATAAAGCTATACTGATTAGTGGGTGTGAGTTGTGCATTTAGTCTAAAATGCATCCGTCTATAAAAACATATCTTAATTCTAAATGTAAATATATATAAAATGAACATTTTAAAAATTACATTAAAATAATAAGCTGGATAAGGAAAACTAGACAATGTAAACATATTGTACTGACATGAGAATTAAACCTTCATTACAGTTCAATTTAAAAAAAAAAGACTATGAGAAATTGCTTATTAATTCATGATTACACATGCTCATTCATAAGTAAAGGTTTATGAGCAAACTTACAGGTAATCACAGAAAAACCAATAGATACTGGAACTATGAAGTGCTACATTAAACAACGAAATATTGATAAAGGTTATACAGCATTTCCTTTATTTAATGAGACATTCATCAATTTCTATAGGTGATAAGCCAAGAAAGTTAAATCATTATGTCTCACTGATTATGATGTTGATTACTCAGTCTTCGATTGATTTGAAATAAATATTAAACTGGTAGAAAAGAGAAAGAAAGAATAGAATGAAGTTAATCAAAATCAGCCCACAATAACTGTTGTAATTAGTCATAAGAGTGATCTCATTTATTCTGATGACCATTGAGCAATATTTAGTGCAATATTTAGTGTATTTTATTTGATAATTTATGAAAAAAATTAAGGATGGTCATGAGCATTTCTTTACTGTGAATAATATAAGTGACAAAATAATGAAATCCTCGGGTATTTACATAGGTATAGAGAACAGTTAAATTTTTTATGATGCAATATTGTATTTTAGATTACACAAATCGTATGCGATTTTAATAGTTCTAAAAATTCCATTATTTGTTTTCATAGAGTAAATATGGTAACAGCTAGCTAAAATAGACAGTAGGAAATAGTATCATGTCAACAGCCTGATTTTTCGAAGTGAATTTTTTTATAATTATCAACCACTGATCATATCATTTATTAGGGATTCAATAAGTCATTCATTCCTTCCCTGTAACACCTAAATATTCTATTTCCATATTGTGCGACCAGATAAAAGAATACCAGACTGTAGATATTTTTACTACATGCATAGCAGTGTTAACTCTAAGCGAATTATGAGTGCGAAAGTGCTTCGCAGTCGAAAAAAAAAGTGCGAAAGTGCTTTTGCCGATTTTAACAAGTTAGGTGCCCTAGCCTTTCATATAACCCATTTAAAACAGCATAGATACTCGAAAAAGCGCTCCTCCGGTTAATATTATGAATTAAAGAGAAGCCTTTCCGTTAACGGAGTTCTCTTTAAGCGAATTCATGTTTAATTAAAACAAGGGAATTCATCGGCAACGAAAGGACATCTGCTAACACTTGCTGCGAACAAAACTTTCATGCAATGTATCACGGTGTCAGTTGCTTACTCGCGTAAACAGCAAAGACTTTCACATTTGTTACTCCTTCCATCTAACAGATAGAGGCAGGCTGGAAACCATATTAGTTACAGGGTGGATCGTTTGTACAAATCCCGTGCAAAATAATCCCCCCCCCCCCCCCAAATATAAATAGCAATCAACTAATTATGGTTAGGTGCCCTGGAAATTCAACTTTTCGATTTATCACTAAACCTAATCTGATAATTATTAATTTGTGATTTTGAACCACTTTGAAAGTCGCCACCCCCTGTTGTAAAATATAGGTTAACCTACGTTCCCTCGGAAATATTACGCAGGATACTCCCTTTTTAGGAGATAGGTTGACCTACTTTCCTTTCAAACTTTTTTCTTCGAAATATTACACAAGATCACTTGAAAATCCTCTCGTTTCGTGAGCTAGCGTGACCTAGTTTCTCATTTACATTTATATTATACTATTTCAGAGCTTACCCAAAGACCAGTAATTCTTAAATGTCGACATGCCTTGGTTTGAGTGCGATTTCGGGCAAAAAACATCATATATTGGCAATAAATAATTTTTAATCGACCACATGAACGCTGATATCCTGAAAATTAATGTTGAAAGAGAAGTACGCATTCTCAGATATCGGACATCCAGTCGCGATATTCAATCGTGCACAAATCTCACATTAATAGTAATTGCTACCCAAGTTTGTAAAGTTTAGAAACCAACAAACAGAAAATAACTTACGGTATTCTAAAACACAATTAAAATTCAGTAGGCAATAAATTGCGCCAAGACGTTGCCATACAAAACGAAAAAGATTTGGTCGCGAGAGTTACGTTAGATGACTGCAAAACGACGTTGTTTTTTAAGCAGAATGTAAAACAATCAAATAAAAAAACGGGAGTTACGACGCCCTTAACACATCGTGTGTATTAAACTTCCCTGGTAAGTACTATTATTATTGTACTTATACACCTGTTGGAGTATTTCGGACAGTTTCGAATTTAAAATAAATGAAAACCCGACATACAATAAAGACGCAAAAGTAAAATGAACATTTATTGAAAAAGTTATTATTTAAGAAAGACAACATGATCGTACAATTCCGCCAAAACCTCGATGTTCGCAAGTGAGATGATAAATAAATACTTTCCTGTATTCGATCAATTAACTTTAGCGTATCGTTGTTCTGCCAACAAACAGCGGGGTGCAAAATATTTCCGTCCTGTGATATGCTCACAAATATTCTCGATATTAATATCATACCTTCGCGTATGTACTTTCTATTAGCTCTTTTAGTTTAGCTCTTCTCTCCCTTTCATCCTTGGCCAAGTCATGTTTCGAATATGTGAACATTTTATTCGACCATACATGGCCGACGGGATGTTAAAATTGTAAACAAGAGAGAGGTAAAATCAATCGCGAATTTCGTTATAATGGCTCGTTTACGAATTGTTGCGCTTGTTATTGTCGAAAATGATTACATTTGTTGTATTTTGAGGCATTTAAGCAGTAATAATTAGGGCATGCATGACATCATCAAAATCGTCAAGTGAGATCTTGAAATTGCAAATTCCGTGAATAAAATTGTGAATTACTCGGTAACGAATTCAGCTTTAATGACCGTCGGGGTATTGTTTTGTTGAAAATTATTATTAATGTGAGAGCGCCAAAAAGATACAGTCCATACCGATGCGACTGCAATTTATATGGCCGCACTTGGTGTGGCGCGTTTATTAATAGTGTAAAATTAATTAAACGGATATCAATCATAACCAAGCGTGTCAGCGCGTTTATTTTCTGTGGTCAATAATCGTAAAATACCATTTTGAGACAAATTCACTTCTATTGCCAAATCTTAATTTTCAGTTATTATCGTTATACAAATAATGTGTGGCAACTTTTTAATTTATCGTCGACCGGTTTTTTGGTCGTCCAAACGTGTGTCAAGCTTGAACGACAGGAACAGATTCATCGACGACTTTAATTAGGGAAAATATGTATTTTATTGTGAATGCAAAATAAATGTAACAAAACGCATTTTTTGTGATATAACTTTGTATTTTCGGAAACGGGTTGCCGTGAAAGGTAAAATTTGATCTAAATTAACCGCAAAAATGTTTTATTTTAAATGTAACAAAACACATTTTGCGATATAACCTTGTATTTTCGAAAACGAGTGTCCTGAAAAGTAGAATATGATCTAACTTAATCGCAAAAATGTTTTATTTTAAATGTTACAAAACACATTTTCGCGATATAACCTTGTATATTCGGAAACGGATGTTGTGAAAAGTAAAATATGATCTAAATTAATCGCAAAAATGTTTTATTTTAAATGTAACAAAACACATTTTTCGCGATACAACTGTATTTTCGGATACCGGGTGTCATGAAGAGTAAAATATGATCTGAATTAACCGTAAATAATGTTTCATTCCAAATGTATCAAAACGCATTTTTTGCGATATAACTTTGTATTTTCGAAAACGGGGCGTCATTATTAATCTAATGTTTTATCTATCGTCTGACTAACGTCTGGTACACATCATATTCGGGGAGAACTCTAGCCCGCGAAACGTCATTTAATTTAAAATAGAGAATGTTTCACCCATTCCAAAACGGAAAATCGCCAGTAAGTCGACAGGGATTCAACCCTCCGGATTCAGTATTCTATATCCCCCGTGTCAGAACTTTCTGAAGAATGGAACAAAGAACCCGTCAAACCGCCGCGGAAGAAGGGGAGTATTTTTTGCACTAATAATCACACATTATCAAAATCGTCAAGAAACTGGTGAATTTCCAAATTCCATAAATAAAATTGTGAATTGCTCGGTAACATTTTAGCTATAATTATCGCCGGGGTATTGTTTTGTTGAAAACACGTTGAAACTTGGGAATTAGGGAATTAGTTACAATTAGCGCCTGACCTCTATTAGGCACTCGAGCACTCGAAAAAAAAGCACTCGAGCCCAATCTTTTTAGCATTAAGTCGCATACGTAAAATATCCTGTAAAAGAAGTGGTGTTCATTAACGTCATCTCGTCTTATGACCACGCAGAAATGCCTTTATTGCCGAATTATTCAATCACTATTTTAAATCAACATTTAGGATTGGCACAATTTCGGATTTGCGAACTTTATCACCATAGAAAAACATGAGAAAGTTAATATCGTCTTAATAAATATCTGCATCAAGGTATCGACAATAATATTACCATTCGCATAAAATTGGGACGGAAAATATACAAATATTGAATTTTGCCCACCCGTACTCGCATATCAATGAGAAATAGTTGTGTAAATATCGCAAAATTCCGGAAAATGCCACGTGCTTTCAACATTGTGATTACAATAAAATGGCACTTAATGGTATTTTGTGAATTTGGTGATTTTGCAAATCTGTGACATGCAGCTAAAAGTTTCGTCTGATTTGAAAATCGTGCACTTTGGTCACAATTCATCCAAAGTGACTATAACACTTTACTAACACTGTTATAGTCATTTTGAATCCATCGATATCATTGATAGTCACATGACAACTCTCTTCAAAGAAACGCACTGGGTAGTATTCCAACATCTGGTCTCAAAGACGCCGGGAGCGTTTATGTGGGAGAAGCGGAATCGGTGTGCTTGTATAATAATCATTTTATAAACAAGAATTTTGCCGTTAATGCATAAGCTTTATCTCCTATGTCTGCATCTCATAGGTTAGAATTCTGGTAAATATCCTTATGATATGCAGAATTGAGTTACAAAAGTACTAGTATGTTACTTATTTGTCAACTTAATACTCGAAAATATTTGTTAACTTTGAATTTTTATTCCATTCAAAATCGGAAAAAAGTGCTATTTCTCTTCAAAATCGGAAAAAAGTGCTATTTCGCAGTCCCTAAAAAAAGTTGAGAAAGTGCTTCGCAATTTTCGCAAAAAAGTGCGCTAATAGTGAACACTGATGCATAGTCTTTCTCAGTTATTGTTCAAGACAAGATTGTGCAAGGCTTAGCAGGGATATGACACAAATACAGATTTGAATTCAAAGTCCACTAGTTTATTTGTATTATTGTGTGGAACCTATTGGTAAATAGTCAATTCAGGTCATAATATCTGTAATAAGTCTGTGTATGGAATTACTCTCTAAAAGAATTTTCTGCAAATATGTGTGAAACAGAATATCATATGCATGGCATTCCTTAATTATTCATGAACATTGATATAATTGACATTTGAATAATGGTGTCGAGTAACCATGCAGGTGCACCCCATTTATTAAACTAAATTTTAAATTCAAATATAATTCCTGATATTACACTGCATTTATAAACAATCTGGCTGAAACAAGATATATTATGAATGTACCGCAATTTAAAATGCATTCATGAGTGTGAAACTGTCGGGAAAGCGAATTCTAATGAGAGACATAGAAAAAAACATTCTAATCGAGTAGGGCTGCTCATTTTCGAATACCTAAGTATTTCAGAATTGAAAAGAATATTCAAATTGAATCTTGAATACTTAGGTTGCATGTGACTTTTCTATTGTAATGGGTCTTTCAGACACATAAATTACTGAAAACATAGAATTAATTCATCATTCAGACAGTTTGCTTAGCATTCACAATCAATAAGAAACATGTTTAATAACTCACTAGAAAGAAAAGAGTTATATGTAAAAATATAGTTTAAATAAAAAAAAATTGAGAATTCATCTCGACTTTTGGCAGGTAATAGGAAACAAGGTGACAGCGATTCGGGATTTTAAAAAATATGTATAAAATGTTTGTGTTATTTAGTCACAAAACAAATGCAAAATCTTACCTCCTGTACTTGATCTGTTTATTGAACGGAAGAAAGACTCGAACTATTGTCTGCAGTCTTCCTTCGGGACACCAGAATGGTGGGTAATAGCATCTGTGTAGTGATGGAACATGATGTGAAAGAAAGTTCTGAAGCTTGGAAGATGATTTTACATAGATTCTTGGCTTCTGAAAAAGAATGACCAATATGAGAAAATCAATAAATAAAAATCATTACCAAGCCAGTTAATTACCCCGTTTCCGCTGTATTGTCTAAAACTCGGAATAGGAATCCAGGACTAATAACATGAGTTTGAATTTAGTTCAATCATTTTCAAAATGCTCACCGGCAACTCATTTCCGCGAATTAAATCGGTCATTGTATGTTCTATCTTACATGTATTGTGTGTTTTGCTAGCACTAAAGTTACACTATTGTGTTCATGCTTTGGTATATACTGAGACGTGGGCTATACAATTTACTGGGTATTAAACAGAGAAATAACGGAAATGACAAAAATAGATAATGCCTCACCTTTGCATAGAAATGAAAATATGATGTCACATAAATTGCAACACCAATTCCAACGTAGAAGTAAATCATTTTTAATTATCTATTTTATATAATTGAAGCTATAAAAAATACCATATAAATTTATCACCATTGAAAGTAATATAGAACGTGCCGAATAAATAAATCAAAATAAATTAAACATGTAAAGTAAAGAGATGACTGTTCACATGTCATGTTTATTTACCTAATATGTAATAATGATATTGCCTCATAAGGTCTTTCTCACAAGCACTCACGAAAGGTAAAAAAAGCCAGTAAATTAGCAAGTAAATATATTGTGTCAAATGACGTAATGTGTCAAATGTCATATTTACTCGAAAATTTACTTATGGGTAGCTTCTTTATCTCTTCTTGAGTGTTTGGGAGTTAGACCTTATGAAAAAACCTTTATAGGCTATCAGATAAGTAACAATGATATTATTTCCTAAGTCCCACTCACAGACAGATGAGTCATGACCTCATAAAAACGCTGCTCTTAACTAAATTTGATAGTAACTTTAGATGTGTGAAATGGTATGATAGTTAACATTGGATGCATATTATGAATATCCAATCCCAAGCATATGAAAGCATGACAACATTCAAGTAGTACACATTCCATAACCGTCTAAAAGAAAACAATGAAAAAATTGAACAAAATTCAGCGTACGATTAGCTACATTGGATTGTCAATACTCCATTAACAAGCAAAATAAATCATAAATTGAAGTATATGGGTGATGATAAACCTGACACCTGAATAGGTCATAACAATCAGTATTACTCTAAATACTTGAGATTTGTGCACTGCGAAACTTGTTGTATGAATGTATGCCATCACAATTTAAAATTTTATGTAACCTATTTATCTTCTTACTGCTGTGGCATCAATGCTCATTGGGACCCAATCGCATTGACATAACTTTCAGATCAATATACTAAAATTTTAATTATACAACTTTTCCTCCAATTTCAGATTTTGTACATTAGTTCGACTTTTGAATATTTTCTGCCATTTTATTCGATTTTCCAATGCTGAATTTATGTGAGTTTTTCTGATAAACATTGACAAAACAGGGATAATTTGTTGTCAAATGTCATCCGAAACATTTCCTTATTAAAACTTATCTTATTACAACTTGCCATAACAACATCGGAGAACCTCTTTGTCACGAAATTTACATTATAGAAAAGAACAAATCATTTCAGAATTTACCCAAGAAAAATTTGACAAAAAAGGGTTTAATAAGAGTCTGTCGTTAGTTCAGTAACTAGATAGCATTACCGAATTTTCTTCAATAATTGTCACTAAAATAGAATTAATCTGATATGGGGATTATAATGCATGATAACAACAGGTAATTAGACAAGGAATGCAAAAAATAATTTATGCATATTAAGAGCCAGTTTTCTAATAAAAAAATATATTCGGATTATAACAGTAACTTTGATATTATTATAGCCAATATAAACATAGTTATATCAATAATGCTTTAATAGAATTGTGTCATTTTTTCGACACTGCTTTCATATGCTTAATTAATAATAGCCTAGTTATTTATTCTCATTTGTTTTGGTACTGAACTTCATTGGTATTGCAAAGCCTATGGCTTGACGTCTAAATCCAATTACAAATCACAAGTATAAATATTGAGGCGAGAAAAGATGCAAACTTTGAAAATCATTTTAATTTTAAAATCCATACAATGTAAAAAAGCAACAATGGAGAGCAACAACGCCCATCTGTGCAATAAGCTTGAAGATAACATTTTTTATTACAAGATACAACTTTTTCTCAATCATAAGAGGCATGTTATGGCATATCATAAAAATTGACAGGCAGCATTAGCATAGGAACTTTTCGCATATTAACATCTGAGTTCTTACTAAGAGTTGAACAATATGGATATAACGAATTTGCCAAGCATCTTCAATTAATCTTGCATTTCTAAACTCCCATAATAGGGACGTGAAAGATGAATACCTAGCTGTAATGCAAAATTTCCACGAATGCGGCTGAATGCCATAACATTCTCAGGCTCAGATTCAAACCAAAATTTATCAAATTGACTGAAGACACATGAAAATGCATGCAAAAAATCTTCAACAGTTGGGGGTCCTTGGATTTTATTGTAAAAGTGAGTACGAAGTTGTCCAGATTGCAGCATTTCATACATCAAACTAGTCAAATTGATGCTGACAATAGCAAATGAATATCCTTGAACAGGGTGAAGCGAATGCTGTAAAATTTGACGAGCCTTTTCATTGTGGTTTTCAGCAAAATGAACCATGCACTGGAGTCCGAGAAGTCCCATACCTCGAAAATCAGTTTTAGGATCAGATCCTTGAAATCCCAGTTCGCACCATCTTTTACAGATACGACTATCCAGTTCTTCATCTGGCTTTAACAGCTCCCACAATTTTAGAAGCAATTTTTCATGAGATTCGTTTTCACAATCGTATAACTCTTTTCTCAACACTTCCACCCGATCAAATAAGATTTTATAGCCTTTCATTTGGAGTAAGCATGTTGTTAGCGCACCTTCGAAAGGCGGATCCATCTCTGGGACAATATTCTTCAGATTCATTACTTTTGTAACAAGCATTGGAACATCTTCCAATTCAACATCAAGATTTATCAAGTCCCGTAAAACCTCATGTTTAGACAGCAATAAACTCTGCTCAATTTTTTCATTTCTTTCAGCAAATTTATATGTTCTTATAATGCGTTGAAGCTCACAAGCACCAGTTAATTTTCTCAACAGCCATTTAACGAAACTTCTTAAAAAAGTCACTCTGTATAACACAAGAAATATGCTCGACTGCAACTTTGTCTTCACCACATCTCGCTTGTTGTTGATAGCCTTCGGACATGACTCTCTGTTCATCATGTGGGCAAATTTTTCAATTCATTCGCACCTTTAATTTTTAATTTCCTATAAAGCTAGCATTATTGGCTAAATAAAAAATACTATTATTTTGTGCTAGGCATGGTTGACAGTCAGTTTGTGCAGAGTAGTCAAATGAAAGGTAGTGTCTCAGAGTATGGTAATAATAGGGATTAGAGTAGTGAAATGTGAAAAGAATAGCTGGTAGCAAATGTGAGTGATGCTGCTGCAGGTAGTGGAGGCAAAATACTGAAACAGGATAGGATAGGATTTACATATTTATCCTGGGGAAAGGAAAGCCAATAAGACGGCTTATCCATATGGCGAACCACGGCCTCTCGTCCGGTTACCATTCCATGTCGGGTATGGGATTAGTTAGTCACTTGTTTTTCGGAAGAATGGACTTGATGGTGAACCACCCTACGGCCGCAAGGAGTCCAGCAATCCTATTGCACATAACCATCCTGCATGGGATTCAAACCCGCGAACCCACGCAGAGTAATTAGAGGTGCGGTGGAGAGCGTATTCCTAACGCTTAGCACGATGAGCCACACCGCCGCAAAATGTTTTATGCTGACATAAATTATAAACAAGGCAGCAAGAGGAAATCTGTCGTAGGTTGGCTGCGGTTCTGCTACAAATAGATGGTAACTGCCTAAAGCCCTAAACCTTGGCTCATTACGGTAAACCAGTAATTTATATCAGTATATTATTTATAATAAGTTAAGCAGTTAAATACATGCAGAGTGAATACAGAAATACGATACCGGCAGACCGGTGAGATACGGTACCGGTACCGGTACCTAAAACTGACAACCCACTACCAGTACCGTACCGGTACCAGACTGTATTTATAAGTCACTTAGGCTATTTTTATAAGTCATTTATCAGTATTCATCCTATACGGTACTAATTCTGTAATTACCGTATGGCACTATATATTAATACAGGTATATCCTGATATCTGTATGTAGAAACTTACCGTACAACTGCAGACAATCTCCGCCAGCCCGCCCGCTAACACTGGAAAAGGTGAACCTCAAACTGTAGCCTTGTGCCGATCATATACGGCCGGGGTATTATGCGCTTTGGCGCCAGGTATATACGGGTTTTGGTGCCGACTGCCGATGACATGTTAGCGCCCAATTGACCTTTCCCCGAGCTTCGACTTCCTTGTTTACTTCGTGACATTGGCCAATCAGCAAGATGCAAAAAGTGACGTAACAATGCTCCTTTATCACATCCGCTCTGACACTTTACCCACTCAGACAGATATTCAAGCCGAAGCGTGGTCGTAAACATTACCTCGTTTTGCGTCTTTGACCTCTATTCGTTAGTTTTCAGTTTTGTTTCGGAAACTTGAATATAAATCAGATAATTAAATGATCACTCTGTCTTCCTAGGAGTTTTAATTTAATTGCAGTAATAAAAATTAATGTAGAAATAGCTATGATAGACTAGGCTAAAATTCTTTACCGGTACTTTCAAAAAACAGATTGTTGTATGCGATGAATCATAATGATGGTTTGAAACATCCTCGTTTTACAGGCGCTAACTCGCAAAAGCACTCTTAAAATAGCCCCGAAAATTTTGCAATGGTAAAGTATAGGATGAATTTTTTGGGAGTCAAAGGTCAGGGAAAGGTCCATAACCCAATGCCTCCTTTTCTCAGCTAAGCCGCCATGGACGTACACAGCATCTCCACCGTACCTCTGAGAATCCCCACCGTCCGGACACAAATGTATATATTTGACAATCTGTACACTTCGTATTTATTGCCACTGGTAACTTGTCCATACTTTCTCCTACAAAAAATGGTACCTACCTTTTCTTTATATATTATCACTTCCGTCTGTCTCAATCGATGCAGTACTTACTTTGAATTTTGTATGTAATACCAGTTTCAGTCTGTTCCTTTGGTAAGTGATATGAGTTCTTCAATATTCCCATAATACCTGCGATTGAAAACTTTTTCTTTGTAACATGATCATTATTATCCATTCCTGAGGAATAGATTGTTGAGCTTTCCTCCCAAGATGACTTTATTCTTTACTATAGCGATAAAACAAACTCCCCCCACACATATTGAAATATCAAAAATAATATTAACAAAAATATCTCCACATCATGATTTTATTTCGTCAAATGTCATTCATAAAAGGCAGTGGTTTAATCAAATAGTCAAGGTAAAAAATATGACAATATGCACCACGCATTTCTCATGGTACCTCATCAACATTAGTCTCCATGTGAGAGAAGAATAAAAAAAATATCAATAATATATTGCACCATTTTCAGCTCTTTTTCGATTTAATCCTCTGCATCAATGTCATAAACACAGGACTGTCTTCCATGACGGTAAATTTGGACCGTCTATGTTTTTCAGGGGTGATATTTTTCGCATTCTCTTTATCCGGTGACAGATTATCTTTACTTGTGGATGGTTGTACACTATCGCAAATGAGGTTGTCCCCTTTGTTAATCTTTGAGGCAACAGGAGAGTTCAGAAAAGAGCAACCAAGTGAAAAATCAAGCTCATTTCCAAACGTAATATCATTATTGCACACAGCACCACATTCAAAACCCCTAGCAGTATTTGTTATGTCAGTTATTGAATGCATAGAGGGTTTATTTTCAGGATCCAAATCCTTGCAATGCACTGAACCTTTTACAGCACCCTGCTTCTTACACAATTCAAATTTTTCTGTTTTACAATCCTTTTCAAGTTTAGTTTTCCTGAATTGCTCAATGACTGTGTCAAGTTCACAATCGCTAGAATTTGAGTCACTGCTGAAGACAATGACCGGAAGATTGACTTCTTTGACAGATTTTGCATTTGGCAATTCGAAGCTGGATTTTTTACTGTTATCCACAGATTCTGACATAATGCATATTGACCTAACTTCACACTTCTCTTTGTAGTTAGCTTTTTTTGACAAAGAAAGACATGCTAATGACAACTCCAAATCCTGTACATTTGTCCTTCCTAGATACATAACAAACACAAAAATTTTCATGATGAGGTTGAATAGAGAAAGATAGAATTTACCACCGTGAAACTCATTAAGCAAATCTCATGTGATAGAACAGAAATTATAGTGCATATAGTGCACTGCGCAGTTTCATCAAGCTTACAAAAATTACACACTTGTTGTACAGCTCTAAGCTCGTGAAAATACAATTCACGCAAAATTTCAAAAGTCAAGTTAAATCTATGATATCTATCTTCATTTTCTTTATTGCAATCCACACAGAATTATCATTCTCATCCTTTTGTAGAATAAAAGTACCTTGCTCCTTTCCTGAAGATTTTTTCTCACTTTTGGATGTTTGTGGCAATCGATCAGTTTCGCGTTCAATCCTTGTCTTTTTCGCTTTGAAATAGTCTGTCATTTTACTGGAATTGGCTTCTGGTGGTTTAGACTTCTTTGGTGAACCTGCAGAACCGATAACATATGAAAACAGTAGAATAGGAATTTCATATTCATCCTGAGGGAGAGAAAAGCCATGAATTTGATTGGAGAAAGGCCATAACTGACTAGCCGCCATAAGAATCATCCTATGACCAATGGTTTACCATACCCTCTCATTCGGTGATCCGTTCATGTATGAAAACAATAGAATAGGAATTTAGGCCTATATATAATAGGCCTAACTCACAATAGAGTCGTCCAACCCGTGGCCCATATCGAAGCATTTCGAGTGGCAGCGCTGTATTTTTCAGAATTAAATAAAAAAAATTAGTGAAATTATTTTTCGATTGATGTAGTATACAAAGATGTGATACAAACGATTTGTTCATTTTCCTGAAATGCGTTCTGCCAGCTCTTTCAAACGAGCCATGAGTGCCATTTTGAATCGAAACCAACTAAGAGGAGATATCGATACATAAAGATGCCATAGTCCCTGACACACTCGGTCTTTTACTACTGATTTTATCACAAAAAAATCGAAGCTATTCTCAGATTGAGAATTCGTTGATATTGTGTATTGTTGGGGTTGCCAATGTTTTACGTCCGGAAATAAAAGAGGTGCTTGTGAAAATATCCTGTCAAGACAGACCATAACTCGTCGTGTTGAAGAGCTTGGGAACTCTATAGTATAAATTTTAATGGCAAAAGCGGGAAAAGCGCTTGACGAAAGCACTGACATGAAGTTTACTGCTCAGTAGGCAACTTGGCGATCTTCTTCCGAGGAGTTAATGATGATTTGAAATTACTGAAGTGCTCGCAGCCATTTTCCCTGTTAATGGTACGGCTGGAGGCGTTGATTTGTTGGCTGTTATTTGTTTTTTCATTAGCGTGTAGCAAAACTAGAACATAACTACCATGGTAAGTGGCCCGCGCAATTATTAGTAAATGTGGCCCTTCAGCCAAAAAGGTTGGACGACCCTGAACTAAGGGAACCACCCTGACCCTACGACTGCACTGAAATCCTATTTCACATGATTACTCCCTTGGGATGTGAACTTGTGCAGGTCAGTCAGAGATGTGATGGCAATGATGCTCCTTATCGCAATGGACTATCTGCCACTAAACTAAAGCAGTAGAATGAAGGAGTATAGAGACAAATGTTCGATGTGATTTTTGAACCTACTTAAATTGAGTTATCGTTAAATTGAAATGAATATGAAATATAATATTGCGTCTTCCACCTTGGTTCATACTTGAAAAGATACATACCTTTTTGCTTCTTTCTCTCCAACTTTCTAGCTTCAGCTTTCATTTTTTTCTTGTCTTCCTTCTCTTGGTTAACTTTCTTGTAAAAAGCATCAACTATATGAGGATACACCTTTCTTATCTTTTCTTCAGATTCAAGGGTAATAAGACTAATTTCTGATTCAATCTCCAAGTCAACTTTCTTTGTCAGATTCCATTCTGACTTCCAACGATTGTACTCGATCCTTTACTCTTGTTTTGACAATGCTGGAAATAAATTGTATACATTGATATCAATGATACTGAATAAGGAGAGGAAATATTGGTCACATTATTCGAGTAATGTCAATTCATGATTAATATAAACCAGTGGTGGGCAAGGTTTTTGGACCAGGGGCCAGAAATTCTGCCCATCTAGACTGGCGGGCCATGTAAGTGTGACGTAAAAAGTTACATTTTATAAACAATATTTACACTGTTACAAAAGCAAAAGTGGAAAACAATAAACCTCGCGCCAACACTAATTTAATCACTATCTAAACAAATTTTTAGAGCTTTTTCGAGCTGAAACGTCAAAATTTGGTTTAGTTCGGTTGTAGCAGCATCAGGCGGGCCAGATTAAATTACCCAACGGGCCGGATTTTGCCCACAAGCCGTCGTTTGCCCATGTCAGATATAGACCCTATTTCAGATGTAAATGCATATTTTAAAAATTAATCATACATGTATATTGGATCTATATAATATTTATAAGTGAAAAATTACAAATATGAGATACAATATGATGAAAATTTACTTTTTTTTACTAAAGCATACAAAAAAATTACTCACCTTTTCAAGCTAACTTCTGGTTCGAACTTCAATTCCTCCTGGTTTGAATTTAATATGAAATGTGTTGCTAGTGGTAAAACTTTTTCCAAAGAATAAGAGATTTTCCACTCAAGTTTTTGATCGAGATATTTGCATGCAACATCTAACATAGGTGGTTTCAAAATAAATTCCTCTTTCAGTGAAGAATCATCTGAAGGATCGATTGCACCATTTTGACCAATTCTTGTATATTTTTGGGTCTTGGAAAATTCATGAATAATATCAGATCTGGAAATTTTGCGTCCTGAAAAATTGATATTATTATTAGCAAGCTGCAGTAAACAGTTTCTGGTACAATGGTTCCAACCGTTTGAGTGCTTTGAATTTTTACGATGATTTCAATCAATCAATTCATTTTGGTCAAATCAGAGTAACACAAAAAGTAAACGAAGCGTAGAAACACCTGGATTTACCTGTAATTTTTGGTCCCCTTTGAATAAAGCTACCCAATATGGTTGTGTACATGTCATCTTTACTAGAAATAATGCTATTTGACAAAACTGCACACAGAAACAACCATGCATATAGGGAATAATATAATAACAAATAGTGCAAGAGTTCTATTATTCTCAATTAAATAACATTGACAAGCAACATCAGCAAAGATAACAGAAAAACAAGTCAAAAGAAGCAGTCACCCAAACAAACAAAGGAATTCAAAACAAGATTCGGGCACGCATCAATGCATAATACTTACGGTAATTATGTGCCGTTATATGTGCATACTAAATCAATCCAGATACCCATTGTCAAACACATAATGTACAAATGCATCTGCAACAAATTTAACATAATAGCTTAAATACCTGCATTGCAGCTATTCTAATTTTTTCCTCAAATAAATACATTTTCCTATCTTCTTCATCTTTATGCCACTCACAAATGCATGGTATATTGTTCATATTTTTGGAATTTGTACTTTTGATTGAACATGCCATTCCACAGGAATCGCAACCTTCAAGTCGATGGTCTTTTTTAGTGCCTGATATTGAATTAAACTTTATATGTGAAAGCGTTTAGCTCTACTCTACATTCTGTAGTGAGAGATTAATTAACGATGAAACATTTATACATTGATATTTACTACCTTCATGGCCACATGTTGAGCAATGCGCCGTTTTCTTTGAAACTTTACAAACACTGATATTTTTACCAGTTTTTCTCCAAATATCGAATACTTTTAAAGAATCTTTCCTTGAAAGCTGGAGATCAACTTCATGGCTTGGGCCTGAAAGGAAAAAAAAGCCTTATTAATAATAAATCAATAAGCATAAAGACTGCACGTTACTTTCATTTTATCGGGAAATCCTAAGGTCATTCGACAATGAGCAAACATTTTCAGCTTTAAGTATATTAGTCTGTTTCATCTAACAACAGGACACAGCAATTGTTGTGGAAAAAAATTAGGGTACCTATTCTTAGGGTAGGGTACATAACCTTTATCTTTCTTGCCCATTTGAATACCAATTTGACTGAAACATAAGCAAACACTGAAGACTATCTTCGACTTCATGCTCAATTTTTTATAGTAACCAAGTTTTTCTAGAAAAGTCATGAGCATGATTATATTTAATTGGTTGAAATTTACCTACCGTGCCTACACCTGTCACACCTTTCGGGAAATAATCACAACCAAGTAGCAGACCAAGTGCTATCAAGTCTCGTTGATCCAATGACATATTTTTCTCTATATCATCCATATCATATCGCTCAAAAGGTACTTGCTGAAAATATTATATTGCAAAAAACATTAAAATTCCCAGTAGAAATATCTTAGTCGTGAAATAGATGAACATCACCACCAAAATAACATTTATCCAAGTTTCTATGTCCATTTACTCAAGTGCCCCCTAAATAGGTATATTTACAAATTACCATTAAGATTAATATGACAGTTTTAGTAGAAAAATTTCATTTGAACAATATTAACTTTTAAATACCTTTTCAACAGAGAAGTTTTTATAAACAGTTCTAGCACCATACAAAAAACAATCTCCATCCGAAGTGATGACGCCATCAACTAAACCAATTTTGTTTAATGCAGCACATAATGCCTCTGCTTCTCCTTCAGCTTTGATCCACGGTACACCAAGAGAATCAAGTAACACACAGCACTGCAATTAATACAACATAAATTGCTAATAAAGATTTCTTTATCCTATTTTATGAGCACCATATATTATTTAGTGTATAAATTCTCAAAAGTGCAATGAAAAAGCAAATTGCTTCCTCAAAAGCATGTTCAGCAATCTTCAGACAGAGCATACCCCATTTCGCATCAGATATGAGCCCATATATGTGAAACCAGATTGGCCATTTGAGCATCAAAAAGGGTGCATCAATAACAATACCAAATTTTTTTTAAAAAAATTATTCAATTGAATAGATTAGAAAACACACCTCTTTAAGTTTGAAATTCAGTCTGCTCCGAACACCAGAAGAAATCTTAGAATTGCTTCCACTGTCAAGCAGAAAGATTTGATTAGTAATCAGTAATCCGGTATAATTATCTGACAATTCGTTTTGAGCATCGAAGATAGTGTAACAAGAGCATGATTATCCAGTAGGGCTTTGTAGAATCTGATAGATATGTGACTACATAAAATAATGTATATTGCATTTCATATCAGATCACATTGCTAAATGAAGCCTAAACAGACTCTAAGTCAGGGTTTCTTAAACTGGGCACTCTGCAACTCTAAGAGGCCCAGAGTGGTGTTCTGGTGGTCACAAGCAAAAGACCTTTAGCTTTCCAAATGCATAGACTTGGATGATAGAGGGAGCAGTTATAGACCAGCAGATACATGAGCCACCCTGTGATGGAAAGAGCTCAACAATTTCTGAATTTATCGAATTTTCCTCAAGATCAATGAATTTATCACAAGCAAGAACATAGCATCAATGAGTGCTTGTTCGAAGCCTTGTTTAATGAGAAGGCTATATATTAACTAGTAAATATATCATCGCAAATGCGACTCACTGTCAAAGACTATACCTTGTTCCAAGTCTCTTTGATATTGTTTCCCTTTTCAACTCTGGAGCTTTACCATCCAAAACAAATACAAGATTTATATCAAGTCTCAGGATACTGCTCACACGAAAAAATAGGTTTCTGCAAAAAATTGCTAATTTTATTTGATATCATGCTACAGTGCTAACGAATGTGATACAAACCATAAAAACCATGGGGTGTCCTTTAAAAGGTTTCTTTGTTTGAGATACAAATTGCACCAATAAAACAGTCATTTATTACTGCATGAAGAATTGTCAACAGAAAATGAAGATAGGCAATTACTTTGCAATATTCATAGTATTAACTCACCTCAGGTATGGTCGTGTTACATAGCTATGCATTTGCTTTACTCCTTCCGATTCACAAATCCAAGTTGCAAGATCTACTGCTAATGTTTGTCCCTTTATTTGCTCCAGAGTAACATCTTGCTTAACGTCTCTCAAAACTTCCCATAGTTTGGTCACTCCCATTGCAGCATTGCAATAAAACTAAAACGCCAGAACGGTTACCGGTATTGGACTGAACCTATAGCTGTATAGACTACAAATATCTGAAATATATTACAGTGTATATTACTTCAGTTTTTCTGTCATTTAAAATGGATTGGGCCTATATTATTGCAGGAGAATACAATGAGCTAACAATTGCATATCTTTATATGGCATTCGTGACCACAATCTGTTCGTTTGCTTTGGTTTGCACGGACAAAACCAAGTGCAGAAGTGCAGTTTCAAGTATTTTGTGGCGTCTAGAGCTCCCGCAAAACCATGGCGGGATTTCCAAACCATGGCCGCTATGACCAAACCCACGGCGACTGACTTTTTAGCTGCTACAGTAATGCTGGTAATCAAGTTATTCGTATTCCAATATACAATTTTGTAACTTTTCGTACATGCAAGATGCAAATACAAGCATATGCACATGATCACGGTTGTTAATGCCTACCGGTAAAGTATTACAAATCATTCAATCAAATCGTTTTTATTATCCGTTCAGGAAAAGCAGATAAAGAGATGCGTCTGGTCGTCTTAAATCCATTTTGGAGCTGGACCTGTACACTGTTTTCCTACGTTGTACCGTAAATATATACTACTACAGTTGTACTACACCATATTACTCTGATATTCTCAGCAATATGTAAGCAATACGTTGAAAATTGGGAGAATATTTCTGGAATGGGCCTCATTAAATGCGGAGTGCCACAAGGTTCGACAATAGGCCCATTGTTATTTCTGTGCTATATAAATGATTTGCCTGCTGCCTCTTCCTTCTTTTCAACCCTATTTGCGGATGACACTTCTCTATTAAAATCTGCTTCATGCGCATCTGAACTTCAAACTTCTGTGAATTTCGATCTCCATAAGGTGGACAAGTGGTTGAAAACAAATAAATTATCTCTAAACTATTCCAAAACAAAATTTATGCTGTTTTGTAGCAAAAAAAGTGATATTACAACCTTTAGAGTAACCTTAGGCAATAACATAATTGACCGCACCAAAAGTATCAAATATCTTGGGGTTACAATAGATGACAAATTGAGCTGGAAGGCACATATTGCCGATTTGTCTAAGAAATTATCTCAAACTGTTGGAATATTTTACAGACTCAGGTATATTTTGAACCCTGAAACACTCAAATTGGTCTACTATAGTTTATTTCACTCGCGATTACAGTATGGTATACTTAGCTGGGGGTCGACAAATAAGTCTCTATTGCAGCCAATACAAGTTTTGCAAAATAAAATTTTAAGATGTATGGCATTTTCAGAAAAAACTCACATAACCGATTTTCAGCTGTATCGACAGTTTAATATCTTACAGCTGTGTGAAATGCATACACTTGAAATAGCCAAGTTCATGCATCGGCATCAAAATGACCTTGTTCCCATTGCTTTCCAACACTATTTCACTAGGCTACAAGATGTACATAAATACACCACTAGGTCCCAAAAAAATAGGTCATATTTTACCCCTCATGTAGCCACAGAGTTTGAAAAAAGATCACTGAAATATAGCGGTGTCCAGGTCTGGGGCATTGTACCACCTGACATCAAAAATTGTTCAGCATATACTTTCAATAAAAATATGAAAAAATTCTTGTTATCCAAGTACCCTGATCCGTATACTTCTGTTTAATATACTGTAATTGCCGTTTTATGCTGCTAAAAGTTATTGTGTAATAAATGATGAACTGCATATTAATTGCATATCTAGTTGGGCATACTCAATTGTGGAACACGCATTAATATTCCATTTCTATTTCAAGTATTTATGAATCTTTATGAATGTTGGTGATTGTCACTGTGTTTTCCAAGCTTCCATCAAAGACCATCTCGTAAATTAATTTAATATTCTTTTCATATTGTTAAAAATCACTGTATAAGAAGTGATAAAATGAACATTTTATATGTGGATCATACATTGATACTCCATTTCTAATTCAAGTATTTATAAATCGTTATGAATGTTGGTAGCCACTATACAGTATTCAGTGATTGTCACTGTGTTTTTTCCATGCTTTCATTTCATAAATTAATTTACCTACCGGTAATAACCTTTTATATTGTTGAAATTCATTTTGTAACTAATGAACAGCATATATAATTGGGGGCCATACATTAATATTCTAGTTCTATTTCAAGTACCCTTGGTATGAATACTTGTGAATGTTGTTAGCCTCTTTGTAAATTAATTTATTAACCTATTTACATGTTAAACTAATTATATAATAAGTGATGAACTGCATTATCAATAGCATATTTAATTGTGAATCATACATTGATACTCCATTTCTAATTCATATTTTTATAAATCTTTACGAATGTTGGTAGCCACCATACAGTATTCAGTGATTGTCACTGTGTTTATCCATGGTTTCATTCCGTAAATTAATTTACCTAATAACCTTTTTATATTGTTAAGATTCATTTTGTAACAAATGAACTGCATATATAATTGTGGGCCATACATTAATATTCTAGTTCTCTTTCAAGTACCCTTGGTATGAATATTTGTAAATGTTGTTAGCCTCTTTGTAAATTAATTAATTTATTAACCTATTTACATGTTAAACTAATTATATAATAAGTGATGAACTGCATTATCAATAACATATTTAATTGTGGATCATACATTGATACTCCATTTCTAATTCATATTTTTAAAAATCTTTATGAATGTTGGTAGCCACCATACAGTATTCAGTGATTGTCACTGTGTTTTTCCATGCTTTCATTTCGTAAATTAATTTACCTAATAACCTTTTTATATTGTTAAACTCATTGTGTAACAAGTGAGCTGTATATTTAATTGTGGATAATACATAAATATTCGAATCCTTATTCAAGTATGTATAAATACTTATGAATGCTGGTAGCGATTAAACAATATTCATCGATTGTTATTGTTTTTCCCCTGCTTCTTCATGTGAACTAATTAAGGTGCCAAAAGGAGTCAAATGATACTTTTACGTCATGCACTCCATTACTGAATCTGTGATGATATTATTTTCTTGTCCCTATCTTTCAATTTTTGATCTCGGTCTGTGTCCAATAAAAAAAAGCTTTTTTTAAATCTTTGACTGTTTTAATTCTTTCATTGGACATGATCGGTTACATAGGTACATGACCACTCAAAATCCTAAATTGCCCTTTGATAACTTTAATAATAATAACTTTAAATTGCCGACTCATTCGCTCATTTCTTTATCTTATATATATTTTATTTAATCCCATTTGCATTTACCCATGGTACTATATTATGCCATGATAACCTTATATACAGCATTTACAAAAGGATCGGGAGCCTAGATGACCTTAATCGGTCCTGCACACCGACCCGCACAAAACAATAATCAATCGCTGTTTATTACTGATGAAATATTTTCTTCATTATATTATTATCTATTATTGTTATTATTGTTCATATTAGTGTTGATTTTGTTTTTGTGGCAATAAATCTCACTCTCTCTCTCTCAGCAATTATTCAACCAATGTATTTCAAATTTTCAGTTATTGAGAAAAGAAAGAAGTCGCTAGAAAACAATTAATTTAATTTCGTTTGAAACCCGATAGTCGACCCAAGTTTGGTAACATGCAAAGTCGAAAGAATATTAAGTACAAGTATAAGTTTATTTCGACTCCATAATCAGCAATAGACGATAAAATAATAGATAAAAACAAAAATAAAAGTAACTTATAATAGAATCGGGAAAGCGAACAAAACCTCGAGTAAGGTTTGAAACGTACAGATTTTAGATGGAAAGGTATTGATAAAAGAAGTAGTACGTGTTCGCTCACCCTAAGTAGAGTCTAAGAACAATGATGAAAGAGTTGCAAGTGATCATTGACAAGCTAAAAGGCTCATAACGTACAGGGCATTAGAAACAGGGAGGTCGCATTAGGAATGAAGCGTTACCAGCATTGAGAGCGCGTTATCAGCTCAGTATGTGCAATACGTGGTCGCGATCATTGAGCTCAATGATTCTTCGCCGTCTTGTGGCGTCGACAGCGCCATCTTATTATAATTTACCAATCGGAGATTCGCCAAGCCTTATAGCAAAATAAATTGTAAAATACACGATACCTATATTTTTGTGTGGATATTTTATATTTATTTTTCTTCACTCAACCGGGCAAATTATGCAATTGTATACCGATACCTGGATATCTTTATGTATCTTAGTTACTTAAAGAAAATAAATGGCAGATACGGAAACATGGATAAAAATGTGATGGAAACGTGATTAAAAAATACAGAAATATACAACTGGCAGAATGCAAAAATGGAAGATTTTCAAGTGAATTATACACGCAAGCATGAAGTTAAGTTCAAACAAAATTAAGCTTGTACTAATCTTTTTATAAATAGGACTGGTTGTGCATAATTTCAACTACACTGTTGTATAATATTTGAGAACTCACAATCGTTCTTACAGTTTTGTGGCTGTGTCTGTGTGAACGTTTTACTAAAACTTTCGGTCGATATTACAGATAGCTGGATAGTACAATCAGATGATAATCACTGCATAGCCTATATTTTTGATGTGACATGCATTCATACTTTATTCTAGAAATTTTCTCGATTCTTGATTTACATTTATTCGGGAATTTTTTTCAATATTTGTTCACATGCCACCTCGATTATCACACACAGCAGCTACTCAGTTCACAGTTTAATTTTAAAATGAATCGCATGTAATGGGATTACAAAATGAAATGTCTGAGTAAAGACCACCATCAATATTTATGTTAATCTGTTAAGGTTTGTGACTTTTTTTTTCTTTGGTGGTTGAACTTGTTTGATATGTTTTAAACTTAATATTAGGTTATGTCTGTATGTGCACTCCCTAGGTTCTCTGCCCTCAACTTCTGGATTTTGGTATTTTGTGAATAAATTGAAATAAAATCTTTCTATCAATCATTTTACCCAAAATTGGAATTGAAATACAAATAATTCAAATTCGCTTGTGTATAGAAAAAAAAAATAAATAAATAATGAATTCCACTGTAATTCAATTAGAACAATAGTTAGAATTAATTGTAATCTGTGCCTAGATTCTAAATTTCTGAAATTGGAGTGCCAATTCTGGAAATGAATTTCATGTTTCATTATTTATTCGTAGGAGAGGGAAATCCATTAGACACCTAATCTTATCAAAAACCAGGCAGCAAGCGAGAGAAAACTTTGTAAATAATGACATAGCTCTGTATAGCTACATTTATTACCTGATGTATATGATTGGAAATTATAGATGAGTATTTAAGGATAGTATTCACACCAGAGTTTGAAATCATCATGGTTGACCAGTCTGTTGACATCCAATTAAAACACCATACTAACACAAGCTGATAAATAATGAATATTTAACCTACATGGGAAAGGAAATATTATTTTAATAGGGCAATAGAAAAACATTCAAAATAAAGAGAAATATAGGGAAAGGCAACGCACTAAAAATATCTTATTATTTTGGTTTTTCTAGCTTATTTATATCTGTAATGATCTAATCTTCATTGGTTTTGATTGTTCCAGTAAGATGTCTGAAATGGTTCTGAAGAAGGAATTCGTCACTGGAAATTCCACCAAAGTTACTGCTGGGACGTTCAACACAAATCAACAGTTGGAGCAGTTCTTGATTCTTGCTAAAACTGCCAAAGGTTCAGCTTTGAAAGAATTGATTAAGCAAGCAATGGAGGCAAGAGATGTTTATTTCTTCGGTGAATTACTTGAAATCCCTGCAATTCAGGCTTTGGAGCAAGATCCAACATCGCAGACATACTTTTCACTGCTTAAAATTTTTGCATATGGTATATTTAAAGACTATCTGGCTGATAAAGATACATTACCAGAATTGACACCTATGATGACAGATAAATTAAGGCATTTGACTGTCGCAACATTGGCTACAAAATTCAAATATCTTCCTTATTCGACTCTTCTTGATGAACTAGCTATGTCGAATACAAGACAGCTTGAAGATTTACTGATTTCTGCAATCTACTCCAACGTAATTCGTGGCAAACTTGATCAACAGAATTCTCGTCTTGAAGTTGACTGGACAATTGGACGTGATATTCGACCAGCTGATTTGGATAATATAACAATGACATTGGAATCATGGTGCAATGCGTGTGGTATTATGTTACAAGGAATTCAGACTCAAGTAAAGTCTTCAAATATATTTTTAGAAGAAGATCAAAAAAGAAAACAACAGATTGAACAAGAAGTAACAAATATAAGGAAAACTATCAAAGCTGCATCAGGACAGCAAGAAATGGAACTTACTTCGAGTGACAAAAATTTGTCATCCCACCCAATGCCATCTGCAGGGGTTGAAAACAAACCTAAAAAGTCTAAGGTCAAAGGACTCAGGGGTAGTCAAGCGGTTAATAAGCTATGGTCATCAAAAAACTGACATGATATTTTTTCATTACTAAATTCTATGTTTCAATCAAATGATAGCATTTTAATGGTTTCAATGTAATTTATTCCGTTTAATATAAGTTCAAAGTTTAGGAAAGCGCTAGCTGTATTATATTTCAAATCACAATATTTGTTGAAACTATTACAGTTTAAACAATGTTTTTTGCACAAATGCTAAAGCTTTACAACTGAAGCTGAATTAGTCAAAAAATGGTTATCATTACCAATTATCAAAATTTTATATGAAATCATTAATTAGAATTGCCAAGTATTCACTCGTATATATCAATATAAAACGTTGTGGTAAGTATCCCCTCATTTATATTTCAGTATAAATGTATTTCTGGATTTGCAACAGACTATATATTAATTCATTAGACTCAAAAATGATGTTTATATCAAATATTATTTTGAAATTTAAACATAAAACACAAGTTCTTTCGCAGACTAATTAATTTACTGGGAAAATTAGTAATTTTGAATATTTTGACAGATTTTCATGTTTTAATTAGCTTGTATGTTGAATTGGCACCACCAGTTGTTTGTCAGTTATTCAATAAATATGTTTCAGTTCCAGAGTGTTTTTTTTGAGCTTTCAAGTATTTTGGTCAGAGTGTTTCTGTGTTAACTGGTGATAATTTGTTAAATGCATTTTCTGTTTTCTTTTATTTTTTACATAGAAATATTATTGTTATACATTAAACGAGAGAAATATAGTGAACAAAAATTAATATTGCTAGCATGCGTGAAGTGGAGAGAATATCAACAACAATGAAGCAAAACAATTTTTAACATTTGCTGACAAGATTTGCTGAGATCAAACAAACAGAATGGAGTGAAATAACTGTGAAGAGGCAGATATAAAGACAGTATGTCTCGACATTCAACAGATACTAGAACATCATCAAAAACTGTTACAGATATTAAGAATATACCAGCCAGGAGACTTTACAGGTAAGATACTAGAATTACTATCATATTCTTTTTAATTAGTTTGGAAATGTAACTATTTACTCAACTAGTGTTTCATTCATATTCAATGTTTCTTTTTTTTGAGACGTTTCTAACAATAAATTTTATTTTGTTGTCGTTGTTACCTGTCTGTGATCTTTGTTCCCTAAGCATTCACTGAAATTCATAAATTACACCAAGTTGTCTTGCTATTTGGGTTTTCTAATGTCATCCCTTTTAAACATTATTGTTTTAATAAATATACTTGGTCAATTAATCATAAGTATGCCAATTTCATCAGTTTCTATTATGTACTGTTTGCTCGACTTACTGAGTTGTATGTCAAAGTGTGTCGACTACATTTTAAGGCAGCATTATAACATTTTAGTGATTTATTAATGTAAAAAACTGAGATGCTGTGCGATTTTATTTATTGTTATATTTTATATCCTGGATAATTTACAGTTGTGCTGGCCTTGTTATATTGACATGTGTTTTCTATATACATTGAGTGGTTTAACCATTATTATTATTTTTTATTCAGAGGTGTTTTGGAGTATGCACGCAGGTTAGAAAATGGTCGACAACACAGGAGGAATTTAATGAGTGTTTTTCAGTCAGAGCAAGTTGGCTTAAGGTATTGAATACAAATCAAATTTTTTATTCCACCAGAATATGTTCCTCTTCTAATGTTTACTGTGTACACCAACAACCAACATTGAAGCTCCATATTGTCTTAAGTAAATCATTAATGCCTATGAATGTGTATCTGAATCCTTTTTAAAATGCAATGCAATACTATGCAGTATTCAAGTCTATCATCACACACATAATAGGTTTTTTGTCAATCAATTATCTCAGAAGGTGTCTCAGTCTTATGATATAGCTCCTTAGCCAAGTTTATCAACTTTAAAGTTATTTGCCAAATAATTATTCAACAAAGCTTTATCATGTCATATAATGTGAAGAAAAGCACTGCAGTGACATAATCTCCACCAATAGGTCAATGTAGTTCTTAAGGATCGTCAAGAGGGAAAATGTCAGATTGCTATTCACTTGGTGACACAATTTGTTTAAATTTTCTGCAGTCAAATATATTTTCCCATTTAAGAAATTGCAGGAAATGTATATAACAGTAACAGTATTTGAAATACCCACTCTTGAGATGCCATATTTTTGTTACACATTCTCGTTTAACTGTTTACTCAATTTATTAAATCCTAGACATAAACTCCGAGATGCATGTGAAAAACTCATGTTCTCACATCCCATAGAATATGGCCGAAAAGCCGAAGAGTTGATTTGGAGAAAAGTATATTATGAGGTTATTCAACTTGTCAAAAGCAATAAGAAGGTAAGCTTTATTAATGTTTACATTGACACTGGTATAGAATTTAGATAATTTGAAGACCAGATTTTAAATTCAGATTTTAAATTCAAGTAGAGTCTAGCATCTGGATATTTGTCTTTCATTACTGAGAAAAAATACTTTGGTAATTTTCTTTAGGCTTGTTGAAAATTCTTGCATCAAATTTTCAAAAAATTTAACCAAGCTCAGACTTACAGTACCGGTACTTAGACAAGCCGTATAGAGCAATCACAGCCTTGTGTGAAATATCTCAGTATTATTAATTTTGATGCTTTTAGCTCTATTATGTTCTTTTATATGCGAGAAAGATTGCTACAATATAAATTAAGTTTGTTAGTCGCTTTGTTACTGTGTAATCTTATGCCAAATTTATAACAAGGCCAGCAGTAATAGTGTGATGGGTATTTTTTGCAGTAAAGTGTCAAATTACGCATCCACGATCTTTTATGCAAATTTAGTCACGAGAGAGTATGATTCTTAGCTATCAATTGAGGGTTGCAACTTGCAAGCAACAAAATGGCATTCTGTCTATTATTTTTTTAACTATTTTTCTTTTATTAATTATGTTGTTCAAGCTTTTTTGTCACAAATCAGTGAAATCGACATCGACTCCTATAACATATTTTCAGTTCATGAAATCTGGTAGTAGATTGGAACTTTTATATAAAGAGTACTTGTCAGCAGCAATTGGATATTATCATCATCTATTACTAAAACTACAAGCAAAGTATCAACCGCATATTGCCGTCGATTGGCCATTTGCAAGCAGTCCTCTGAGTGATAAATATAAAAGGTTTGTATGGTAAATAAGTTACGGTGATAATAAATGAAAGCAGTTCTTAGAACTTGGTCAAATAAAAATCATTTACGAACACAATGCACATACCTTCAAACATAAAAAATGGTAGTGTAAGGCAAGGAAAAAAAAGTGTTTAAGATTTTCTGTTTGATGGGGATGCAATAACATTTCTTTTCCAATATGGCCTGGTTCTCTTTGTTCATTCGAATTTGAAGTTGATTTAAATCTGAATTACCCATAATTATGAACACTATCATATAATAAAGTTAATATTTAACTCCAAATTCATTCTTGTTTGCAGAAGGAGGGAAGTCACCATTTTATCAGCAGAACAAGTCAATGAACCATCAACGGACAAAGATGTTTCAAAAATAAAAAAAGTAAAATCTCATACTATTCTGAGCAAAAAATCAAAAAATGCTGATAGAGATACTCCAGAAAAAGTTATGACAATTGATGAATGGGCCCAGGAAACATCGTACCGAATCCTCCTATGTCTTGGTGATCTAGGTTGGTTTTTCCTTCTCTTTGATGAATGAGTTTTGGATTTCTGTATTGATCTGTTTGCAACTAAAAGTGAATCAGAATTGTTTTGTTGTTTTGGTATTTTTATATACTATAAAGTAAATATGTCTCCTAGCCATGCCCGTAGCAATCCAAGCTGACTCCTTATCTGTTACATCTATGTAAAATTCAATTTGAGTGTTGATTTAATGTTTTGTGCTTGAAATATAGTTGAAGTGTGTTTTATTTCACATCTTTGTAACTTTTTATAACTTACAGTAATTCTTTGGGTGCGATTGCCAGGTAGTTAAAACCTTTGGGCTTCACTATCTTGGCATCTCCGGGTAAAAATATGTGCTTCAAATTCCTTGCCTACCACCTCACCCAAGGTCAAATAAATTGAGAAGGTCATAAGTTTTCAAAGTGCTCCATATGGAGCCTCAGGGATCTGTGGGATAAACCTAGGGGGTAGGGGCTCCGTGAGATATTTGTTTATTTATTAAAATACTGACTTGGCAATTTCGTAACTATCCAAAAAAGCAATAAATACATCCGCGTCATTAAAAAAAGTTATTTTAATCTACTCAGGAACATCATTGGTAAAATCAATGTGTTATAAATTTATTGTGGGGCTTCGGAGATAATAGTCAACAGCACAGGCACATGCTCCGCTCCATACCACCAAAAGTCCGAAAACCCCTGGAGTAGGTAATGCCGAACAGGATAGATGGAAGATGACGTCTTGTGAGCAGTGACTTTTTGTGTGTGTAGAGCCTTGTGCATATGGAAGACCTAAAAAAATGGGAATTTATATCAATTCGAGCGAGCTTAATTTTTAAATTATTCTATAGGCCTAGTAGAAAAACACAAACATTTTTCTGTTATTCAGTAGTTTAAGAATTTCTCTTTTTACTAGGTCGATATTTAGTGGAGCACGGAGGTTCAAGATCTTTTGCTGAAAGATTTTATCAGCTCGCACTGCTGGTGAAACCAAATATTGGTATGCCATTCAACCAACTCGGCACATTGGCCGGTCATCATACATGGTGGGGATTGACTGCAGCCTACTATTATTACAGATGGTATGTTAGACTGGTTATGAACATTACAATTTGATTTGATCTATATGCAGTTATTTAGCATGGTCCTTCTATAATTCATTATATGCACTTGTATTTATGAGTATTAAAAGAGTATTTATGGAAAATTGATGATCAAGGTAGATGATTTTTACATTCTTCTACCCTTGAATTAACCATGTAATTCAAGCCTTACACTTAGATTTCGGTGATACCTCCGTAGTTGAACGACTCAACAGTCGTCACTCTTTTCAATTCCGTAATCGATCAAAAAATTTGAGTCAGAAATGCTGCTGTACTTGAACTAATATTCGGAGCTCGAACACCTGGGCGAAAAAAGTTTCGGTCCTCTAACAAATGGTAGTTGAACACCAATCCTGAACGAATTATGTTCGACTACCGAGGTATCATTGTATTACTGTTCCATTCATTCAATTCCACGCCAATATGACCTTATTTACAGTTTGGAAGCTGAAAATAGATTTGATGGTGCTGATGGAAATTTACAAAAACTTCTTGATCGAAACAAGAAAAATTTCTATCAAATACCAACTGATGCATTGGAAAACATGATCAGTTCTGAAGAATACAGGTTATTAGCACGGTTGTTTATTTGACTTCTTACGAAAATCAAACCTGATGACCAGGCCTCTCTTTTGACATTAGCAAATTGTTACATCATAATAAACATATTGAATATTATCAGAATATATGAATTTCGAATGAATATATGAATTAATGTATTAATTGAAAAGGAACATTACTCAAAATAATAACAGATTGGATGCATTTTAATATAGCAAAGAATAATTTAGTCAATTTTAAAATTGTATTTCAGAAAAGAGCACACCAGAATTTTCATCATATCGTTTTTATATTTGTGTGATTTGTTACGACCAAAAACCTATGCAACTGATGTCGAAATTACAGGTATGATTTTTTAAACTAAGAAAATTCTGCTGTTGCGTTTTTCTATGATGATTCTAAAATATTTTTTACATAGAAGTTTACATATGAATCTTCTATTAATTTATTGTCTAAAGCAGGGGTGTGCAACATTTTTTGTCAGTGGGACATATAACCAACTTCAGACATCTAGCCGGCCGCACAAAAAATTGTTTTTTTTTTCATATACACAAAACTGCTGGAGATGCAAAAGAAGAAAATGTGGCTATTGTTCAGTCTTGCCCAGTAATGAAGGCATTGGGCAAAATGGTGAAAGATTTAACACATCGACAAGAACAAAAAACGTGTATTTTTACTCATGTGAGGGCCTTTCAAACTGTCAGATTAAGATGATTGATGAGAGTGTTGACAAGGGCCACACTAAATGGATTTGCGGGCCGGCTTGTGGCCCACAGGCCGTTGCACACCCCTGGTCTTTTAATAAAACTTTTAATAATAGGATAGGATTTCCTATAACAACAAAGAGCTGATGATTAGTCATATCAGATGCATGGACCTGGTGGTTGAGGAAGTCTTCACCAATGTAGGTTATGTGAGCCACTATGTGGCGCTGTAGAATTTAGCAATCCTTTCACTCATAATTATACTCAAATGATTCAGACTCGTGCGGAGTAATCTGATGCCAATTGTCGAGTCTAATTTACATATTAACTAGGGTGATTGTGTCTCTCATTCACCAATTACTTTGGTCCTTCATCTCAGTATGGAATTTAAACAAAAATACTAGCAGCTTTATCAATATTTTGTGATCAATGTTTTGAAAGTGTTTCCAACAATGATTCATTTTTAACAGGTTTATGTAAAAAATTGATCGATGCACTACCGGTATGTCTTTCGCATTCCTCACATTTACAAGATGAAAAAACTTCAGGTATGACTGATGTTTGGTTGCTTTAAATACAATGTCTATTTTTGAAAACTAACTAAATGAATTATGTATATCATACTTGTCATCAGTGTTCACTATTAGCGCACTTTTTTGCGAAAATTGCGAAACACTTTCGCAACTTTTTTTAGGGACTGCGAAATAGCACTTTTTTCCGATTTTGAAGAGAAATAGCACTTTTTTCCGATTTTGAATGGAATAAAAATTCAAAGTTAACAAATATTTTCGAGTATTAAGTTGACAAATAAGTAACATACTGTACTTTGTAACTCAATTCTGCATATCATAACGATATTTACCGGAATTCTAACCTATGAGATGCAGACATAGGAGATAAAGCTTTTGCATTAACGGCAAAAATTCTTGTTTATAATATGATTATTATACAAGCACACCGATTCCGCTTCTCCTGCAAAAAACGCTCCCGGGGCGTTTCTTTGAAGCGAGAGTGTCATGTGACTATCAATGATATCGATGAATTCAAATGACTATAAAAGTGTTAGTAACGTGTTATAGTCACTTTGGATGAATTGTGACCAAACTGCACGATTTTTCAAATCAGACGAAACTTTTAGCAGCATGTCACAGATTTGCAAAATCAACAAATTCAAAAATACCATTAAAATGCCCATTTATTGTAATCCACAATGTTGAAAGGACGTGGCATTTTCCGGATTTTTGCGATATTTACACAACTATTTCTCATTGATATGCGAGGAGGGGTGGGCAAAATTCAATATTTTTTTAAATCGAATATTTTTAAGGAGTACCGAATAAACGTGGTGGAAACATTAAAAAATCGGCAACAAAGCCTTTTTACTGGTTAATTCCGTTGTAATTCGCTAATTGTTCTGTCACCGATCGTTTTGGCGGCGATATCCAGGTTTTGGGTAATCTATATTCCCGCCCTCTCTTTTTTTACAAATATGAATTCTTGTGGTCGGCGGACATCGAAGTTTTATATTTCGGGTTTACCCGTTCGTTCACATCGGCAACAGCTGTGAAGACATTGAGGACTCAAATTAACATTTGCGCTGGCTTCAATATTACCTAATCAAGATTTGTAAATTTACCGTCCCAATTTTATGCGAATGGTAATATTATTGTCCATACCGTGATGCAGATATTTATTAAGACGATAATTAACTTTCTCATGTATTTCTATGGTGATAAACTTCGCAATCTGAAATTGTGCCAATCCTGAATGTTTGATTTGAAATAGTGGATTGAATAATTCGGCTTATAAATGCATTTCTGCGTGGTCATAAGACGAGATGACGTTAATGAACAGCACTTCTTTTACAGGATATTTTACGTATGCGACTTATTGCTAAAAGATTGGGCTCGAGTGCTTTTTTTTCGAGTGCTCGAGTGCCTAATAGAGGTCAGTGCGCTAATTGTAACTAATTCCCTCAAGTTTCACGTGTTTTCAACAAAACAATACCCCCGGCGATAATTATAGCTAAAATGTTACGAGCAATTCACAATTTTATTTATGGAATTTGCAAATTCACCAGTTTCTTGACGATTTTGATATTGTCACGCCCTAATTATTAGTGCAAAAAATACTCCCCTTCTTCCGCGCGGTTTGACGGGTTCTTTGTTCCATTCTTCAGAAAGTTCTGACACGGGGGATATAGAATACTGAATCCGGAGGGGTTGAATCCCTGTCCACTTACTGGTTATTTTCCGTTTTGAAATGCGTGAAACATTCTCTATTTTAAATTAAATGACGTTTCGCGGGCTAGAGTTCTCCCCGAAAATGATGTGTTCCAGACGTTAGTTAGACGATAGATAAAACATTAAATTAATAATTTTCGTGACGCCCCGTTTTCGAAAATACAAAGTTATATCTCAAAAAAATGCGTTATAATACATTTGGAATGAAACATTATTTACGGTGAATTCAGATCACATTTTACTCTCCATGACACCCGGGTAATCCGAAAATACAGTTGTATCTCGAAAAATGTGTTTTGTTACATTTAAAATAAAACATTTTTGCAATTAATTTAGATCAAATTTTACCTTTCACGGCAACCCGTTTCCGAAAATACAAAGTTATATCAAAGAAATGCGTTTTGTTACATTTATTTTGCATTCCCAATAAAATACATATTTTCCCTAATTAAGGTCGTCGATGAATCTGTTCCTGTCGTTCAAGCTCGACACACGTTTGGACGAGTGTGGGGCGTTTTTTTGATCGACGATAAATTAAAAAGTTGCCACACGTTATTTGTATAACCATAATAACTGAAAATTAAGATTTTATAATAGAAGTGAATTTGTCTCAAGATGGTATTTTACGATTCCTGCCCACAGAAAATAAACACGCTGACAGGCTTGGTTATAATTGATATTCGTTTAATTTATTTTACACTATTAATAAACGCGCCACACCAATTGTGACCATATAAATTGCAGTCGCATCGGTATGGACTGTATGTTTTTGGCGCTCTCAAATTAATAATAATTTTTAACTAAACAATACCCCGACGGTCATTAAAGCTGAATTCGTTACCGAATAATTCGCAATTTTATTTACGGAATTTGCAATTTCAAGATCTCACTTGACGATTTTGATGATGTCATGCCCTAATTATTACTGCTTAAATGCCTCAAAATACAACAAATGTAATCATTTTCGACGATAACAGGCGCAACAATTCATAAACGAGCCGTTATAACGAAATTCGCGATTGATTTTACCTCTCTCTTGTTTACAATTTTAACATCCCGCCGGCCATGTATGGTCGAATAAAATGTTCACATATTCGAAACATAACTTGGCCAAGGATGGAAGGGATCACTAAAGAGCTAATAGAAAGTACATACGCGAGGGTATGATATTAATATCGAGAATATTTGTGAGCATATCACAGGACGGAAATATTTTGCACCCGGCTGTTTGTTGGCAGAACAACGATACGCTAAAGTTAATTGATCGAATACAGGGAAGTATTCATTTATCATCTCACTTGCGAACATCGAGGTTTTGGCGGAATTGTACGATCATGTTGTCTTTCTTAAATAATAACTTTTTCAATAAATGTTCATTTTACTTTTGCGTCCTTATTATATATATGTCTGGTTTTCATTTATTTTAAATTCGAAATTGTCCGAAATACTTCAACAGGTGTATAGGTACAATAATAATAGTACTTACCAAAGTACCTACCAGGGAAGTTTAATACACACGATGTGTAAAGGGCGTCGTAACTCCCGTTTATTAATTATAAATTTTTTTACATTCTGCTTAAAAAACAACGGCAGTCATCTCACGTAACTCTCGCGACCAAATCTTTTTTGTTTTGTATGGCATCGTCTTGGCGACAAATTTTTTGCCGACTGAATTTTAATTGTGTTTTAGGTTAGGTATTTTCTGTTTGTTGGTTTCTAAACTTTACAAACTTGGGTAGCAATTACTATTAATGTGAGATTTGTGCATATGAACGATTGAATATCGCGACTGGATGTCCGATATCTGAGAATGCGTAATTCTCTTTCAACATTAATTTTCAGGATATCAGCGTTCATGTGGTCGAATAAAAATTATTTATCAAATGGATTGGTATTTCGAGACACTCTCAAAATTATTTGGGATCCATTATCATATCATTCGTTTATTTTTTATATTCATGTTTTTCTCAAGAATCACCCCCGTTATATTTAGTGTACCTTCGCAAAAGAAAACTCTTTGATGTCATCGTTCCTATTAGTGTCATTGAAATATATGGAAACCTCGCAAGTGGCGTTGTGATGCGAATATTTGATACTAGGTCAGCAGCATTACAAAGAGTGCTATTTATGAATGCTGAAAGTACATGACATTACTAAACATTTTGCCAAAATATGATGTTTTCTGCCCGATTTAAACTAACTCGCACGCAAACCAAGGCATGTGGTTGTGGACATTTAAAAATTACTTGTCTTTGGGTAAGCTCTGAAATAGTATAATATAAATGTAAATGAGAAATTAGGTCACGCTAGCTCACGAAACGGGAGGATTTTCAAAGTGATCTTGTGTAATATTTCGGAGAAAAAAGTTTGAAAGGAAAGTCTCCTAAAACAGGGGAGTATCCTGCATAATATTTCGGAGGGAAGGTAGGTTAACCTATCTTTTAAAACAGCGGGTGGCGACTTTCAAAGTGGTTCAAAATCACAAACTAATAATTATCAGATTAGGTTTAGGGATGAATCGAAAAGTTGAATTTCCAGCGCACCTAACCCTAATTAGTTGATTGCTATTTATATTTGGGTGGGGGAAATTATTTTGCACCGGATTTGTACAAACGATCCACCCTGTAACTAATATGGTTTCCAGCCGGCCTCGTGTCTGTTAGATGGAAGGAGTAACAAATGTGAAAGTCTTTGCTGTTTACGCGAGTAAGCAACTGACACCTGATACATTGCAATGAAAGTTTTGTCCCGCGCAGGTGTTAGCAGATGTCATTTCGTTGCCGATGAATTCGCTTGTTTTAATTAAACATGAATTCGCTTGAAGGGAACTCGGTTAACGAAAAGGCTTCTCTTTAAATCATAATATTAACCGGAGGAGCGCTTTTTCGAGTATCTATGCCGTTTTAAATGGGTTATATGAAAGGCTAGGGCACCTAACTTGTTAAAATCGGCAAAAGCACTTTCGCACTTTTTTTTTGGACTGCGAAGCACTTTCGCACTCATAATTTGCTTAGAGTTAACACTGCTTGTCATGATTCACTGACTTAGCTGCATTTAAAGCAGCTGTTTAGGACAACCCCAAGCCTTATCATTTTCTTGAAAGCTCTTCATTGCCAAGTGCACCAAAATCTGACCTGACCACTATTGTATACTTACGGTACATATATTATCATATTCTTACCGAATTGATTAACTTTGTTGTAATTTCAGTCTATTCTGAAAGTATTCTATTCTGAATAAGCTATAATTTTGCTTTATTGAGGGACAAACATAGTAATATGTGTGATTGTACTTTATTTTTATTGATAATACTTTAATAGTGTTTTCGATATCATTATTTTATTATTATTTTACAGGTCATAGTAACAACAAACGTGAAAATGGAAAGTCGAAATGGTATTGTTTTAGTTTTTTATATTGTATTATGTATTGTATTTAACAGATAATAGAGCGCACTTTGAATACTTTTATATTTCTCAAAAATTGGTTGTGTGCCTCATTAAGCCGGTGTGCTGGATCAGATAGCTTTTATGCTTTATTGCCTACACTCAAAACCAGTACCAGTTGCACCTTATATCACGGTGCGCCACATGTTATTACTGTTTAATATACCAACTTTATTTGTAAGCTACGTTTCATACCTAGCCAAATGCTCACTATTTTTCTATTTCGGAATAAAACAAAGATTTAAATGGAAATTGCTCGTTTTGATAGTTGCTGAAAGCTTTATTATTTCAAATCATAAATTTCGGGTTTTTGAATTTGTATGTTAATTCACAGGGATGTTGCAGGTTTGGTTCATCATCACCACCATCATCACAATGGAGATTTTACATTTCTTCAGCAGCATATTATACTGAAAATGTGTACTCTATGCATTATAAACATACATAGTTTGCAGGTAATATAAATTGAATGGTTGTGTGGTAGTGATAGAATTAAAAAACTACCATACCCACTTGTCAGACTGTAAAGAATCCTTATGATAGGAATATTTTCAGATTGTAGACAAAGATTCTGTGCTGGGAGTGGGACCATTAGGTTTGCACCATAGGCATCAAGTTTAATGGATGAGTGTTTATATTGAGTTTTAAACAGACTTTATTGCAGTGGAATATGCTGATTTAATAAGTAGTCTTATTCTAAGACCTAATTTAAAATTTTTATTTTGCTAAATGTTCTGCGAATGCATTAAAATTACAACAAACTCGCAGATTCCAAGAAATCTTTCTTATTTGTTCACATTGTTAATTTTTTCTTTGATTAAATTATAAAAATTCTGCAATAGCCTTTAACTGGTTGGTGCATTGTATATAGAATTGTGACATCCCTAGTCCTTGTTAAGATATTGAAAAATTGTATAAAAATATTTCTACTTTACAGTCATCTCGATCAAATCGACTATCTGCTGCAATAGCATTTGCTCTTGCATTCTTCTCTCATCTTCTTGGTCACGTCATTTCATCACTTATTCCTGATGAACCAAAACCAGAGACAAATGATACAGGTATAACATGTCTCTGCGGATTTTTTCTGTAATAATTCTCTGATTCTTGCTTTAATTTCTGTAATAATATTATTTTATATTTTAATCATTGACAAACATTCGTCAGTTTGAATGAACAATTTCAGTCTAAAATTTGGAAATCCTGAGAGATAAAACTGAGACTGTGACTCTAAAATTAATTAGGTAATAAATACTCTTAAGACACTGATACTAACAAAAAGGCTTTATGTGCAGAGGTCTAATAGAGTTACTCATATAATTATATTTGTCTGATTTCCAATTTGCAGACTTACTCTCACTAGTTCAATTGAATTTTATATTGTTATTAAATAATGTTAATTCTAAATTCAATTTGAGACATGCCTTGTTGTATTCAGTTGAAAATCAGTCTTAATAGCTGAAAAGTACTGCCTTTAGAAGATTGAATTTTCCTATCTTTTAGTTCCTACTCTGCAGAAGGAAATTAGAGTTTGTATCATGGCAATTTGTGGGAAAACGAAGCATTTATGTGGAATGTAATTTAGTATATCAATTATATTTTTTTTAAAGAATTTATTTAGACCAGACTTAATTAAATTTTAAATCCAGACTGATTATACTCCCATTTGTTTACAGTGAACAGCATATTGCAAGATGAAGAAGAAGAAGAGCAAATTCAGTCAAAAACAGAAACAGGTAAATTTATATCGATTTAATAAAATAGGATTCCATTGTTGGCTTGGGAGCAGAAAGACAATAAGACTTCTTTATTATGTGGTGAATCGTGGGTGGACTGCCAAGTGCCAATCTTATAACCAATCAATTTTAAGTACATGGATGTAAATTCTCAAAATTTAAGATAGTATATGATTTACATATGTATCCCGGGGGAGAGGAAAACCGAACGGCTTAATCATATGGTCTCTCGTCCGGTTACCAGTCGATGTGCATGGGATTAGTTTAACCTAGTATTTGGTTCAGATGCATGGACTTGATGGTAGAGAAAGCTATAACCCCCCAGCTTTTACATGAATCTTCACATCAGTCCTCTTGCACATTGAGGGAAATTACAAGAAATACAGTTTATCACAGAACCTAGAATATCAAATTGTTTAGATAGGGACATCTATACTCTCTAGCAATAAATTTATGTATTACATTCCAGTAAAAATTGTTTTAGAAGTTTACAAGAACAGTGTTGTTTTCCCTTAATGTTATTGTGGAAAGCTGACATTTTTTGTCGTATATCTTTATTTATCCAGGTGATGGTGATGCTCCTCGTGCAAAATCATCTGTTAACAATAAGAGGAAAAAGAGTAGAATGATGAGGAGAAGAAGACATAGAGGATCTGGTGATAGTGATCTAAGTGAAGGGGATTTGTATTCAGGTAATGGATTATATTGAAATTTTGGTATTCCATTTATCTGTTTCTCATAATTATTACTTATCGATCTTAAGATCGGTAAGTATATTGATAGGTATTTGTCTGTATGTATGTCTGTCTGTCTGTCTGTCTGTGTGTCTGTTAGATGCACGCGATATCTCACGAAAGCGAGATTGAATCTGCTCCAGATTTTGCATGTGCATTCATCTTATCTCGGACCAGAAGCCTATTGATTTTGGGCGAATTATGTCGTATAATTAGCGAGTTATCAATCAATTATTGATATAGTGATCTAGATTTTTGTAAAGCGAGAGAATTTTGAAACCCGCCGAGTGTGTGTGTGCGATGCGCAGTGCGCAAGTTACAAGAGCGGATGAATCGAAACTGCAGTTTCTGTTTTGGGGGATCCCCTAACTATCGATCGATAAGTCTTCGGTTTCCAACCGATATTCTCGTTTAAATTTTGTCTAATCTTACACTGGTGGTGTAAAATATAGGAAAAGTTGTGCACGACTTGAATTCCAAACTCTTGAGCCATTTTATAATCGATAAAAATTTAGATCTAGTCTCCAAAATCCCTGTCGAAGCAAATTTTGCTTTCCACTTCGAATTTTGAGAAAGCCAGTTTTTGACAACAAAAATTTAGTGTATGGAAGCATCTTCATTTATCAATTGAGAATGCTCAAGAAACTTAATTTTCTACTAATGACTTTGATACTATTACCATTTAAAGTTGGGAATTTCAACTCTGAAAAAATTTGAAATTTCTTTCCTGGCTCTGTCTTCAGGACTTCAATTTCAATGAAAATACACCATATTCCGTCTTGCACTGCACATTTTGTTTTCCAATGAAGTGATGCAATGTTGTGTGACACAGAAATTGGGATACGAAAATGTCCGCTCACATTTCAGTACCTTGAAGCTGCCATAACTAATTAATTTGACTGAATAATGTTATTTAGGTTCAGATGTGTCAGATTCTGAAAACGATTCAAATGATTCAGATTCGTCATCAACAACTTCTACTAATTCTGAATTAAGTCAGGAAGGAATGGATGAAATTATTCTTAACAGTAAGTAAATATTGATTGTGAAAATAGGATTCATTTAATTCATCTGTAGGGCCAATTGAACTGAATAATTTATAATTGAATAGAATAGAATCGTTTTGCGGCCAATTTGCGCATAACGGAATTGTGTGGTAAATAGAGTACAAAATAAGGTGAAGAAAGTCTTTCGATCTGCTTTCCGTTTCGAATTCGATTTTGGCCAGTAAAAATTTATATTTTTAAAACTTAACCTGAATCAGAATCTTTCATTCAAAAGCAAAATTAAAAGTCAAAAGCTTCGTTAAATGATTTTAAACAATTCATATAGATGATTTTAACGATATTTCTTTTTGTTGTTACCACAAGCAACTCTTGAGCTATGATCAGGTCAGAATTTCTAGAGAAATAACTGGGTGTGTGCAAGATCTTAAACCATTGCTCAACACCTCTGGTTGATGTTTATAAACGCCTACACTTTTTTAAATCAGCTTCGTTGCTGTGTTTTCTGGAGCCTTGTGTGGAGAGAACGTATATAAATAAATGCCCCTTAGAAATCTGTCATATGGCTGTGAATTTATTTCAAAGGATTAAATAAAATTTCTTTTTTTTTCAGATTCAAAATCGGGTAATGAGAATAAAAAATCAGATAATGACAAAACTAAATCGGACGAAGCAACAAAAAATATGGCAATTGTGGATAATCATGCTGGACTTGAGCTTGCTAATAGTTTGGCGAATGGTCCAAGTACTCTTGCAAGCTTGAAAGATATTTCACAGAAAATGTTCCAGGTATTTTACTCCCTGTGAAACTTATCTTGGAAATGTCTGAATTTTTTAAATACCATCACAGTAATCATAGTGAGTGTGGTGGTGTAGTGGTTGAAGGGTTAAACAATAAAGGCATTGCAGAGTAAAATATTAGATTCAAATCCAATACCTTACGTATGCTGTAATGATTTAGATAGGCAATGCCGAACCAGAACCATTCATTTTTGCCTATTTAAAAATATATTAGTACAGAACCTTGTTTTGATCAAAACGTGTATAAATATGTTATAATGAATTTGTATATGCATTCCATATTGTCCTTGAAAATAGTACAGATTGCGAAAGTTTTCTTCCAATATACTCTTTGGTGTAATAAATTGGAAAAAGTCGTTCTTAGCTCTCTACATGATGGCCTTAAGACTTAAGACTTGCTTGGAGCAAGATGTGAACTTAGGAAATTGGAATAGAGATATAAAACGTATTGGACAATTCAGAGTTGATTTTTCCCACTTTTCAGTCTTTTGTTTTGTCATTTCAGCCTACCTCAAGACGAAGAATTCTTTTAGCTCCATCTTTTTTTAATAATGTAAATAAACCGATACCAGCTGACGATAAAGTTGTTAATGGCGATAATAAAGGCAGTGGTGATGAAAAGAAACAAGTCAAAACAGAGGATGAAAATGTAGTCAAACAAGGTATAGCTTTGGGAAACGATTGTTTATCGTCCTTTGTATAACATACCACGCACAGGATTATAAGACGTAACGATTTTTACGGAGTATTGGGGATCGTACAAAGCTAATTAGGCAAAAAAAATATTATTTTTTCATGGTTATGATATTTTATTCAATGAAAAGTAAAACTGTTTGTTTGTAAAACATTAGTACCGGTACTGGTTTTGAGTATAGGTAATAAAGCACAAAGCACTACCTGATTTATACATTAAGCACATCGGCTTATGAGATACACAATTAATTTTTGAGAAAAAGGGATTTAAAGTGCGCTTTATAATCTGAAAATACGGCATATCCAACACTTTCATTTAAAACAATTACATTCGTGAAGCCATGATACGTGAGATGAAATGTTTAACACTGTTTAAAATATTGTTGATCTGTTGAAACCTTCTCTGCTGACTTTGTTTCTTTTTCTTCTATGTCATTTAGAAGAGCAAAATCAGGACAAAATCATTGAGAAACAAAATAGTGAGGGTGATAAAGATGATAACCAATTAATATCTGATGAAAAATCTGAAAATATTCCAACTGATGAAGCAGATATTGGAAAACAGAATGGAGGTGAAGGCATGATTACTACAATGAAATAATTTCCCATATTTACTAATATTTGTTTTCTGATACGTGTTCATTTTTGCATGTATTTTAATGATAGTTAGTGTTATAGACTCTCAATTATGTTTACTTCCATATTCCATTATGTATATTTATTATTTTTTGTTGCAATCACCTTCAACCAAAAATACGAATATCATTCATCAATTAGAAATATCATTAACTTCAATGGTAGCTAAATTTACAAAACATTTTCAGGTTTTATTTTTCTGCGACAGTTTGGAATATATCCGCTCATATAAGCCGACTCCCCAAAAGCAGACTTAAAACGGTGAATTTATAAAAATTTGCATATTAGCCAAGCTTGCAAATGTAACTTTTTCAGCAAAGGGTTGCGGAAGAGAATAAATGAAAATGATGACCATTATTGTTATGTTTTACTTATGCACGTATAAGCAGAATCATTAGTGCGATTAGAGTTATGCGCATATAAGCCACCCCTTAGTTTGGCAACATTTTTTTAGTTTTAAACTTGACTTATATGAGAGAATATATGGTAGTACGGATAGTTCCAACAATACCTCTTGTTTGCAACTAATCTTTTTTGTGTTTATCCAGATCACCCATTGTATGACAATGCAACAATGTCGCAAAAAATATTTGAGACAGCTGGCTCACTCCACCAATTGTTTGCATCTGTAAAACTTCTATGTGACTGGCTTGATGCAAATGAAAAAGTTACGGCTGCTTGTGCTCAGAACTCTAAAGCATTGTGGAGTAGAATTGCTAAACTTGCTAGCATGCTGCCTAATGAGGAGGAAATGTTAAAAATAGGTATTTTCAAAAATGTTTATTGCAAATAGGAGAATATTACTGGATCTATATGATGATGGCCTTTCTTCTTGTGATTTTAATACTTCATAAACAGCTCTACTGTAAAATAGTCAAAAATTTGATTTGTAGGGGCAAAATTTTGGGACATTAAAGCAACAAAAACTTTTATATGATGTTTCTTATAATTTTTCCCCTTAGTCAGTATGCAAACATACCCTCAAATCAATTTTTCATTTGTTATAAAGCCATGGTTATTACTTATCGATCTTAAGATCGGTAAGTATATTGATAGGTATCTGTCTGTGTGTCTGTTAGATGCACGCGATATCTCACGAAAGCGAGATTGAATCTGCTCCAGATTTTGCATGTGCATTCATCTTATCTCGACCAGAAGCCTATTGATTTTGGGCGAATTATGTCGTATAATTAGCGAGTTATCAATCAATTATTGATATAGTGATCTAGATTTTTGTAAAGCATGAGAATTTTGAAACCCGCCGAGTGTGTGTGTGCGATGCGCAGTGCGCAAGTTACAAGAGCGGATGAATCGAAACTGCAGTTTCTGTTTTGGGGGATCCCCTAACTATCGATAAGTCTTCGGTTTCCAACCGATATTCTCGTCTATTATGTCAATATTTCTTTACTGCTTTGAATGGAGTTTTCTAATTTTGCATCAGAGTCTGATAGCCTGAGCTCGAAGCCAGTTTACTTGTATTGTGTATTATCATTGCAACATGGCTCAATAATTGCGATAGTTTCCTTAATGCTATCCAGTGAATGCTGCTATTTCTTTGGTAAACAGGAAATCTTTTTTACTTCGTTGTATTTAATGGACACAAAATGGACCACTGAATCAATTTGCTAAGTTGTCGTTCGTGTTCAAGTTGTGAAATAATTGCTTTTTTCTGCAAATATTGAACCAATTAATTTTATATTCACAGTACTCGAAGATGAAGAAGGACGCTGGAAGGCTATTACTTTTATTACTTTAACATACTTTTTTATCTGAACTTTGATAGAAATCATTTGAAAGGACTTTTCTTATATCTCAGAATTCCTCTTTTTGCTCTTATCACCTTGGGCACGGCCGCGTTAAATTACTTTTATCTTCAAATATTGCCAAATATTTTTTTTTAGATGAAGTGCAGTCTGATGAAATGCTACAATCTCAACTAACCATCGCAAAATCATGTGCTACCTCAGCAAAGAAATGGAAGCAAAAGTCAAAACTTCCCGAAGATTATATTCTCAGTCAAACAACTAGTTCTGTTAGATATGCAGATGACAAGAACAAAAAAGTTGAATCGTTGATCTGTGATTTAACGGATATTCAACAGGTTCGTTCTTGTTTTTACATAGATTCATGCCCAACAGATCTTGTTTTTAACAGAATGGACGGATGTTTCCCCAAGCATCAACTTTTATGTTCATTTCGTAGAAAGAATGATCAATCACCAATATGTCTTTAAAACAAATCAATCAGTGGAAACACTCAAAATAAGCCTAAAAAATTTTCAAATGGTAAAGTATATGAAGAATAATTCTGGGAAAGGTTTGGGAAAACATCCAGTATGTTTAGGATTTCAGTTCATAGTTGGGCAATCAAGGAGTTTCTCATTTTATACACATGAAAATCTAATTTCGAGTTTTTACTTAGAAAAAATTCATTGTTCATTAGAATTTCTAAACCAATGAATATGAAACCTAATAGTGGCCTGTTATCTACATTTGGAGGTATGGTGGAGACCATGCCAGAAAAATAATGGTCTATTCTGAATGTGAAAGGTGGATATCCAAAATTAAGGAAAAGTAAAGCTACCACATTTATCCATGCATATATTCAACCTAGTACATCAAACATAGCATTTAATTTCTCTATTCAATCAATTTTGATTTAACATACTGGTCCTCGGTGATACTCATGACTTCATTTATGAGCTTTTTTCGGTCAGTAAACGTAAACTAAAATTATTTGTTTTTCTTTGAGGCATAAATACACTTTTGCCTCAGATAAACATTTAGTGAACTTGGCAACAAATTCATTTTTGTGTTTTACGATAGCCTACCTCGGCTGCTTGTTCTGTAACCAAATCAACCTGAAGCTAGTTTGGTATTTACTGCCAAAATTCAACTTTCTACTTTTAGGTTGTGATACGCCTTTGTAGAATACGAAGCTTCTGTCATTCACTGTCGTCTGTGGAAGGCTTGGGAATGAAATATGATGAAATAACAGGCAAATTTAAAGGACCAGATGAACCATCTGAAGATGATGCAGAACATTTAGATATTGAGGTATCTATTGCTCATGTTCATTCAAAATGGACAAGCTCCTCATACTTTTTATGTCTTGAGTTTGTATTATTAGTAGTTCACTGCCATCCTTTAACTGATCGGAGATTGGAACCTCATAAAGAATGTCTATATATGTTGGATTGTTGTCTTACATGGCATTTCTCACAAATTAATTGGCCAGTTATGGATTTCAACAACATTCAAGTCTACGTATCGAGAACCATTAGTTAATTAGCTATTCTTTTACATATCCTTAGGCCAGTGTTACCCAACCTATTTTCTAGTGAATTTTATCATTTTTTTTATATTTGGTATTGAGGTGTTGCTCAATGGTAATTGTATACTTGGGAAGTATCACATAAAAATTTCACTTCAAAAAATCACTGATGGCAAACATGCGCAGTTTTCTCACTTCGAAGTACTTTATTTATGAGGAAAGAAGGGTTATGGAAAAATAATTATTTCATATTAATCATTTAATTTTGCGGCCATAAAAACATTACATGTTTTTCTTATTTGAGCACAATTTTATTTATTTATTTTGGTTTGAAAGGAAGGTTAGAAACCACTGTCCTAGACTGTACCTTGGAATAATATGAATTAATATTTCACTCAAATTAATAAATTTGGTGCGATTTGAACAAAAATCACTGTCACTATTGACAGTCACTTCGTTAAATAACCAAAGATAGGTGGGGATGGAGTGGCATCTGAAACATATTAGTTTCAAGCATCAAATGTCTGTTTTTGGTGATTTGTTTGAAGGTAACATCAAAGGAGAAATATTCAAATGAATTGTTATTAAATAGTTTGTATTTTCTGTTCAAATAATTTTAAAACTTTCACTTTATACATGCTCGGCGCAAACGGTAATTCAGAAGTGCCACATAATAGATGAATATCCTTATTTGGTCACAATATTTTTCAGCAAACAGTTACTTTCTCCGGCAACGCCTTAATTCCGTATATCTATCTCAAACACAATTAAACAAACATCGATTTATATTAATCAAGCCTGAAATACTTAAATTAATCAAAGCCCATGCATGACGGATTATATTCTTTTATAATTCGTTTGTAGGATAAGTAATCAAAGTTAATTGACTCAGTTGAGAGTCTTTCACCTGTTGTTTGTCGTAGACAAACGGTTCGACAATTTCCGCGGCATACTGTCTACAAATTGGAAGGACGTTGTGTCCGTATTTGTTTTGCGTTTTATCTTTGTAAAACACAAATAAATCTGCCTTTCTGTATACTTTAAGGTATGTTTGACATACATTGTAATATTGCGCAATATGGCAGATAGGGATCAACAAACACTTGAGAATTTATTGTATATTTCGATATACCAGTAGCTGGTGAGACATGGATTAGGTCAATCTTTCATGGCTCCAGGCTGATTTTTACTGTTTCTGACAAATGATTCCATGATGATTTAAATATGCGGTTCTGAGGTTGGGGCTTGCTTGCCTCTCTTTAGAATAAATATGAAAATCCTATCCTACCAGGACTAACTGCATCTTCAACATCTACTTTAAGTGTGATTACTCTGTATAACTTGGCCAAATGAATACTTCACAATCCTTTTTTACCTTCACTAAGTAAATATCAGGTCTAAATAATGTCTATTGTGAAACTTCTAGTTGTTTTCCATTCGAGTTGTTTTATTTCATAATTATTAAACTCATCGCAATATATTGATTGATGACAAAATCTGTTGAATGTTATTGCCATTTTTTTTTTTTTGCTGTAAGAAAATTGTAGGATGCATTATCATTTTAGACCAGTTAAGTCGAGAGTGAGACTAATAATTAATTTATTTTCTGCAAAAATGGCATTATCCTGAATAACAGAAATTAAGTTGGCTAATGTTTTTGATTTTAGCATATTTTTTTTTACTTAAGTTTGGCAAGAATAAAATTTTGTAATTTACAATTTCTTATCAAAGCCTGTTTTCACAAGTTACGATTATGATTTTGACTGGAGTTTTGGGAAACAAAATGATACCTGCTTCGTGTTCAACTCCTTATGCATGCAACATTGAAATATTTTTTTTGTTTCTGCATATTCTGAGTGAGCTTAATGATCATCGTTAGCTTCTGAATGTTCATAATATTATTCAATCGCTGTGGGTTATTTCCTGAAAATTGATATGATATTTGGGTATAAATGATCACAGCGATGCTATGATACCTTATACAAACATTACATAGTTATGTACACAGACAGTGTATGGTCGGAACGTCGTCCCAACTACCTTGACAAATATTGACCTGCTCTTCACACTACAAACACAGTCTCCAAATTGATCATTTATTAGCTGAAATAAGTCTGTTTACTAAAACGATTTGTTTGAAAACGCAAGCTTTACACAGCACCCCACCCATCTGTCGTGTTTGCACATTGTACACAACATACCTTGAACGTTATCGTAAAATGAAATTATTAAATATGTCATTCATTTCTGTTTTCGTCTTTTCAACAGGATTCAAGATAAAAAAAAATTAAACATTATTTATGGGCTGCTACTTTTGCCACATGTGGCACTAAAGATCCAAGTTCGTCCTATACTTATTTCGAAATGAATGTGACATCCTTGTTATACAGATACTTTAAAATCATGCTCGAAAATTTTAGTTGAGAGTTTATGAAACTGTAAACTATTTTTTGTAACTTGTAACTGTTCTGAAATGATTTAAATTGTTATTTTTTGTCAGCCAATTCAATATTTCAAAAATTTCAGCCATTACAAAATTTTTGGAAAATTCAAATTTTTTAATAAAATATGTAAGCATGTAATACTATGAGTATTTTAAAATTAAAAAATAAAACAGTCTAACGCTTTAACCACCAGACCATGGTGTCACTAACTATACTCCAGAAACTCAATTTACCATTTCAATACATTTAACTGCTCAAAAGTGCTGGTCATAATGATAAGGCCACTTTATTTTCTTTTGTGTTCCAAAATCATATTCACATATCAAAGGGCGTCAACCTGAAGAGAATTCTAATTATCGTCATAAATAAAATGGTATCATGACATCTGGGCCTTCATCGTTTTGATGCCTATGATGTGGTTTCACTAAATAGCACAGTAAACATAATTTCTGGACTCCTTATGTACACATATGATTTTGTCGCGACATGTGTTTCAATATTTGTAATTGGATGATAAAATTATATGTCATTAAGAGCATGATATTTATCAGAAATTTGAAATTGAACTGTCAACTGCTAGGCTGCGGTCATTCATAACCAAATGTCTGGCGTTCTACCTTTATTTCATTTTAATATGAATTCTTCTTTATGCCCATGATAATTCTGTGAGTGATACGAATTAGCGACAATATTTTATTTATTACATAACAAAAATATATATCAGTCAAAGTTGGTTCTATCCACAGCATTTTATCTTTTAGATTTACTCAGGGATATTAAAATAAGGAAGCCAGTTTTTATATCATTCGTTAAATATGATAAGTGTTCAAAGTCGACTCTCTACCTCAGATCAGATATTCTATAAACTCTAAAGTTCATCATTGGATGGGATTTTTATATTTATCCTGGGGAAAGGAAAATCGATAATATGGCTAAATCATATGTCAAACCATGGCCGCTCGTCTACTTACCAGTTCATGTCAGGTATGGGAATAGGTAACCAGTTATTTGTCTCTAATGCACATATTGCTGAGGAAGACGTAACCGACCAGCAGTTATGTGGACCACCCTATGTTGTCGAGTAGTAAGCTTACATAGTTACCATAGTTACCAGTTCATGTCATGGATGGGAATAGTTAATCTGTTATTTGTCTCAAATGCCTATATTGCAAAGAAAAATGTAACTGACCAGCGGTTATGTGAACCGTGCTATGTTGGCGAGTAGTCCATATTGGTTGTATCTCTACTGTGCGTAATTTATTTTGATATATATGTAAACATGGATGTTCTATAATCTACCGGTAACAATTCTAGAAAATCCATACCATTACCGCACAAATTTTTCTCAACATCCGGAATGCCAACCACATTCCGCACTGGTTGTATCAACGATAAAATAGTCTGGAAATAATTTTCAACACTGTAGCATTCTTATCTTAGTTAAATTTGACAAAATTCATCAATTTTGATCAACAGATTCTACATTGTTGATATTTTTCGACCTCACGGACTGTGTGCTATGTGTTCATTGGATAAATAAATATTTGCTATCAGTTTATGAACAAGTAAATATTTACTCTGTGTGTAATGTGGAGTAGGGCTTCACAATCATTTTCATTAATATACTCTCATGTCAAAGAGGTCAAATGCTAACTTTTTTCAGGATGTTTTATCTATGTCGTGAACTTTCTTATCAACAAATTATATTTGGGAAATAATTTTAGTAATTTGGGTTTGAAAATTGAACATAACACATTGCATCATGTTCTTGATAATCGAAACTTGTTTGCATTTCACAAACATAGTTATGTGTCCTATTTTATGTGAGTCATGTAAATTAAAATTTTGATACCACTAGTTCAAATTCATTGTATGTCCCGTCAATAAATATCTTGTTTATAATCAAGGGAACCATGCAATGTTGAGACTAAACACTTTTCTAAAATTTTCTAAAAAATATTTTTGAATCTGAATGATATACCCAAACATGCTATATATTATATAGTAATGATATCTTTGATATGGCTAAATTCGAGATAACTAAAATTTTGATTGCTATTATTTATAATATGTTTTCTACTTTACAAGCAGCTGAGTGCAATTTAGCTGTGGGTTTGAGCCCTGTTGTCATCACAGGTTAAAAGTTTTCGCCAGCCCAACCAATGTGTAATAAATTGTGTAGGCAAACTTTAACTGAAAATATTCTTGTACCAAATTTTAGTGGATCTTCACCTAACAGTGGCTGTTTGTGCAGGGCCTTGTTCAGAGTAAAGGCTTATAAAGTTATTAATCACCATGAAGAAAATGATTATTTCTTGTATATGATGTTATTTTGGGGCTCCTGAAATGTGTGTACCAATATGGAGGTTTGTTCGCCTACTTTACATCAAGTTGTGTAAATGGACTGAAACCTATGGGCAGGGGTATATTCACTTGGCTAACACAAACAGTTCTCGAACTTGTTATAGAACTAAAATAAGGAAGATCGGGATGAAATTATGCTCTAACCCTAATTATTTTCATAACTTCATCGAATGTATTTCTTCCGCTGTAAATTTTGTAAATGTCCTGTCTGAAAGAGTCTACCCTTGGCTGGATTCAACATTGCGAAATCAAGTTTGTGAATGTAAAATGTTTTGTCATCGCTATTGAAACATGATATCAATAACCTGACGCTTTCCCATGTAAGCTACTTTCTGGGAAACGTGTAACACCAACATTGCAAATGACAAAAATATTTACCTTTGTGATTAAGCATTGTTTGAATAAGGCAACTGTTGCAATTGCAAACTTCAGCATAGTTTGCAATAATTGTTTGTCTTATTCAAGTACTTATTAATTATCATTGTTGTCATATTGGTTCACAATTTAGCTACTATGCAAACATAGTATACATGCTGCAAACTACCGGTATGTCCTTTTCAACGTGGGTCATGGGAGAAGTCAAACTGGGTCAATTTTTCAGCTACTGACTAAATTCAGCTGATATAACATAAGGAAATGTTGAAAACAAGCATTAATTACTTCTTAATGTCTAATTTACTTGCTGTAAATTTTTTTATAGTCAATTTTCTTACAACTTCTGCTTGGTGAACTATTCGCCCCTAGGTTATCTTAATTTGGACAAACAATACATGAAGATCTTTATTGTATATGCCAGTTTCTAGTGTGCCTCAATTTGCATTTTTGTAAAACATGAAAGGCTTTACTTTCAACTTTTTTAGCTTGTTCAAGCGCACAAATGAGTTCTTTTCATTTGTGTCACAAAAAAGCCCGTGTCATTATAAACTTAGCTTATGTGAAAAAAAATATTTTCTTTTTTGAAAGACTGTGGAAGAAATGTGTAAAAAATTTTTATTTTTTTGAAAGACTGTGGAAGAAATGCGTAAGACCAGACTTATGAAAGACATGGCAGAACTAAGACTGAGAAATGAAGTAAATGCCTTGGAAAGCCAGCTTGGAACACCACGTACTCAAGATGCCGGCCTTTGTCTCTATCTTGTACCAGATGCCTTGGCATTGTGCCATGATCTGGGGCATCTCAGAAAACTATTGTCCTTCGAAAGATATTTTATTGTGATACCAAAAACTGGTGAGTGTTGTGGCTTTAAACTCATGGGACAAATATCAGCGAGCGGCGCAAATAGATGGATAGGATTTACGTATTCATCTGGGGGAGAGGAAAGTAAATTAGATGGTAATCATATGGCGAGCCACAGCTTTTCGTCCTGTCCATGTAGTGTATGAGATTCGTTAGCCATTTATTTGTTTCAGATGCATGGACTTGATGGTACGGCTGCGAGAGGGTATGTCCTGCAATGTCGTCATACATATTTATCCACCACAGGATTCAAACCTGCGAACCCACACAGGGTAATCAGGGGTGCGATGGCAAGCATATTTCTAACGCTTATCACGATGCGCCACACTGCCGAGCTTACTCCAATTGTACAAATCACTACTGATACATCCATGCTTGGAGTATTGTTGTCATATTTGGTCGGATGCTCCTGTGACCTTTCTAAACCGAATATAAAAAAGAATATTGAATGTGTCCGAATTCTTTCCTATCGTCAACTCTTGCGTTGCTGAGCTTATTTTACAGATTTTATAATGAACTGTTTTTCTGAACTTATTTTTGACCTTAATTCAAACAAATTTTCTTAGAAAAAAAATGAACATGAACGGTAAAGTAAGACAACTATTTTATATTTCATCTAGTTATTGATGGACTTGATGGCTTGAAAAAAGATCTCCAAGGTGCAAGAGATGCGATTCGTTTCCTGGAAACTGAATTTAAGAAAGGAAACAGGTAGGAACACAAATGGTGTAGTAACTAGTGTTAACAAGAAAGAAGATAACATTTTAGGTGTTTTGCTGCTTCACCCCAAACAAACAATGATAAACTAACACTTTGGTGTAGGTATGTTCTAAATTCTAGAGAAAAAATGTTTTATATTATTTGAATTACAATACATATATAATAATACTATTCGAGATTAACTGTAAATAGAAAGTTTGAATTATATTTTCATTATGTAGGTTTGGGAATTTTATAAGTATGTCCATTATACATGAAATCTAGGCTAGAACCAAGTTTGAATGTATGGTGATTGATGTTATACCAACATATGACTCGGTTTGTACAAATCATTACTTGGTGGTAAGAAGGGTATGGCTGGTGTTGTATAAATAATTGCTAACTAAGTTTTCACAGTAATAAATTAGTGGTACACCCATAGGTGTGATATACAATACAACATATTATATTTTAGCTTCGCCATCCCAAAATTAATGTCCCGAAAATACATTTCACACCGGATTCTTTATCAAGCATAGTCTTCTCTGGATTAGTCATTTCATCTTCGACAAATAATTGGTCTGTGTATATTTACCCTTCAATCTCAGATCAACTACGAGATAATCAATTTTAAATGAGATTTCTATTGACATGAGACTTTTCATTTAGGAAATCTTTGCCATCAATTGGATTACAAACCAAGCACCTGTAGCCATGATCGATGAAAATTTTGTCAGGGGTCAGGTCTAATAATGAAATAATGTTTTGAAGACTTGGAACATATTCTATAGAGACCATAACTTTTGTGCTAAACATCCTAGATTCTTGAAAATTTGGGGTACAATTATTCACAAACAGAAGTTCAAGTGTAGACAAAATTAAATAATTTACTCCTTTTCCGTAGAAGTTATTAAGAAATTTATGGGTTTTGTTATGGGGTCAGCCTGTATATCCTAGCTGTACATGATATTACAAATTCTCCTGCTGTTGCAAATTCAAAAATTTGTCCGAAAATTTTTGTGTTATCACTTACCAGACTATACATGATATTTTATTCTTCTATGGTGCCTACTCTGTACAGACATAATGCAATTTTGCAACTTATAGTTCAAGTCTTGGCTAGTTCACCAAGAACATCAGTGGAATATACTAGTTTGTAGCTGTTTTCCTGATCCTATATAAACTCCTGTCGTGAGACAATCAGTATTTACAAACACACAATTTTACCCTCTGATTCTTTATAGTCTCAGTAGCTCTTGGCCCATAGTGCCACTCAGTAATCAGTCTTCTACTTGCTGTGACCTAGTTTCTAGCAAATTTCCTTAAAAGTCATGTGGTCAACCAATCCTTGCGATCCTGAGTATGACAATTGTGTTGGAATGTGTCAAACTAACTTCAAATGTCTTGTTAAATGCTGGTTGTATGGAATATGTTATTGTGTGGTGTGGAGGGATGCTTTGAACACGCCCCCATATACAATGTTCAAAGACTTCGCATGGACTCTCCTCTGATTGCTATTGTGTTTTAATGGATATTAAACCTGTATACTAGCACCTTTGATGTTTAACACATTTTATTATTTGTATTTCTGACAACTTCACTCTCTTAATTTCAAAGTAAACTCCCAAAGGGGCATAATGGCACTCTTTTCTTGCCGTGAGACAGACAAAACAGGGGGCAGAGATCGCGACGGACTAATTTCAATTCGGACCGCGAGTTCATAAATTATTTATGCAGTGATTCGAGCTTGCCATCTAGTCAAGCAATGTTGGCTATGTGATGTGATCATGTGGTGTTTCCCAGACGGTACAACATATTTTCGACGTTACCGATGGTAAAACTTTTTCAACTACGACTAATAGGGATTAAAAATTGACTAAAAACAACTTTTAGTCGGCGGTACCCTTTCTTGTAAGACAATTTTCTTTGAATTTCACTTCACAGGAATCGAAAATTTATGCAGTTTTTTTTCTGGCCATTCTGGACTGGTAGTCGCCCAACTTCACAAATCGTTGGCAATCGGGTAAAGTTACGCACGCCACTGATCAGTATTTTTCTGCCAAAAAGATCCCTAGGTCATGTTAGCGTCTTCATTCTTCCAAGACCTAACCTAATCAGGGTTCGTAATATTTTTATCGACTTCTCATTCATTTACCGCAAAGTCATTCGACTTCCATTAGATAGGTTTTCAAATTTATTTCATCACTTAATTCCGCTTTAGATGATCATTATTTGTTCGTTTTCCATTCAATAACAATGGACGCCTTCGTCGTCATATAATCTCTACCTTGTCTCGCAACTGTGAATTGAAAACAAGCGAAAGAGTAAAAATGAGCGCCTTAAATCAAAAAAATAGATAGGATGTGTCGTGATTTAGGAGCAGCATGAGCATACATTACAAAAATAATTTTATTATACCGTAATTCTCTGTACGTTAGCTGTCATCATCTCAAATCTCCCCATCAAAACGCCATTTTCGTCTCGAACCACCTATGTTTACAAATGTTGTATCCACAGTTTGGTGGATTTTTCTTGGCGGCATTGGTATTATCGGTAAGCCATTCAGACCTGGAAACGAACAATATCGGGAATATGCACATAACAATATACATCGATCCGTGAATGTTGCCTACTTCGTGCTTTATCTAATTTGGAAATATTAAGCCCAATTTCATTAATAATAAATTCAAACCCGCTGCGTATTATTGCTCGTTACCCATGAATAATATATGTACAAAGAATTATTCATTCTAGGAAAACTCGTAATTTTAAATCCCGCATCATAAAGAGCTCATATTACATAGATGTATCTCTCCTCATTGGACTTACCATGACTTAACTATAGACTTTTTTTTACCTAGATATGATTTTTTTTATAACTCTATGATGAATTAAAACGACAGAAAGCTGTAACTTTTTAACTCTAAGTTCGCAAAAAAAACAATAATGCGCGCACATTTGACGATTCTGAATATAGAATAGTTTTATGTTTACAGATTCGGTATTCAGATTTCATTCCGATTTTGAATATTTCCGTTGGATTTTTTTAAACAAAATTGTAATATTGGCAATTTTTGTTCAAACAATTTTTTGTGTGATTCGCAATTCCATTGCGAGAACTCCAACTTCCTTGTAGTTGTAGGTTAGATAAAATTTAATATTTGAGTTTCGCATTTTCTTTGATTGCATTTTAGACACCCCATACACTCAGCCTTAACATGTGTTGCAATTTACTTGTGTTTTTTCCTGTTATATATCTTTTCATTTTTTTTATCAGATTCATCAAAGCGCAAATGGCCGAAGAAACCAGCCGAGGAGTCCAAGGCGAAAGACCGAAACTCAGACGAAACGATATGCAAGCTTGGTAAGTTACCACATACAAATACTTTTGACACACTTGTTGTATCAGATTGCAATGTTGATTTGAGTTATAAATTTTGAATTCAATATGATAGTATCAGCGAATGACTTGACGTTAGTACTGAACTATGGTATCATTACTTTATGAATAAACTGATGTTATTATAAATTGTAATTTCGTAACAGAATCAGCGGGATTTTCGTAGATTTTTGTAACTGCTATTAGCTATGTTTGTGATAAAAATTTTATGGTGTATATATGTTAATAGTTTAGTTATTATTATCCTTCAATATTATTGCTGTTGTATATTATAACATAATCATATTAATTTACAGGAGATTTTACCGAATCATTGAATGTTGTCGATATATAACACAACAGAAAGCGAAGGAGGATAACAGCGATACTAACGGTAATTGTTTATTTCTATTCTCATCAACCAAAAATATGTAACTATGACTATGATTCCACAAACATTTATCAAAGGATTCTCTTTAGTCAAAAGTGCTTTAAAGACAGATCATACTACTTCGCGTACTGAAATTTTTGTTGATACTTTATTTTTTATTTACTGCCAAAATACAATTAGGAATTCAGTCGATAAGTGGAATAGGTAGATGAAGTGTACTTTGTGCTTGGTAATACCCCCCCCCCCCCCACAGGCGTAGCGCAATGCGAATATTTTTCACTAAGATTCGATGTTTTCATTTCCACTTTTCAATATTGGATCAGATATGTAAAACGCGATCATTATCATCAATATTGTTTTGCCCGCTATGGTTAAAACAATTTGTAAAATAAATTTGATTTATGTGTTTCGTTGGACTGTCAAAAACGAACTTTTTACTCGCGAAAAATATATATTATAAAATATATTAATATGAGAATCGGAGAATCACCAACAACGTATATGCAGAAAAATCCGCCGTAATTGGATGCGACGGCTAGGTTAGGGCCAGACTCCTGGAATATTTTATGAAAAAGTCAGTGATAGTTGAACCGTGGTGACTTTATATCGATCGAATAAGGACGATGATTATCATTTTCACAAAGTTTTGGCCGCGTGCCGACACAATCTTCGCTAAGTGAAAAAACCTTCCGTACAGAAATACCCTAAATTTCACAATACATTATATTTTTATAAAGTACTCTTCTTGCCATAACGGTCTCTTTATGAAACGTTTATACGGAACGACTCAATAATTACACATTCATGTCCTTTTGTTATTGTTTTTATACTTAAGCGTTTAACATGATGATTTTAAAGTAAAAAATCGCTTATAATGAATTGCCGTGCGACATAATTGCTCCATCCTATTATTAAACACCAAAATAAAGCTTATAAATGTAATTTTATTCTGTATGTCAGAATGTATGCTGTTTTATCTGATTTTTTTGCATTTCAAGAAACACGAAACCACCCGCAATCGGTTTAATCAACGCTAATCGTATCGTGCCTTGTGACATGCTCGTTTGACACCCGTTGGGATTATCTGTTTTTAAATCCCCATTTCCGTGACACTTCATAATTTAATGTTTATTATGATCGGTTTTCGTGAATTAAGAGGATTTGACTGTTATTTGTGACTCGCAGCTGTTTATATTATCCGATCTTAAGTCTGAGCCGGTAAACAATTATATTAGAACATGCTTATGATGCTGTTTTCTGTTCCGCAATAACCGCAACCAAGGCTTTTTTTTGTCGCATTCGGAAACGATGGGATTGGTAAATTACCACATCCAAAACTGTTTCTTTTTCAATCACGAAAAACAGATTTTCGCATGCTCAGCTATGCTGTCGACTTCAATTCAACATTTGGGATGTTTATATCTCAAATACATTGGTTGTTTGGGAATTCTGCTCGTCAACCATCTAATTTTTATTTTGTTACATTTGTCATGAATACTTCATGGGAAGGTGGCAAATTTTACGTAAAAACAGAAATTTGGATACCCTGTATCCTTGAAAGATCGCCCTTTCAAATGCTAATAATTTCGAGGTTAGTTTCATGTTTAAAAACCACTGTTTAATATCTTCATTAGCGCATAATTTATTTCCTAACACAATCTCGGAATTTCTGATGACAATCAATTATAAAAGCAGGAAATTTTTTTCGCGAACGAGATCTTGCCTAAATTGTCCAAAATTCACCCATTGCGACGAAAACTTACACAGGCCAATATTGAAATTCTGTTTTTTTTGCCCCTCGTTGTGTTTTTCAGCGAAATGCATGTTTCTTAACAATTTTGGACATGCACCTTTCAGGGAAAGGTATCTATGTGTCCTTGGTCTTTTTAATATTCAGTTCCTATGAGCTGTTGACTGCTGCATGAAGTTATCAAATACTTGGGACAATACCTGGTAGACGGAAAAGAATAGTATCCGACATTTATCAAATGAAATAAACGATACAATGAGTTCATTTCTCGCGTAGGACATATTAGAAAAACAGATTAGCCACATGCCCACATTGCCACAAACTTGTTTTACATATACTTATTACTAAAAGTTTTGTAATCTTGGAAGTTTTGCGCCTGTCATTCACACCGTTTGTCATAAAATAAATAGTGACGAAGTTGTTTATGGTTGGTTTTTACTGCCATGAACTCAAAGATCAAACCGCTTGTTTTGCACAACAACGTCGTCATCTCCATCTACGTCTTAAACAATCGTTATAATCGGTTGGAATACATCAGTATATCAGTAAACAATCGTTGGAAATGATTTTGGATTACATTTGACCAAATTAGGAATTGCATATTTGTGATTTGTTCGCAATCATTTGAGAGGCACGCGTGCTGACTTTTTTTTATTTTTATTTTTATTCAAAAATTTCAATCGTAACAACCTCAGATGTGGGTATTTGTGTGTACCCAGTCTCTTGGTTCTACAATGTGTTTTCCAATTTGGCATATTCGACAGGGTTTTTGATCTGGGTTACGCCAACAACAGTGCTGTCGCAAATTCAACTGGCTGGCTGGTTTTCTTGGGTAATATTCGAATCAAAGGTGTGGGTAAACGCACCTTAAAAACGTCAATATATTTTCCTCTTCATGCCGAAAGCTAACTAGGTGGACCTTGTAATCATATTATTGTTATGTAATTTGGGAATTACATTTTGTAATAACTAATATGCGACAATTCCACGGACAGTCTGCCTTGTTTTGTTTTCCAGTCGCTTATTAGCTATACAGAGGGACACTTCCCAGTTTGTCCATTTTCGATGTTTCATTTTTCGATACGTCTTGGAAATAAAGCTAACGAATTTGGCAAATCCCAAGATGAATGCTATATCATCCTAACATAATAGATAATTAACGTTTACTCGCAGCCTAAATGGATTTCATTATTTTAGGCTTGGTCGCTATATTGACACATTCGACTGACAAATCAACATTGTCGCAGAATCAGATCAATGCAATATCTGCCGCTGAAGGATTTGGAATACAGGTGATCATTATTTAGCTGGTGTAATCAATTCCTTGCACGGTTTGTTCAATAAAAATTTCGCATGTAGTCAGTTTGCAGAATTCTGTTGCCAGTATTTTTCGTGGTTCATAACACTGTTTGTATTTTATAGGTTTTCAGTGCAATGCAGTTTGCTCAGCTTGCGAAGAAACTGCCTCCACAATCGAAATAGTAAATCAAATGCCTAGAATAGAGAACATCGTTCGTCCCCAGGAAAGAAAACCTGTCAAGAATCTATTCAACATAAAGTTTTTAACGCAAAATTCGTCACATGCCCAAATCAAGGGCAATGCAAGTGAAAGTGTCACTCAATATTATTAAAAAAAGATGTAGCTATGGTCTTTGTTCACTCTCGCCCCTCTCTCTTGGGGTAATACCCCTCTTTCTCGCTTCCACAGCAATTATTACTCCAAATCATTGTATTGAGTATATTTTATGAAGACGATCGTGCCTTATAATTCAAGTCACAGCCATGTTTTTATGTAAATTGCTAATGAAATAAAATACATCCAATTTGGCATTGTGTGTATGACATTTATTGATAGCCAACAGGTGGATATGGTGATCTCGGTTTCTCGTTGTCTGCGAAAGCCGCGGACAAAGACCAAGGGAATTGGAAATCTGTGAAAGGTTCACTATTTTTAGGTCTGTGTGTTGAGTTTAAAATTCGTTGTTGTCTGGCCATACCATCCTAGGGACATCAAGAAGTTTATTTTTGTTTGTTGTTAGTTTTGTCAGAAGTATGACTGTTCTGGCCAAAAGAAGGAAAGATTGCATTAGTTTGCGCTGGAAATGTAATGCGCACACAATGACTCAAAAGCTTGTCTAGCCTTGGTATGTTTTAGCTCGCACAACATACTGCTCCATTGCTCAGCAGTACTGAAAAATATGGATGTGGCGCTAATATTCTAACAACATATGCGCAAACGATCTCGATGTATGATACCATTTGCTGCACCTGGCGCTAGATGGTTTCTGTCCCGTCTGTGCAAAAGTCTTTGGCTTCTGCACGAGGCGTTCCAGTGTTTTGAGAATTTCTTTCATTCGTCTTTGAGAGGACTCATCGCATTGAAACAGAACGACGACGATTATAAATGTTACGTGAGGAATGTTGGGAGTGAGGTTCATATTTATCTGCGTAATCGGATGACGAGTAAGAGTTCACCACAACAGCTGGGTTTGAGTCAAATCATGATCATCTCATATCTATCATACGATGGTGATGAGTAGGTCGGAAAATAATTATACCGACATTGTTTGATCTTTTTTTTGGTTTTAGATCTTTTTTTAACTTGAATTTCCGACCCCGCGCCTGACACTTGTATTGAAATGCCCTCGGTTAAGAAATGAAAGACAGCGACAGGTGAGTTTATAATCCAATCGCCTATGTGATTATAAGTTTAATGCGACATTCGAATAACTAAATTTGTAAAAAAACGGACCTCCTGAAGTATGCGCACCAAGATGGCGCACAACCTGAACTCGGGATTTGTACCAAGTTAGGGTTCAGGCTGTGCGACATCTTGGTGCGCATACTTCAGGATTTATTCAGGTTTTATTAATATGTCGCACAGCCTGAACCCTAACCTGGTACAAATCCCGAGTTCAGGTTGTGCGCCATCTTGGTGCGCATACTTCAGGAGTACCAAAAAAAAACTATACAATATTTGTGTACGCGGGAGACAAACATTTATAAAAAAAAATAGTCGATGATCTGGATGAAACTTACCAAATATTAGTTTGTATAGTTATGTATATCCGAGCAATATAAAAAAATCTCCATATCTCTAACCTTGCTCTGACCCCTTTTATCGCTGTTAACCGCAAAAATTTGTGCTGAAGCCACAGCGGCTTGATTGAGGTGTGGTAAATTTCAAGCGATCTTCTTCGTTCGCAAACGGTGAACACGAGAGAATAGAATGAAATATTCGATTGGTCGAGCAGCCTTGCTGTGGTTAACTTGCTCTCTCGAGTGTCTCATGACGTCACTCGAAGCGATGAAACGCTTCGAACCACGTTTTGGTCTGCGGTCGATTTTAATCGACGCGCCACGAGAATTCTTTGGTGTTTCAGCCTCCTTTTTCTGGCGTTTGTTGTTGGGAGAGCCGGGGGTGTTGGCATTTGAATTTGCATTTTCCTCGGGTTATTCGCCTAAAAAACGAATCAGTAAATTGAGCGCGGTGGTGTTTTATTATTTTATAGTAGACACGACTTTTTATCTTTTTTGGTATTAAATTATAAAAGTTAGAACCATTCAAATATTATTGGCAGCACGAATGAGGCAGAAATGAAACTAAGCTTTTGGCAAGTTATCAGTAACATTATTGCTAATTATTAGTACAGTAAAGTAGGCAGTAACGAGACAACTCTAAATTAATTTACATTATCACGCACTCAATCCTTATTCAATTAAGAGTGTTAATGACGGAATAATAATTGCTGTTTTATCTTCTATCGCGACGACGGAGTTAGCTGGTAAAGATTGCCGGAGCTCGAGAGTAATTTATCTTACTTTTATGTAACGTTTTTTTTTTAATTTACCTGTGTAAATTTAGTCTTATGGCAGGAGTTCTTCAGGTCGGTTTATGTTTGGCGATTCCCATGCGGTTCCGGGATTGAGCGGCGCTCATGACTTGTAACGTATCTATTTTACAGCTTACTTTGATATAATACTATGAATATCTGTTTTGATAAATGCAAATTTGATAACATATTATAAATATCCGGGTTGGAAGCGTAGGATACTTTGAAAGTCACCTCGGTAAAATATTAAGGTTAGGCGGGGTTTGAGAGCGTTCTATTGCGGCAAAAGTAAGCTTTGACTACCGACGTAACTGGATGTGGAATTAAGATCGGATTATTTGTTTAGGAGTACATTCATACGTGGATTTACACAGAATCTATTGTACTACACTTCTGAATTAGGTGGAAATACCGAAAAAGAGAAATTAAGGCAGAAATGTACCAAAACAGGCCCCCGGTAAGATTTTTTTGCTTGTTAAAACGACTTTCGGGTAAATAAATAACAACTAATATATACAACATTTTCATGCAGGCACCTCCCGGGCCAGGCCAGGCCTTCTCATCTGTGGCAGAGAGACTTGACAGTATAAAAGAGGAATTTACCTATTTACAAGCACAAAATCACAGGTTTGACCTTTTTTTTCCACAAGACCTACATACAACACAATATTGCTGTGTTACTTGACTTCGTTTTTTTTTTAATTAAATTGACGCTGTGATTGGCCGCTTGTTTTAATATTGAAGGTGTTGTCAAGTTGTAGTTTGTTTTCAGTTGTCGAATTATATATATGTATTACCAATATGAGCCTAGTGTTAAGAAGTATATGATGACTTGTATCTGCCCGTTACGGACAGACTTTTCTGGTTAATCTATTTAATGAACCTGCTGCTGTATTTATATACTTTAATTACTATAATTCACATACCTGATATTTTAGTTTGAAGTTGAATCAAGAGAAACTTGCTACAGAAAAGACTGAAATGCAAAGGCATTATGTTATGGTAAGTCTAAGTCAACCATTTGTGGAAGAAGCAGTAGCTAATAAGGGATAATATGATAAACTTGTATTTTTATTTTATAGTACTATGAGATGTCATACGGACTTAACATTGAAATGCACAAACAGGTATGAATATTATTATTTTGTATATCTACCTAATGTTTTTAAAATAATATTATTTCAGTGAAAATAACCTTTGATAATAAACTATTAAGTTTACTGAGTAAAATAGGTGGCTACAATTAAGATGAGTGAATTAAAAACTGCTGCTTGAATGTAAAAGATTCTTGTTAAAGATTGTCTTATATTGCTAACGCTTATTTCTTTCTTATAGACGGAAATCGTCAAACGATTGAATGCAATCATCGCGCAAGTTATGCCGTTTTTATCTCAAGAGGTAGGTAGTAAAAGCATATCATCATTACTTCTGCTGATTTTGTATATCCAGTATATCATTATATATAAATGGCTTTGAGCCAATAACGGGCAATATTTATGATAGGCAGCATTTTCTCACAATCGCAATATGTCATACCGTTTTTGCCTACAACTTTAACCTAAATTTTAGTCATCACATCATAGTAAAATAGATATTACGATGAAGCGTAATAAAAATACTGTACTTCGTTTTAATTCAAGTGGCAATTTCCCGTGTGTAATCCCATTTCTATATTTACTGGCGTTACTCTGGTTTGCGAACCACACAAAGTCAGGTTTACAACAAGCTGACTTCGCATAACGCCCGATGTTATCAACTACGTTTTTAGAAAGACCGTCTTTTATCTGCGGTATCGATTTTTAGTCAGACGAGGCGAATAGCGTATATGAATGAAAGCCATAAACAAACCTCGTTGCCATGACAAGAATGGTCGAAAATTCGCGGGATAGCTTGGTAGTTGTATTTTCTATTAACATTTCTAGTGGACAAATTGCGATTAATTCTTTGATATTTCTGGTGTATGAAATACTTCAGTTCTTTTGGAATGTCCATCCTGAACATATCCGACCAATGTTTGACTTCCATATTCCGTATATTGTTCATTCAATATTAATCACTTTTGCTTCATTTAGATTATGCATAATAAATCCAATCGCGCTTCGTGACTTTTCTTCTCGGTAACGCATGAAACGGCTTGTCAAAATAGCGTAGCGTGTTTCGCAGTCATTGAGTACTTCACTTCAAGTATCCTTGTCTATTTCAAGTGCAAACCGCAGCATACTTTAACGCCACGAACGAGATACCAAAAACGAGATGGTAGATTGTTATGTTAAACACAATCACGGGCCATAAATAAATTTTGCCGATATAACACAATCTTTGTATATACCATGTTTGCTAAGAGTATAGACTTGAATAATGGGTGGTTTCTATTTCATGTTTATGTTTATTGTAACTGCCAACATCCAAGACCGCACTTCAACAAAACTAAGCGATTTAAATCTGACTTCTCTTATATTTTTATTCAATTTAGCACCAACAGCAGGTGGCAGCTGCCGTAGAAAGAGCAAAGCAAGTAACCATGCCTGATCTCAACCACATAATTGGGGTAAGCCTGTTCTATAGTTTTTTGTATCTTGTAAATTTCTATTATGATTAAATCGTATTGTAGGAATTCAATAATGAATTTTCGACTGGGCGAAAATATAGTTTTTTTTTGTAATATAGAAATCCATACTTTAAAAACATGTTCATACTTTTTAAACTAGGGTTTTCATATTTGGTAAAAGTATTTATTTTTCGACTGTTAGATTTTGCTGAGATCCTCACCCCCACTTCGATGTACACTTCCCACTGATTGCAATTCTTTCAACTGAATCGAGTTGATCTTTCCTAAAAATAATTCTTCATATTGCCATTGATATTTTTCAAACTATTAATTTGAATATGCAGGCTCAACAACTCCAAGCACAGAACCACCTTCCACCCCATCCTCCAATACCAGTTCCTGGTCACCCAGGTGGTTTGCCGCACCCCAGTCATCTCCCAACTTCATCATCTGCTGGCCTTCTAGCACTGTCACAAGCAGCACTTGGTGCTCATCAACACTCGTTAGCTGCAGCGGTAAAAGAAGAAATTCGGAACAGCGAGCAAGCGCATGCTGCAGCAAGTATGTTGATGTGTTTTTGATTAAAAAAAATAATTGTGTAATAACTGTGTAGTATTACTCAATATATTAAAATTTGCATTATAAACTGTTACCTCAAGAAAGAATCGTCCTGACGTATGTGAATAGAATTACATGTACAAAACGTTAATGGTTCATCCTGCCATTCCTTTTTTCCAGTTGCAGCCGACAGAGAAAGAGAGCGAGAAAGGGGTAGGGAAAGGGAACGAGAAAACAGACAGGTATGGCTTTTGTTTCATCATTTTGTTAACCTGTAAAATCCGTAGTCAGTGCTCACTGAACACGAACGACATGGCGCCCATTCATGGTCAGCGTTATATATTATCGATCGAAAATGCTTATTACTGCGTTGTTTATCGACTACTTTTGTACGGTAATATACAAAAAAGCTGTACTATAACTTAAATAGATCGTAGTTTCTGTAAACAACAGATTATGTAGATTATACGTAATTGCTGGGGTCTTATCGAAGTCTTATGGATGATTGTCTGTTTTGAATTGAAAAGTTAGAGGATCTTAAATTAATGGGTCACTGGCTCAGAAATTACGTCATCTTTACGGTCAATTAATCGATTATAGAACGCTTGTGCCACTTTATTTGTTTTGTGGCAGGTTAATGAATCATATTGCTCGCACCGGCCTAAGTACCGATAAATATTATTTATATCGTACACATCAAAACAGTCGTCATTCTTAGACTCTCCGTTCACGCATCGCAGTCAATATTTCTGGTTTTTATCTGTAATCTTTTAGGGCAATTTACTTAAAGCAAGGTCACATCGCACCCAATCAGAAGTAAAGAGTGGGCAATTCACGTGTCATTAAATATCGTTTATCACGATACAAGTTCAAGGCAATATGATTGGATTGCGTCTATGTGGTATAGTGAATTCCACATAAATACCACATCTTCTTGGTAAAAAATCATAAAAGTTCAAAAAGTATACGCCAAATTGTAAGCGGCTTCTGGAATTTAGGCCTGATGAAACCGAATGGTAGAATATATAGTTGATGTTCTTGTTACTTGCAATGCAATTTCGCACCTATATTTAAAAGCGATAGTGATCGTCACCAGTAAACACTTTGACAACAATCGTGTCGGGCATTTGTGTTATTTGCCGCCTCGTTATAACACCAATATAGTTAGTTAGTTATAATGTCATGTAAGTGTTAAAAATGATGTTATTTCCCATTGTTAATGCTGACAATTTTTTTTCTGGATTCATGTAATTCATCATAATATTTCAGGCTACAGTCATTTACCAAACGCGACCAGGTCCAAACGATTGTATCATATAGTCTCCTATCCCATGGTATGCGTAGTTTTAATTTAGGAAACGAATTGGATCATTGAATTACAGGAATAGGGTGATTGTTGAACGCCTTAATATTACCGCCATCGCTCGAACGATGAATGGCCCCTCGCGACAGCGTTTCGCGTTATTGCCCGTCTGGTATTGCAATATGCGAGGATATGCATGACAAGAGGAAGTCATTGCAATGCTAAATTTCCTATACTTCGAGTCGTTGGGTTATAGCATCAACAGACTATTGTATAGCTGATTTGAGCTGCCCCGATTGTAATTCATCATCTATTGATCATACGTGGTAGGAAATAATAAGAAAATGAAATAGTGATTGGCCAAACTTGATATTTTACATCTGGTGGAGGTCGCTTAGAAGTTTGTGTTGTCGATTATGTGGGAGGTATTTTATGAAAATTTCCTGCACGCCCGCATAATCCATATACGTTAGCGGTTATTTCTGCGTCACACAAGCTTTCACAAAGATTTGATTATACTTATTTTTTTAAAACATATTCTATTTACCCCTCTTATATAGTACATCATATAATATGCAATACCTTTTCCTTCTGTATATTTACTCATTGTTTTTCCTTTGGCCGTTTGAAAGATTGTGCTTTTTGGATAGATAAAATGCGATGATTTTTACGCGATGTTTTCTTTGTCACGGCTCATTACTAACTCCTATAATCTCTGTATCCTAAAAATAAGTCTACGCCCAATGAAGCGTACTGGGCTCAGCGAGACTTAAATACCTTAAATATCCTCTTCGTGGCGGATTTTTCTATTATTAAGCCTTGGAGATTTATCGATTTTTGGAGGATACGATTATTGAATACGATCATCAACACGGGTTTGAATTTATCTTTTGAATTATTTTCGACCAAATTGTACTCACTTAAAACGCTAGTCGATGACTGATTCAAGTACCGTTGTTAATTTAACATGAATCCTAAATGGCCATGTATTTTTTTTTTATCTTTTAATTCAAGAATTATGGTTGTTAAGTGTAATGACTTGAAACTAACAATTAATTTTTTGTTTTATGATCAAAACAAGCTAAACTAAAGCCTACTCATTCTGAAAATAGATTCTAAAGACATACTTTGTAGCAATATAGCCAATAAAACAATAATATTTACTCACAATGCCATTTATTTACCGGTATATCGCCATCATTGTTAAATTTTATTCATTTATTGATTAGTTTATGAATGCGTCGTCTCAAAAGCCTCGGTTTACGCCTGGAGGTTGGGTCAATCTCGTTAATGGAATTGATATTATTAAAGTCCGTCACGGTGTTATAACTAAAGAATTGATGTGCTAACCTCAATTCGATTTGCCGTCAGCATTTGTATTCATTCAATATTTCACGCCACATTTCATATGTCAGTCCTTCTCCCACCCAATTAGAAAAGTGTTTTCGTGATAGTAGGCCATACAAGGCCCGCTTCTCGGCCACTCAGCTCAAGATAAATAAAACATATTTTATGACTCGATAAATCGAGCTTTTAAACAAAGTAGGAAATATTTGTTGGCATTTCACAGTTAATTGAACATATGTTGAAACTGTCGCAGTCCTGGAATCGCTTCATTGTATATAAGGCGATTTAATCGTTAAATTATCGAATTTTTCTATAAATGTTCAGGAATGAATAATTGATTTTGCTCTTTTTAACGCATCGTATTATGATTCGTTGCCCCGCATCTCGTGGATGCAAAAGATTAGACAAGGCTTGGTCGCCACGGTGGGTGAATATGGGTCTGTGTCGTGTATTGACCCGTAACTTTGGTCTGTGATGACACGAATTTGTTTAATGTGTACCCAACTTGCTCGCTCGCTAAATAAGCATTTGAAAAAATAGGAGAAGCAATGCGTGGTTAATGTTTTCCCTATTGGAAAAGCTTGGTCTTATAAAATCTACCATTCAAGTATTTGCGATTTTGAGTAATATTAATAAATATATTTTGCTGAAAATCAAGTTAAAAAAACTGATACCGGTATTTAGTATCTAAATTCGGAAATTCTTCAAAAATATCAAAATAACGGTAATTTATAGGGTCATGGTCTCATGGAAACAATTATTGTGAGTTTTTGACACTACTAGTTTTTCATCAGCTTTTGTGTGCAATGCTGGATTCGCTTCAACCAAACTTTTCGTTTCTATCTGATTTAATTTAATCATGAGCATTTACTAGTAATCACGTTGAAAGCCCATATCTTACCAAACGATTCGATCAAACGTAGTTTATTTAATCTTTTTGAAACTGATTCTAAAATGTAGTGAAAGCTTCGTATTCGTGGGTAGACTACAACCATCGCATTTCCCCAATTTTGAGGTATGCTTAATTTGATTACCTATCTGCGCAATTGATTTTCGGGCCTTGATTCTGCACCGCGGACGCCGGAAAACCTATTTTCGTCTTTCAAACGATTTGCGGCTTATCGGGTTTGGATTTGATCGAATTACTCCAGAGTAATTCGCTTTGTCTGCCAAGTCGTAATGGACAAATTGCGGTAATGAGCTAGGAATGATTTTCCTGCAATAGGCGATTTCGTAACCGTTTCGAAAAATAAATATATATGTAGCATTCAACTTAAGTGCGAATCTAATTTTAAGTATTGCTCGTAAAAGTTTCCATTTCATAATCGTTAACTATGATTTAAAATTGGTATTTCAATTCTGGGGAAAAGTCATTTTTCCATATAAGCATTACTTTAAATTTGGTTTTTGTATAACCAAAGCAGTGTCAATACTTGCATATTTGACCATGCCTTTTACTGGTATTACATGTGTAACAAATGACTTAATTACGGAATTGAATCCGAACCAGACAAAATAAGTTGATTACTTTTTTTAATTGGACGATTATGAGAAACATTTATTTGTACGCAAAGGTGTTCGACCGAAGTTGCCTTTTCTGAAGAAACCTCCGGAACACTATGTATTGGTTCGTAATTAATAGCAATTAATTCATCTTACGTTAATTTAGTGTAATAGGATTGTTATGATCGCGTGTATACCACCTGCCCACCACATGTGTTTATTATCTGTTCGTTTGTCTAAGAACGTTTCCGCTTTAGATTACGTCTGTCTAATGGCACCACAAGACAGAGAAAGGTTAATTTTACACTTCAAAAGCAGACATGTAATTAGTTTATTTTATGTAGCCTTACTCGGTTAGCAAAAGTAGCAACACTAATTTTTCGTATGCTGTTCGCAAATTGTGCTTCCTGTCGGATATTAAGTGGATACAAATTAATTTGTCAGCAATGTATTCATGTATTATTAGCAATGTCGAAGGACATATAAGAAACATGCCCTTTATGGGAATCTCGAATTAGATTTTTGAAAATGAATGAATGTAATGATAACATCTAACATGTAATGAAACAATTCGACTTTATTACAAAATATATTACACAATGAAAGTTACTAAATTCTGAATTGTATTTTCCCTTTCTTATCCTAGATTCAGTTATCTTGAATCATTCTCCTGTACATACGAATAGTCGTCTTAAAAACAAACCGATTAGATGTTCACGACCCGTTTGCACGGTCGACAAGATTCAAGATGATCAATTTCCTCCGAGTTGTATCGGTTTTCAGCCATTGTAGCCAAACATAATCGTTGCTATTTAAAAGAAAACAATATGCTCAAGTCGTATCGTTTTACGAGCGTTGTTCCGCTCGCCTCGTGCCTTTTCCCGCGGTCCATTTGCGCTTGGTATTCGTCTCGTCTTTCGGTTAATTCGTCGTGCTCTGTCGTTCAATCATCGTAATTACGACTCGCGTTTCTGGAAGTGTATACAACAGATCTTGTATTGTATCACATTTCGAGTTTTACACCAGTTAAGAGAATCATGTCGCTTTAAGACTTTGTTGAAAGAATACAGAGTTATTTTAAGTTGAATC